CGCTTGGGTGCTAGTAGCCAGCTTGGTACTCTTTGCAACGCTGGGTACAGCTGCATATAATCAACTTGCGGCGGGCCTCTCAGAGACTTTCTACGATACTTCGTGCCCTCAAGCAGCTTCCATCGTAGACGAATTATCATAAGAAGGACGGGACCTTGCAGTTCCATGATTGCTGGGTTGGGGTAAAGCTCCTCTCATGCTCTTTTCTTTCCATACATCATAGATCATGAGTTGCTCATTCTGTTCTGGACTTTCCTCGTATAGTATACCAAACTGGAATACTTCGTCTTTCTCGAGGGCACATGATGACTGATGGGACTCTTCGAACCAGTCCCAGCTCGAACTTTGAAATGTGTAGGCTCTTAACTTTGTAATATTGGGGGCATTGCAAGTGGAAGAGAGCGCTTTCTAACCTTCTTCGAAATCGGTAGATTAGAACCAGGACCTTCGTTCCTGTAATCTCAACTGCAGTCGCTGAATGGTTCCTGAGCTATCCTTGCATTTACCAATTTTTTCCAATAAAAATGATAATCGAAGCACTAGTCTGGATCCTGATCAGTTTTTTTTTATGAAACAAAATAAATCGTGATAATATGTGAAGACCCTTACTAATTGATAAACATCTCCATTTAAAAATATACAAACCAAACATGAATTAAATAGTTTCATTATTTCCAATTGTCACATCAAACTCAAAACCTGAAGCCTCTCATTACTGATATGATTGTCGTTTTTTCTAGACTGGTCATTCTTACTTTCTTAATCTAAACAACACACAAATTTCTTTTTAATATAAAAACCTCAACTTTTTTTTCAAGAAGATTTTTCTTCATTAGAATGGAACTACCGCTTAGAGTAGTGATACACAAATCACATTTTTGGTAAACTTTCTTCAGATTCAGTTTCACTTGTGAAACTAAGTATCATTGGCAATCAGGTGAAAAACTTCTTCAAAAAATTATTCTTTCGCTGTCTAAACTTCGAGTTTTTGAAATTTTGTTAAACTACTTCAGACTCCGAGCTTGTGAAACTTCTAGCATGCATTTGAATAAGGATAGTTGGGTCTCGAGAATTGTTTTTAACACCTCTATCTTTCTAAAGTCAATAAAACATATGAGTAAAACATTCACAGTTTTCCAAGTCGATGCTAAATTGTGAAAAGAGTGCCGTGATCTAATTGCTTTGTTTTTGCTTTTGGTTTCAGATCCAAAACAATTATACTTATAATTAATTGAACTTGAAATTTATTTATTTATTTATTCTTATATCGTCGCACATACTAAAAAATACGTCCCTCATGATTCATTAACAATCTCGTTTGTCAATCACATGTGGGTAGAAACAGAAATCAAATAGTAAGACTTCTATATGTATTACACCTTTTCAATTATTTTTACATCTCGAAGAGGTACTGTGAAAACTCCGGAGATGTCCCAGAAAAACAACGATTCGGGTTCAGACACTCTACGCTGCAGTTGATGTGATGATACACTTGTGAGTCCATGGTTCCTGCTTTTCAGGATTCGACTCGTTCATGTGAGACGCCGTTCCGAAACTTCGTCCCACAGCCGCTGTCAACCATCGCAGTCCACTGCACACATCATCAAACCATCAGTCCTGATTCTCACCCGATCCAGCTTTGCCACGGCCTCCACTCAGAATATTTACTGCAATTTGTGACTTGCAATATTATAGAATAAATATTGCAAGCCACAAAAATTTCTCATTGTGATGCTATTGGGGTCTCGACCATGTGAACCGGTTGGTTTCTTCCCTATAAGAGTCGATGGGGTCTTCGCATCCTTTTCGCAATTTTACCTCGTCCACATGCTTTTCGCTATTCATAATCAGAATGTGCGTTTTAGATTGCGGACTTATGTGCCATTCTGATGCTTGTTCGGGTACATACACTGAGTAGGCCTTGTTGGGCATCTTGGCCTACATTTTGGACATAGCAAGCTCAGTACTCGACACTTGCATCTTCTCACTGCCGTCAATTGTTCGCAGAGCAATGCCCATTTTCGAGGGTCGTTTGTATCAACTTCCCAGGGGCGAAAAGTAAATGTCAAGTCGTTGACGTTTCCCGTCTACGCAGAAGCCTGCGCGAACATGGCACCTGCAGCAACATCCAGGTGGAATGACTTGCAGATTTGACGACATGAACGCCGTCAAGGCAACCGACTAGGATGATTGTGTGTCAACCTCTAGACGCAAGCCCCTACGAAACCCAGTGGGTTCCTAAGTCCACTTCAAGGTGGCGACGAGTATGAAGATGCTCGGTTTCTCGACAGAGCAACCACGGGTCGGGTCTCAGATTTGGAAAGAGATGGCACCCGTGTCGAATCTTCAGATCATTATCTTTACCGTGTCGGATGTTCAATGACCCGCTGACGAGGTACGACTTGGAATGGAAGCGATGAACAGGGAGTGGCAAACTCTAGCACCAATGCACAATCGCAAACTCGCACCAAGGCAGTTGTATCTGAACCGGGGTTCCTGCGCTCCCTCTTCTCTTTGCGGGTGTCAGTTTCCCTGCCTGATTTCACAGGATCTCGGTGGGCAGTAAGCGGATTCCATCTGTAGAAGGCGTTTGTTCTCGTTCAAAAGATTCTCTGCCATCTCTACTATAACCATTCGACCTCTATTTCTTGTCCAAGACTTTGCAGGCTGCAGACTTTGATGGACAGGAAAGCTCGTGAGACGACAGATTTTCGGCTGTCTGGTGCTGGAGTCTGAGTTGACAAGGAGACGTAGTGTGCGCTGATTTATCAGATTCACATGGGTCCAAGCTAAGCAGAATTCTGTGGTGGTGATCTCAGTGATTTGGATATCATTTGCTTCTACTCGGGCATCAGATGTTTTGTCTGATGCAGAACCTACATGGTAGTATGAAACGACTCGTATCTGCAAAGAGGTCGCGCTATCTTTCCCCGTCTCTGATTCATGATGGATACAGAGGGATCTTTCAGATGGGATGGAATCGGGGCCAAAGAAATTGTTCGTAAGAATCTGCAAATTCCATGAAGACGAGTTATTGTTTTAAGGCCTACTCAGTCCTGTAAAGCTTTAAGAACCATTCTGTTATGGGTTCGACCACGCTTCACGTAATCATCACTGTTATAAGAGAGAAAATAAGTCTAATATTTCCATCATCTGACTTGCCGTTGACTAGCAGATTCGACACTTTATTCACTTAATCCATGAATAAAGTGCACGCAGCTTAACCTGCTTTGTGTTCACAAAAGTATCTACGAGTCAGTCCCATGAGTGAGACTGAGACAAGCAAATATCTTAACCTGTCTGTCGAGCTCTGCTAGACTTCAGTATTTTTGATCGGTAACAAGCGTCCTCTCAGCTACGGGAATTATTTACTGGACTGAGAAGAATTTACTGGGTTGGAAGAATATTTGTGGGTCAGGAAGTAGGATATACACGACATCCATCGAATGGTACTCTCTGTCAACCTCTGACAGAGCCAATGTCATCACTCCAATGTAAAGGCTACGACTCGCATCACTGAGTGGTTCGCATCAGTCGAAATCATGACTGTCATGACCCCTCCTGTACTACACTCGCTAATAGCCTAGAGTGGAATTTTCTTCGGATCTAACACAGTAGCAGATTCACTACATAGAAATCATGGCTCATACTTTCTGCAGTTCCACTCTGTAGAAGTCTCATATGCCCACACCAAACTCAGGACGATCAGTGGCCAATTGAGACACACCGGAGCATGAATGATGAATCATGGTCAGCGAAGGACATTACTGGAGCAAGACAGAAAACACAGTAGGTACGGAAGGACCTCAGCGTTTGCTATAGGTACTACATCACAATCTTGCAATACCTACTCATGGAATGGAGATTTCGGGTTCACTGCGGGCAATGGTGTTTTTGGGAGAGTTTCTAGCACGCAGCTTCGTGTGAGCAATTCTCTGAATCGCATTCTGAGAGCAACCGACAAAATCATATTAATGGGCTAGCATCTGGAAGACAATAGCCGCACAGAGTTCGTAACACGCACTCTTCATGGAACATCTTTTTAATACTGCGCGCAACGAGAGTCTCACCCACAGGTGTGGATTCTGCTCCACAGCTCGGAACTCAGAGCGATTTACTGCCCAGAATCCCTCACAGAAGACTGTGGGCATCGTGTGGAACTATCGATGCTGCTCTGCTCGAGCTAGATCGCACCTATGTATGTAACGGCCATCACGATCAGCTCGAATGAAACCCCCACGAGTTTCAAGAAATTGGATTCTCTTTTCCCTTCTTCAAGGATTGTGGTTGAGGATGAGGTCCGGAGGTCGAAGCTTCAAACTTGCACGACGGTGAATTCTCGAGACTCCCCTACCGTTCGGACATCTGGAAACTCGAACCACAATTAGCCGACGTTAAATGACGACATTGTTCCTCTGTGGAGGGAATCTCTTCACATTACCTCCAAATTCATGGCAACTCAATGACCCGTTGCCGAGTAGGAAGCGACATTCCGAGCTGCTACCCTCTGGCGTTGACGGGTAAGCGTGGACGTGCTTCCAGATCACTCGCCTGAAACTCTTGTTTTCAGTGCCGCTGTCGTCACCGAAAGTAGGAGCAGTCCAGCCCTCAGCCTGAAGCAGATTCTCAGAGTTCCCATTCACAAATGCTGTTATAAGTAGAATCCACTAACGTCCAACAGACTGGATCACCGGCACACTTCTAGTTGATAAACACCAACACTGTAAACCGGAAAGCAGTTCACCGAGTTATCGCACTGCGAGAGCATCGGAGTAATGTACAATCCCTTGATATAACAACGGAGCATACGTATTCTGTATGAGATGCATGATGAGTTCTGAAATACAGTAGAGGATATTTTATGATATTGTGAGGTGACTGATACTAACTCAAGTATGAACGTTTTTGTTGGACTCATGGCTCCAACAACTTCTCGGAGCACCTGGATTCTGCTCGGGCCGACAGATAGAAGTCTGTGAATTATTGCTCCAACGAAAATGATACGCGTGCTGCGACGGACAAGAGATTCATTCGCTTGCTTCGAGTCAAGGGCCGAAAAAAGACCTTGCAGGGTGCCCAACAAACACACACGCAGATATTCGTGACGCGCTCAACGAACGACGGCAAGACTTCCTGCGGAGACGCATCCACTTGCGATCACGTCGGCGCATGAGAGAAAGGCAGAATCAGGAGCAACGGACTCTTCAGGAGGAGTCCAGAAAAAGCTTGAAAAGCTCGAGCACGGGGGCGTCCGAGGCACATTCGCTCATAGTTTATTGGTTCATACGTGCAGGACGAGGGCCCCGGCGATGGGCATGGTGGGGCCCCGAGGGAATCAATGGGCCGGAATGGCCTCGTCACATTTTCCAGGCTGGTGAAAATCGCGAACCCGTCCGTCGCTCGGCGCTCGACGTGAAGGCCCGGGAAGGGAAGCGGAGGAGCGCAGCTGTCGCCCTCCTCTGCCTTTGCTCTCGCTCTCTCTGCCTCTGCCTCTGCCTCTGGAGATGACGAGCAGCAAGCGCAGTACGAGGAGGAGCATCCGGCTGCACGAGCAAGAAGGCGCCCCGCAGAGGAGAGTGGCGTTGGGACTCTGGTTTGCTGCCGAGGGTGCTGCTGGTGCCGGTGCCAGTGTTAGTGCCAGTGCGAGGTTGTAGTCTTGGGAGTGTGAGATCGGGCGAGGGAGAGACTGAGAGAGCGAGAAGGGGGGAGCGATTGTTGCGCGAATGACTTTGACTAGCCATGGTCGGAGAGCTGCCGCTGTTGCTGGCTCATAGATTGAATCGGGAAGCGCATTTCTTGAGCCGGAGACGCTGTGCTAACGATCGCGTTCTTGGTTGAAGAAGCTGCTTGGGAGCGATCGGTGCGTTCGTTCTTCTTCATGGATGCCGATGAGAATGACTCTATTGTCCGCCTCAATGTGGGTAGGTTCGCTGATCCCCTTTCAGATCCTGTAGATTATTTCCTCGTTTGTGTTTCCATGCAGGTGCCCCGTCTCTAAGACACTTGTCGGTGATTTTCCGCGTCGAGTGGCAACTTTCAAGCCCTCAATTGCCCATTTTTTTCCCGGAAATTGGTCTTATACTTGGAGGTTTGGTGCATCAGAGTCTCTGGTGCTCTTCCTTCTTCGGAATTTGACTCTCCCTCAGCGATAGTCTCTTGTCGCAACCTCAACTTCCACCAGCAGATAGCTGTGTACCTGAATTTTATTAGTTCAAACGTGTTGTGCTTGGAAAAGCAATAGTGGGTTCTCAGCTTCACCATGAGGTCACACAGATCTCCGGTTAAGAGATTGCATCAAGGGATCCTGCTTATCTGAAGTTCTTTCTTCGATATTCTGAATAGGGTAGCCACACCAATCCGAAGAACGGGAGAAGCGATGACGCTGATCGCTTGCCCCTTCGGTCCTTTTTTCAGAATTGAAACGTCTTTGAAAGATGTTCAACCACCTTGTTTGTGGTGCTGGGTGAAGTGCTCTATGTGAGTTCTTTTGTAGCTTGAACCATCCAGATAATGGACATGTAAGGCAACATTAGTAACAATCGAATAAGTAGTGGAAGACGGTCCTAGTAACGACGCTATTTTGCATTCCAAACAGGAGGAGTGGAATTCGCAACTACAGTCGATACGTTGTGTCAGCGCGAGACAGAGTCCATGCTGGCTGTTATGTTCAGCGGTAGACACAAACTTCACATGGACAAGATAAAGGTAGTTTTACATTTCACATTTGCCATTCACATGCACATAGACGTAGAATTTGGATATTGAAATCCTCTGTCATCTATCGAAGTTTCTCTTCGCCTACACTTAGAAGATGTCTGTATCAGAGACGTGCTGTCCTCGTAATATGTGCTTATTGATGCGTTTATGGGTGTACTATTTTCAGAACAAATTTCATAACGTTGGCACGCTGGCACGCTTTGCTTCCTTGACACTGTAACCGACTCCTAGACATGTGGTTTTAAAGTTTTTCTTTGCTGACCACACGAATGTATGCAGAATGCAGTCTTCATTGATCGTGATGGTACTCACTTCCGTCACATTTTAAATTGGTTACGTGACGGTGTGATTCCCCTGCTCGATCCTGCTGCATACACAGAGCTTCAAAGAGAAGCACAGTTTTACCAACTCAATGTATGTCTACCAATTCACACTTTGCAATGGTCAATGGGATTGTTGTCTCCCTGTTTTCTTTTGTGTGGCTGCATGAAATTGCGAGGTTTTGCTTATCATTTCTGCGTAATCTTCGTATTTCACACACGCATGAAGCCAGGTTCATTTATGGAATGTCATTGGGATAGTTGAAATTCTCTTTCTCTCTTCAGGAGTCCAGTCCTTGTTATGTGTTAACCCAGAAATTCTCACATGTGTACTGGTAGCTGAATTATCTTATGAGACACAAGAAGACTAATGAGATTTCTCCGCCCAAACGCCTTCTTCCAGTTTTCCTTTCAGTCTAAGACATATCGAGTATAAAATTGAGGTTTATTTTTAAGGACATGCTCAAAGACTGCCAGACAAGCTTCAACCGTCTGAGCTTACTACTTGAGTGCATGGATAAGAAGGCTAACGTTAAATTCAAAGTGAAGCGTTCTTCGAGTTTACATAGGAACTCACTGAAGTTTGCATTTGCAGATTTTCAAAGAGCAACTGACCGTCATCCTTTCAAGGAAAGAGGAAGAGGAGGGAAAGGCCGAAATGACGAGGAGTCAGGTGATCAAATGCATACAGTCCAAACGAGTTCGTTTACGAGGTGTAAGTCTGTCTGGCCAGAATCTCTCCAAGCTGGTAAGGCTTTTGTTTGAAATATGCATTAGGATGGATATTTACTTCAGTTGATGAATTTATATCCAGCTTTTCCAAATAAAACGCTCTGTTTGTCTTGATCATGGTCTGGAATGTGTTTGAGATTACGATCTAAAGCCGTAGGCAGGATTCGAAACAAATAATATGAACGAACATCACTCTTCTGTATTTGCTTGTCATAGCCTCTGCTGAGAGGTGGTAGTATGAGTAGTTAAGAAAAGAAAAGAAACAGAGAATGCACATTTTCGGTTTAGATCTTTTAGCATGGATGGTAGTCCTTGAAGTCGTGCACATAGTATGTGCTCTAAGTCCACGTATGTTGCGAGGCTTACCTTCCCCTTACACGGACAGGATTTATCAGGAGTGGATTTCAGCAACGCCAATATTGGCAACACCTTTTTCATTCGAGCAAAGCTCATCGGGGCAAACTTTTGCGTAAGTACATAATTCGAAAACACTCTAGATCTTTACATCAGTTTCAGGCATGGGAGATGACCAATCTGCTTTGCAGTTTAGTTTTTCTACGAAAACCCGTTCGTACTGTAATTTGCTAGTAGATGATTGGACGTCTGTATGGGCAACCTTAATTTCGGGAAGTCTTAATGCTTCCCCAGTATTATCACGGAGGGTCATTAACGGTGCTTTTATAATTGTAACCAAAGTCTTCCGCCCTAAAGCATCTGTTCCACAAAACTATTACTTTCAACTCTCTCTTTAAGCTGCGATATATATTGTCGTATGCCTTTATGAGTTGTATGCAAAGGTTGGCTGAAAGTTTTACAATTGTATTAAGAGTTGTGAGCTCTTTTGGGTGCAGGAAGCAGAAGCTGACGGTGCAAATTTCCACAATGCCAATTTAAGCGAGTATGGAAATATCAGGATTTTGTTTGAAATGATATCCCAAATCGAAGATCTTTAGGGTGTTGTTAAGCATAACATGCATTCCCATGAAGCTTCTGTTCTCTGGGGAACCTTCTTTCTTCCCAAATGTATCATCCGTCAATACGAAGCTGAGCACAGAATTTCTTACACATATCGTTACTCAAAAGACCTGTAAATAGCTCAAGCCTTCTGTTATGTATCCTGTACATGCCAGAGCTATGTGAGACTGAAAAGAACCAATTGAACTTACAGATGCTCATTCATCAAAGCTGGTATGCGAGGAGCCGTGCTTGCGGGTGCTCTCTTGCAGAGTGCGAATTTGCAAGGTATTTGCCGATGTTTAGCATTGAAGTTTCCTCGCTCCCATTCTTCAGAACCTTGGTCAGCTTTCTTTCGGTCGATGTGTACGTTTTGTCTCATCTTGGCATTTTCAACTGTACAAGTCATTCAGTTTGCTTGATATCGAAATGTGTGTGCAGATGCTATTCTGTCCAATTCAAGTTTCTGTAATGCGGATCTTCGTTCCGCGCACTTGCAGGTCCTTGGAAAACCTTATTAACAATTTTCTCTTAAGGAGCCATAAACTTTTATGCCTGGATTGTATACCATTGATAGCCATTACAGTTTTTAGAGGTAATTAGACTGTGTGCTTGGCTGTGAAGCCGAACTGTTAAGAAAAGTTAAGTTAAGCTTTTAAGAGCGGAGGCTACAGGGTATTACTAAATAATGGAGAGCTTATCTGTTGATGGTGTAGAATGCCGACCTTTCAAACGCCAACTTATCTAATGCCATCTTGGAGGGGGCAAACTTGAAGGTAATCAAATGTACCTGGAACACTCTTGATCTCCCTATGCATCCAGCTCTGAAAGGATGTAGTGCAGATGAGCTTTCTCTGCACACATGTAGAGAACATGCACCTCCCTGGGTTTTAGCACTCTGAGGGATATAAGTCTCAGTCTTTGACAAGAGTTTTCAAGATTTGGATGTTCGGAACCTCCTCTCTGTTTTGAGACTAGTTGATTGAGACTAGCTGCTGCGAGAATCGAAGTTGTCGGAAGTTAATTTTCCTGCTGGAATTGGTCGCAGGGGGCGAGATTGTATGGTGCAAATCTTAAGGGAGCAAACCTGCAACGAGCCTATCTACGAGATGTGGATCTTCGCAACACTGTGAGAAAGAGTCCAGTCATTCTCAACAACTAGATATCAAGAGTTTTTGGGTTTATTCTATCTTTCTGGTAATGGAAATGTATGTTTGAGATAACGCTTTCCGGTTTCCTCGTACAGATCCTGGATGGTGCAAATTTGGGCGGAGCGAACTTGCAAGGAGCGAGTAGGTGAGGAGAGTTCAAAACCACGTGTGGTTCAAGCCGCATACATGGTGATAATTGAAGATCGAGCTGGAAGGGTTCAGCCCTAATTGCCTCTGTACCCTACCGACTGTAAATTTACTGACGTCATTCACTTCCAGCCAATAAGAGGCTTCTACTCCGGACATTTGAGGAGCTGCATGTAGAGGAGATGTACATATACGGCAAAGCTTTCACTTATGTAGACACATTATTTTGTTTAACTTTGCTGCTACTACAGTAGTTCGCTCTCAAACAGAAGATGGAGTTTCTTTCTCTGCATGGTTGTACCAGTAAACCCGACTGATGTAAAGAAGTGCTCCAAGCAGAAGAACTTTCTGTCAGAGCACAAGTAGCACAAGCTGTCTTTCTTCTCATAGACCGAAGAAAAACAAGAACTTCTCGAAGTAGGAAGGAAGGAAAGAAGATTACCCCATTAGAGCAGCATGCATGACTAGTGTCGGTTGCGAGGGCACTAGTGTAGTTCTTCGTGCATGTCATGTGCATTCAATTTGTGAATGTCTGAGCTGATAAATGATATTCTGGTTTCTTCAACGGAGGACGTGTTACATGCTCTCTTCGTAACTTGTTATCACTCCTGCCAGCCTCAGCCTCCTCTCCTTCACTCTCCTGTACCGAAGAGGTTCTCGTGAACTCCATGAGCAAAACGACCCAATCATAGTGAAACTCGCCAAGACGTATGAATAAATGCCGTGGAAGATTCCATGGAAGTTCTCGAGTAATAAAAATTCACACGCATCTATCGAGTGCATGAAGTCATGGAGAAGCTGTGTTTCAGGCAAATCCTGCGCACACGCGTACAAACCACCGGGGAACGTATAGAATTGGGTAACCGAGCGACCGCCGACTAGTTACAGCGCCAATCCCCAATTGACCTTCTCGGCCCCATCACTTCCACAGGAATCGATGGAAAATACCAGAGAGCCTTCGGATACGCCAGGCCCAGAAGAGGAAGTGACGAACGAAACGGGAGGCTGAGAAGTCGGGGCAAAGTGCACATCAATGTGGAGCTCGGGTAGAGTGGGAACCGGCATCGGCCATGTCCACTTTGCAGGGTAACGCAGAGGGTGCAAGAAGGAGCAGAAGGCGCACGTGCCACGTGGTGCGTGGTGGGCCCTCCGATATCAGCTGAGCCAATCACCGCGGAGGCGCCGAACCGAGTGGAAAAAGTGCCGAAGAAAAACTTGGACCTTTGCTCAGAGAGGAGGAGCTTTAAGAACGTGCGAACATTGATTTGGATTAAGCAGAAGGAAGATCCTTGAGAGCTGTCATGTCAGGCAATCCACATCTATGTCAGCCGCGCTCTCGCCCGGACCCGGAACGCACAGCGCAGCACAGCACAACATGTTCTGTGCCGCAAGACGCCCCATGCTCATCCCTCCCTTGCGTAACGCACGCTGGCCAAGAGCGTGAGCCGACGGCGTTCATAGTTTCCCCTGGTCCCTTCACCGTTGCGGCCCTTTCCGCATGAACGATCGCAACTTGGCCACTGCGTGCCCGCTCCACTTGATCGACGATCCGTCCGGACCCTTTCCTCCTCGCTATACTCTTCCCTCGCCGGCATGTTCATCCGTTCCCGCCAGAGTTTTTCTTCATCCTTCGCCGACAGTTATATTTTCGTCTACTGCACTAGTGCACATTTTCGTGCTAATGCCGAAGATAGCGGCAATGTATTTTGTTCACTGCAATTTACCATCTCATCTGCCTTCCACTTCACGTGTTTGGCGTTGCGGTTTCTATGATTAACGATGCGATATACAATAATTCATTTCGGTACTATTCGCGTAATGTACTTACTCCAGATTCAATAGTGATAATGGTTGTTCGATTTTACTCGGCATCTTCACATGTAGAGCTGTACTTGATTTTCTGTCGAGGGTGGAACGCGCTCTCTTGCAAGGTACAACACAACTATCATTATTTCGAATTTTCAACCTAAAGACACACGTGCGACTGTCAATTCCTATCTAACACACACAGCTGCTGACTTCCCAAACGGCTACAGCCAGACGGTGAACAGCGGAGCACAGCCTGCAGCGCGCCTCACCTGCCCCATTCTCAATGCGCCTGACAGTGTCATTATTCGGGGGAGGTTGCGTGTTCACGACAGCAGCGAACATGATGCATTTCGGTCCTAGTAATTTAAATCGCGGGTCGGATGTGAGCAGGAGCTGTGAATGCGATATATATAACATACATGAGTGTAGATGTTCATCGAAAGGAGCTTCGACACATTTCACTGCCATTCCAATTCAATGCTCGTACACAGTCTGGTGATTTCAACTCCTTCAAGAGGTTAAGATAAACTTCCACTGCTCTGAAACAAGCTCGACATGGTTCCTATCTAGGTTCTAAGACCAGAACCGTAGTGTCAGCTAGATCTTACACTATCGATGTAGAAACAACTTCACCTGGCGTCTATCTGTGATTCGTCTCATAGTAGCATATACGTACTAGTCCTGGTACTGGCGTGGTACTTGGTAGGAAAACCTCAGCAGCTGATACTTCGATCCTAAAACTACTACTGTCTAGATGGGGCCTGGCTCCAGGGATGCTACAGAGCCATGAAACGAAGGGAAGCGCAGATCGATGTGATGAAACAAGAACAGAAAGGTTTTGTTTTTGTTTTTTGATAGAAAGCGGGTCGGGTATTCGTCCATATAGATTCAATGAGATACTATACAATCTGTCTTCACGGGGTAATGCCCCACCCTGTGTACCTTATTGGAAAATACACCAAAAAAATGCAACACAAAAACAATCTGTCATCACTATCAATCGTGATCTCATGAAGTTAAAGTACTAGACATCCTGAAGCACCGGTGCGTATACTGGTGGTGCTGCGTTTCTAGGCAACACAAGGAAAACCGTCAAATATGTGAAATGTTCACGACTCGGATGAAGAGTAGATCTATAGTCCGTCTACGACTACCCTGGATTCGCTCTGCAAGCAGCAAAGAACATACTCGGCACCGACCTTGGTTCTAGTTAGCTTCTAATTCCTCATTGTCATCGAACTCGCCATCGTCCTCGGCGCTGGCGTCTTGGTACTGCTGGTACTCGGACACGAGATCGTTCATGTTGCTCTCGGCCTCAGTGAACTCCATCTCGTCCATGCCCTCTCCGGTGTACCAATGCAAGAAAGCCTTCCTCCTGAACATGGCGGTGAACTGCTCGCTGACACGCCTGAACATCTCTTGGATGGAGGTGGAATTACCGATGAAGGTAGAAGCCATCTTCAAACCGTTAGGTGGAATGTCACAAACAGAGGACTTCACATTGTTAGGGATCCATTCAACGAAGTAGGAAGAGTTCTTGTTTTGCACGTTGATCATTTGCTCGTCCACCTCCTTCGTGCTCATGCGACCACGGAACATAGCCGAGGCAGTGAGGTACCGCCCGTGGCGCGGATCAGCAGCGCACATCATGTTCTTAGCATCCCACATCTGCTGGGTGAGCTCGGGGACGGTGAGGGCACGGTATTGCTGCGAGCCTCTAGAGGTCAGAGGAGCGAACCCAACCATGAAGAAGTGAAGACGGGGGAAGGGGATGAGGTTCACGGCCAACTTACGCAGATCAGAATTCAACTGACCAGGGAAACGCAGGCAGCAAGTGACTCCGCTCATGGTGGCCGAGATCAAGTGGTTCAAGTCACCGAAAGTGGGGGTCGTCAGCTTCAGAGTCCTGAAGCAAATGTCGTACAGGGCCTCGTTATCCAGCACCATGCACTCGTCGGCATTCTCAACAAGCTGGTGGACGGACAGAGTCGCATTGTAGGGCTCGACGACGGTGTCGGACACCTTGGGCGAGGGGAAGACGGAGAACGTAAGCATCATCCTGTCGGGGTATTCCTCGCGGATCTTGGAAATGAGCAGAGTTCCCATTCCAGATCCAGTTCCACCACCGAGAGAGTGGCACACTTGGAAACCCTGCAGGCAGTCGCAGCTCTCGGCCTCTTTGCGCACCACGTCCAGAACGGAGTCGATGAGCTCGGCACCTTCGGTGTAGTGACCCTTGGCCCAGTTATTTCCCGCTCCGGACTGACCGAAGACGAAGTTATCAGGACGGAAGATCGGGCCGAAGGGACCAGATCGGACACTGTCCATGGTTCCGGGTTCCAGATCCATGAGCACGGCGCGGGGGACGTAGCGACCGCCGCTGGCCTCGTGGTAGTAGACATTGATCCTCTCGAGCTGCAGATCCGAGTCTCCGCGGTACTCTCCCGAAGGGTTAATGCCGTGCTCGTCACAGATCACTTCCCAGAACTTAGCTCCGATCTGGTTTCCGCATTGTCCTCCCTGGATGTGCAAGATTTCCCTCATGGTTCCTGGCTGCTGCTGCTGCGACCACCACGCTCCTTCGGACGCGCTCGCCTCGCTCTCGCTCTCGCTCGGTCTCTCGCGCTCGGCAACTCTCGCTCTCGCTCGCAGGCAGAGCTCTCGTGAACAATGAGGGGCGGTGAGGAGCTCCTCTTGTCTGTCGAGCTCTGGGGGGAGGGCGCGAGCGAGCGAGCGGGACTGGGGCCGAATGGAGGGAAGAGGCTACAAGACGACTGATGTAGAAGTAATGCCCCACCGGATGGACGACTGACGACTTTCTATGGGCCGACTCGCTCGCTCGACCTCGCAGAAGAAGGTGTGAGAGAGAGAGGGAGGAGGGCGGGGCTGAGTAGTAGAGAGCAGTGGTGGATGCTCCCTCTCTTCTACACTTCTTACTTTACCCGGCCTCCATCAACCCTTTATATTTTAATTAACATATATTGTGGACCCATATCCCTCCCCTCTACAGTATCTTAGCATGTCTCTCATGTCAGCCCTGCTCCTCCTGACATTATGCATTCCGCCCTCACAGCCTTTCCGCGATTTTCCCTGCATTTTCTGGCCCCCCGCCCGTGAGCTGGCCTCCGGCACCCCGTCCGATCCGCCATCCGACGGCGCGCAAAATCCCGGGCCCTCGCTCCGCGCTGGGAAAATTACCCCAGCCCCCCGCATCTCCACCGTCGGGGGCCGCATCCGACGGCTGGAGGCTACGATTCGGAGGATATTCTCCGTCGTTTTCAAATGATTGTCTATCATGTGCGCGGGATGCGCTTTGTGTTGTTTACGAACGGCCAGCCCAACATGGCCTGTTTTAACGTGGCAGGAGGAGTGGGCGAATGCTCGCGGCCAATAGTGACGCCGTAGCCGGGATTCGATAACCGAGTAGTGCATGGCCCGGAATTAGTAATCGATTATCGGAATTTGAACGGAGGCGTAAATGGCCGTTCGGGGGATTTTTTGAATTATGAAATAATTAATAAATGGCAGCGAGCTCAGGGAGGATAATATTCAAATGCAGCGGAGGAATCGGATGTATGGCGACCGCTCCATGTGAGCCTTCGGATCGGAGGATCCACGGCTGGAATGGAGGTGTCAGACTCCTGCATCGTCTCAATCGTGCAGCGCCTCGCGCGGTTCAACGTGGAGCGCAGATTCTCACTGTGTGCAGAACAGCGAACCCGTAGCTGTGACTGTTCCGAACCGGGATGTGGTAGGACTTCGACGGCGTAGCCTGCAGATGCGCGGTCGGACTTCGGTCCAAAGGCAAGCAGCGCATGATGAGACCACCAGGCGAGAGTGCAGACCGCCCTTTGCGCGGCGGGGGGTAATCCGGGGTCAAGTTTTTAACCGGCCTACTTTGACCCGGCCAAACTAGCGTCCGCTTGATATTTTGAATCAGCCGGCTCTGCCCGTTAGCCCGGGAAATCGCCCAGCCGGTCACTGATCTGGCTGGCTTCCCGCGAACTCGCAAAGCAGCCTTGTCCTGCTCGCCGGGAAAAGCAAACTTTAGGGTGGATCGCCCCCGCGGCAAACCGCGGGAACGGCTACCCAGCCCGAACATTTAAAATGCGCCTCCCCGATTATTTCTAATCGTCATCCTCTTGCCTTGGGTACGAGGTTTACCGGCTGCCTGCCTCGCTGCCGGATTGACGTCATTCCTGTGACTGCACCTTCCTTTTCAGTCGGTTCGTCTGTCAGTCCCCTCTTGTCGACCCCGCGCGACCAGCTTTGCATGCCCTGGTTCGACTGACGGATGGATCACCTCTCGGCCTTTACAGTCGCTCCCTCCCTCCCTCCATCCATCGACGTTTCCCCCGAGCCTTTTTCCATTACTCCGCCCTCGCTTTTACCGTGCAGATCAGGCCTCTCTCCTCCTCTTCTCGTGCATTCTTCTGCTCTCACTTCTTCTGACTGTGGGTTGGGATTGCATGGCCCTTCCGAGTGCTTTTTGTGGTGCCTTCGGTCTCGTCGCTCGTTATTCCGTGCATGGCCGTGTTGCCATTCTTCTTCCTCTCCTCGTACATGATCTCCATGCTCTCTCTACACGCGCGCGGAAAAGCAAGACGCCATTTCTATTTCCTCCTCGGGCCCTAGCCCCTGGTTTCCCGTTCGTTTTTTTCGTCCTACGTTCACGTCTTTTTGGCTATCCACTTGGCCCCGTTCCTTTTCTCCCATGAAACACTCAAGCCAGCAAGGACAACGAGCGTAGAAATCTCACGGGACCATCTCCGTCTCTTCCTCCTCTGTTCACATCCTTTCTTTGTCTCTCGCCGTGTACAGTGCTTCCCACTACTAGAGAATGTGAGGAAAATAGTCAGTTTTGCACTAACCAGGACGTATAACATGTTTGGCCATCTCCTCACTTTCAGTGCATGTTTATGCATGCCGTTCATCATCGAACATTCCAACAACCCAGTTATTCGGAACTGTGTCCAGAAGGCGGTAAAGTCGTGGTGTTCTAAAGTAAAGGGCAGGCATGTCAGCTTATCTATACTGCTTAGGAGAACCAATAGTTCGACGATGTTTTACTTCATTCCACTCAACTTTGTTATCTAAGAATTACTGAATGTCACCTCCAAGAGCGCTAAGTCTTGGGCTGGATACCTTTCAATGATGCTGGTAACTTGCCCCTAGCACGAGAATAACCTGGAGGTAGAGAAAAAGGAATTATCATGCAGGATCGGATAAAGCAGAAAGGAATATCTACTTCGAACAAGGAAGGGAATGTTTGTACAAAAGCTCTATGAAGGAGGGAAACAAAACTTTTTAAACCAGCTAAGCTTTTCGTTCGTGGACATATCGGTGATCCATGGAGACCATGGACAGAAAACAGCGGGACCATAACCAGACCGCAAACTTGGCCTGATTGACATGTGGAGGAGAAGCCGTTTTACCTTTCTGGTGACTCTTTCTTATCTTCTCTACTTTGGAAGTACATTGTTGACTACCTACAGTTTGAGCACCATTTCAGAGTATGAATATTTCGCTGGGATACGAGATGGGTTGAGGTGAGGAGATGAGAAGATGTAAATGAAGAACTTCGATCTATGTATCCGTCTTGAACTCCAAACATTTCAAAGTCTCTATGAAATATAAATACCAGCATTAGCTTATTGCTTCAGTGTTAAAACCATATGTACAAACTAGAGAACCATATGAACTACATTGAGTTGCGTCCATTATCTTTCTACAAATGGAAACGGGTATCCATTACCACCATCCTCACTGATTACATTCCTGACCGCTCTATGATCTATATGTTAACTTAGAGATTAACCTAACTTAGAGATTAACCATCCATAATTAATCATTCATCGTAAAATCTACTAACTTTATAGACTCATAATGATAAAGCTCTATGCTATTTTAATTAGTATCATGAATTAGTTCATCTCACTAACAAATCCGTGTTCTAAGTATATCACAATATTTCCAGGATTACATTTTGCTCATTAAACCTCATTCATTGTGATTTGAATTCTTCAGAGGACAAGATCCATTTGAAAGTATTTATCTTTGAATGAAAACTATACAACAAACTGGTGTATGATATTTAGGAAAATACTTATTCACGCGTCATTTTATTGTATTAATAGATGATAAATAAAATTTTAAGAATACGATGATTCATGTCAATGTAATCTGAAATAAATGTACTTTAAGTCCATCACACATTTTATAACAAGACTACAAAAACAATTGCAAATTTTTAAATGTTGAAAAGTATACATTTTTTGAATTTTGTGAAAAATATATAAACATAAGAATACTATAAATTCTATCAATATTGGATTTCAAGATTTGGAATGTGCAAAAATATTTTCAGCCAACAAAATTTTGAATAGATTAAATTTTTTTATGAAAAAAATATCTGAAATATACAATGTAAGATAAAAAAACATCAAACTAAATTTCAAATATTTTTTTTACATTACAAAGATGCAAAAAATTAACAAATATTTTCTAATAATTCAAACAGAAAGGTAAAAAGATGTTTCTTTCCAACCTCGGTGTACAAGCTTACATCATTGACAATAACTCAAGTTGGCATAAACCTAAACTCTCATACCATAGATGAAGGGTTTTTGCAGTGTTCTTAATCCGGTTGCGACGGTAGATACATGAAGTCTAAAGTAACGTAAGAGTCTTCGCCATCGCAATAACTACTACTTCGCCGATTGTATCATTTACTTGTTTCCATGAACATAGCCAGGTTGGATGAACCACGGTATTCTCTCTGAGCTTTTTAGTGTATGTGATATTCACTAAACATACATAACATTCTATTTTTGTAATTACTACACAGATATCAGTTAATAAATACGAATATCATACCATAAAATCCTATGAATTAAATAAAACTTTATTTAATTATTTTTATCATATATTTCAAAATTTAAATTATGTTATGTATATTTCAAAAGATTAAATATTTATACCAAATATTTTTTTAAATATCATATATTTCTATGCACAAATTGGATGAAATTGTTTTAAAAAAATTAAAAATTAAAATATCATTATTTATTTTGAGTCCTTGAACATGTCATGACCATATTTAAATTTACCAAGGTATATAGTGTGTTATGGGAATACGGATCTAGTTGAATGTAATTTCTTGCGTATTATAGTTTGAGAGTGATAGAGTGGTTTTGACTCTTTGTAGTATACATACTCATATATGTGAGGGGTATAACACCTTGTGTAATGATAATCTGTTAGTTCTTTGAGTTGAGAGTTAAGTGTTAAGAGATTGTTGGTTCGGGAATAACATCCGGATATCAAAATTACTCTTAGTATTGATCTAAATTCTCCTAGTAGTGTAAGGGGCTTGGCTTGATTCTTTGTGATTTTTCATTTGTGTTGTTGTACAGTACATCGTTCACATATTTTCACTCAAAGAATTGTGTGTATTCACACGGCAAACATTGAATTAAAAGATGATACATTGTGATGTTAAAATTTTTCATTTGTTACATAAATATAGATTAGACAATTATTTTTTAAATGGTCAGCAATCATATATTTAATTTATAAGATATTTAAAACATAAATTTGATAAACTATCAATTAACTTAAAATTTATGTAAAAAATTATTTGAAATAAATTAACAAAATGGATATATATATATAACACAATTATTTTCAAATTATGATTTTTAATGATTATAAAATCATATATCACTACAACAACTGTTCAATCACACTTAATAACAAATCAGATTGAGAAAATACGATCGTTTGAGTTTCGCAGATAGCATTAGCTTAATAACATTGCACAAGAAAGAAATTATTGTCATACAAATTTTCCAACTCAAAGTTAAAGCTAATCAGATTAAAAGTATGCTTAGCAAATATCTTTGGCCCAAAGCACATATTGATCATTACAATAACAAAACATTTGTTATTGTAATGAATGTACATGAATGTAAAAATAAACTTAAATAAATGCATTGTACTAGATGTTTCTTGACTTTAAAGATAATTATTTTTATTCATCAATGTGATAAAAGCATTGATGTTGGATACATTTTAAAAAAATGTCTTCAATAATTGTTAAAAGTAGAAATTATCTAAAATATCATGATATATTCATATCATATATTTATTTTGTGCAATAAAACAAAAGTGAATTTTATTCCATTAAAATGATTTCTATATGTATTTATTTCATTTTAAATGTATCACAATTTTTGATATAATGTACTATAAAAATGAATAAAATCACTTCAGAAAATTTTTATACACCAAAAAATTTGCATATTTGCAGTATTAAATTAATATTTTACTTAAATAACTCAAAATGGAAATATTTTATATTGATTCGTACTCTGTTATTTGATTTTTTATTTTCTATATTAAGCTATAACATAGTTTCAAATCTTAAATTAAAATATAAATGTATTTTTTGAATAAAAATCAAGAACTAAAACATTTTTTAAAAATTATTTTTAAAAATTTAATTTTATCAAATTTTTAAAAAAGTTGATACAAAAAAGTGTAAAAAAATTGGTTTTTTTATTATTAACTTTTTTTAAAATACGTGAAGCAGATTAGAATCTAAAATTTTATTTAAAAGTATTGTTTATAATTTTTTTTATCATTAAATCATGAGATCAAAAAATACTTTTGCAATTGACTATTTAAAAAATTGTTTAATAGTTTAAGTAGTGGTCAATAATGTGTTGATTTAGAATGATGAAGAAGATTTAGATTTAGAAGATGAGTTGATTGATCTGTAGTCATGTGATACATGTATCTTTTATTTTTAAGCCTAGTTGAATCTCATCCATATGATGTAATCAATGTTATACTTAATGTTTTATTTATAAAAATAATACAAAAATTAGTATTTTTGACTTTACTATTTTCGGCATTAGCAAGAGCAACCACCAATGGACACATCATTATATGAATCATTCAAAAACAACAACTAGAAATCTTGGGAATCAATTTCCATGTTGAGTGAAATTTATGAAGATTTGTTTAACACGTTGGAAAATTACTAATTACAAAGTAAGCAAGAGCAATCATTAGTGAACATACCACTAGAAAACCCATTCAAGAACAACAACTGAAAATGATGATAATCAATTCTCATTTTAAATGGAGTTTGTGAAAATTTGTTTAACTCGTTTTAACTCTTAATTCCAAACGAGGCAAAATTAGATGTTGACAAGTTCATCAACATTATGGAGAAGTCAACATCCAAGAATCCATTGACTAGATGCAATAGACATGTTAAAGATTAAACTATATCACCTTATGTCAATGTGGCACTTATGTCTATTCAATCATTATCAACATGGAAAAATTTGTATATCTATCTTTCAATAATAACATGAATATTTTTTTATATGCATACAAATCAAAATTAAGCTTCATGTGTTATTTTTCATGATGTGGTGAATATAAATAAGATTTTTTTAAACATATAAAAAATTTATATAAAATAATAATAAAGTAAAAAACCACTACTTACTTGTGTAACTTTTTAAACTAAAAGATAATTTTTTTTCAATTTGATGATATTTTACATTTTTAATGTTACTTTTTACCTGATATTATTATTCTATAGCACATATTGACATTACTAACCATTAAAAATCTGATATTTTAAGCTATCACAACGTTTCAATATATTTTTTAATTGTTTGTTTCAAGTTTGAATTTAAATTATAGTTTATAAACGAACATTTAAATAACAATACCAGCTAAATTATGCTTTTCATTCTAACATGTAAACATTTACGATTCAATTTTAAAATTAAATTTAGATTTTTAAATATCAAAAAAATGCAATGAATTTTTTTGAATATTTCAATATTAGAATATATCGCACGTAAAATTTTTTAAAAAATTAGTATTCAATAAATTTTATTTAAATATTTACAAAAAACTAATTTTTTTTTGAATCTTATTTTCTTGTTGATTGATTGTATGTTTTTATATTTTTTGATATTATTCTTGAAATATTCAATAGCTAGTTCAAACATTACTATGAACAAATTTAATTTAAAATAGAATTTTACAATAAAAGAGATAGACCTTCTCCACAATGCCCTTGAATTGGATTGACTCTTGCTTCAAGGTACAATCTGGAGACAGCTAGTACTTTACTCATGTCCATTTCAGTCAAATTTGTTTTAACCCCAAGTGACATCATTCTCAGGGGACTGAAACGTATGTAGTGTCGAGTAATCTGGGGTTGTTATTGTGTTCATTTACCAACTGTAAAAAATTTTATACTATTATAGGAAATGACTGAATTTTAATCATGATAGTTTCTTATTATTGGTATGAATAATTACATCAACTATGTTATTTCATGCTTTGAGATTTGTTAGATTGTTTTGATCATTTTAATCATTAACAAATGTGTATGTTTTGGTTTCTTTTTAGTAAAAAAACCAACCAAAAAATAGTATTAAAAGAAATGAGATTCCTGTAAAATTTTCTCTTAGAAGAATGTATATACAAAATAATTTTACATTCACATTGTTACATCACCGTGGTTCATCATCAAAAAATATGAATATATATAAAATTTGTATAATTTTTTAATAAATTTTGTCAAATAGGTTTGAAAAGGGTTTGTTGGTAAACATGTGAACGGCTTATCAACTATTAAAATTTATAAAAGTTCTCATTTTCTGTACAAATAAATGCGGCTATAATTGAATATTCACATTCAGCTCAAAGCTGCATGTCCATTACCTAGGAGGAGCAAAATTTGCTGTAAACTGTCATCTGAGTGTGCTTGGATTTTTGTAAATTGTGAAGTATTGAACTAGACAATGCGTGAAAGTGATTAATCTACTCAATATGCCAACATCCACATGCAAGTTGGATATTTCTTTGATAACAAGTGTGGAAGCGTATCTGTTGTTTACAGAAGGCCTCATGTACAATAATATCTTCGTACTAACGAACCGGAGTCACTTTAGGATGGCGTTCTCACTTGCTTATCCTGTGAATATGTCCAAATTTATTCTCAGCTCTCTCGAGAACAGTTGACTAATCCCCTTTTTCACTATGTCTTACTTCCAGGTTGCAATCATGTCTCCACAAGCTACATCGCCAGGAATTTGATCTACGTATTTACTCGCACACCTTCTGTGATGCTGCGATCTCTGTATAATGGCGGAGACCGTAGAATGCTAACAGATATAGTTATAAAACGGATCTAATCAGATAATCAGATTGACTATCGAATTTGTCGTTTGGTGTGTAATAGACCAATAGGATTCGCCGGCACTTGCTTATCGAAAAATATATCCGTCGTAATACAACAATAAGTGACCATCTTCACCTCAGTGGTTCTTAAACCCAAAAGACCTTCTCGCCACTTTCGTCATTTTACGTCGTTCTACTGCCTTTTTGTGGTAGGCAGGGTTCGCAGTTGGCTATCTGTCCCCGATAAAAAATATGTACGCATAACCGTGCATCGTCTTATGTGTCTCTTTCAATCCGTCAGATCTATACTGCCGTTATAATCTAAAGACTCGCCGGGAGATGGCAGCTCTTGCTGCTGCAAATCAACCGACGATGCGGACATGTCCTACACGTCTCCACCAGGAATTTTTCGACAGTAACTCCCTTTCGTGCTGAGCTTGTTGAGAAAATAAATGCAACTTGATGCTTCCACACTACGGTAAAGGTTAATTTGCGGTGGCATTTGCAGTTTCAAAATTTTACAGCGGAGCAACATGCTTCCCGAAGAGTAAACGAGCCCTATAGAACCAGAGAGAGAGGTCGAAATCACTCTTTGCGTGTGCAACAATACTACACAATTAGATGATCAGATCTTTGTGTGGAACAATTAAAGGGAGAACAACTACACGCTTTAACTCCTCTGACACTGATGAGTTTTCAGAATAGACTTGAATTTCCATGTCTTTATCCTAAAATGCAACAGAAAGAACTCTACCGAGCATGTTGGTGGCTCCTACCGAGCTACCACATCTCAGGCACAACAGTAGTAAATCTCATCTCCAACCATGAACAACAACGAAGAAAAGCAAGAGCAATGCTGTTGATACCCGTGACAACTTAATTTCTCTATCCAACCAGAAGGACAACATCTTACCGTCATTGATAATGTATCAGATGAAAACCGAACACCAACATAAGCCGAGAGTCAGAAATATAGTCTCAAAAAAGAGAAATGGGACACAAAACCATCAAAGAACTTCTGTATCTGAAGCTATGGACAAGTAGCAGAACCATAGGTATGATCTAAGAATCTCAAGAGACGGAGAATGATACACATACGACAAATCATCGACAACAGACGGTTTAAATGAAAGTGAATGAAGCAAACAAAACTCCTACATAGTCTGCGGCCTACATACAGCGAAAAAATCTGTTCTGCCTAAGGTTAGCTCTGCCTTTCATTTATTAGCCTTCATTTCAGATACTAAACTGTACAACATTTTCTCGGATTATAGCACCCGCTTGTACTAATGATCTATACGATGAAGAAACCGGAGAGACTCGAGAGATTTCCAAGTTGAGTTACAATTCCAACCAGCTACTCCCACTCAAACTGATCGAGTGCAGTCACAAACCTGATAGAACTGTACCCTTTAGAAGATCGCATTGAGCACAAAGGAACGATCTATTCAAGTGCATGACTACAGGAACCTTCGCTTTTTATATCTTGTATCCTCCACGGATCTAATTTTTAGTGACCACAACCCCTAAAGTCACAATCAGATGTCGTAACAACAACCAAACAAACGTCAAGTTGAAGACAGAAGGTAGACAATATGAAAGATACAGCAAAGCTCCAGAGTGAGTTAATGTATGTCAGGGGCATGGCATCATACTAATAACACTAGTACACAGCTAGATCTGTGCTCCGATTCCTCAAAAAGCTCACAAGCTGCTCTTCATGGTAGAATCATCTGATCAGACTTCAGTCCAGATCCTTTGGTATCTGGAGTGTCCCTTGACCTAAAGCATCCCTGAGATGTTAGCAAAATAGAGAATTTCTTGATTGTACCTTTGAATGGAAGGAGATAGAATACATGACCCATTCTTGGACCTGTAAGGTTGATAGATAGAGCACTACGGGACGCCAGAAGCCTCTATGAAACAACAAATTGCAATATACAAATGCAGTAGGCAACACCTTAAATAGCTCAGTCACTTGTTAGAGGGCGAGTCATACACCCACACCGAAATCTGGCACGTCGAACCGTGGTCATTATTTCCACTTGGGCGTGTTCCAACAATCTCACCACGAGAGAAAAACCTGGTCGACAATCAGGATTGGTATCCCAACAACGGCACATGATTTCCACCAACGCAGGCGGACAATCCACTGGAATAGTTGGACGGACACCTTTATTGACGACGGCGAAAGCAGCTTGAACGGCCGTCATGTTTTGGAACGGAAGAGCTCCCGTAATAAGCTCCCACAAAACGATCCCAAAGCTGTAAACATCCACCTTATGGTTGTATTGCTTATGTTGGATCATTTCCCTGCACATGTATGCACAAATAGATTAGTGGTAAGCTTGTGTTATAACCTGAACCATCTTGTATATCCCTTAAAATTCATTACCTGTACGCGGCAAGAGAAAACGCACAGGCATGTAGACAACGCAACCGAGATCATGGCAGCAAACAAAATTCAATAACAACCGTAAGATCGATGCCCTACTCATGTGGCCTACAAGCATTCTCACTAGCAGATGATGTTACACAAATGTACAGCTGACCGACAGTAAAGAAGAGACAGCCTGAACAAGGATATAACCTAAAACAGCACTGCGAGCTAACACAAAGCTAACAAATCTCCACTCCGTCTCCTACCTTGCACTTACATTACAGTGGAGAATCCCATTCATAAACATTAGCTTTGTGATCAGTATAAACATGGTCCACAAACTTCACATAAGCAACGCTGTTCAAAAATCACATGACGAGAACTTAAAAGCAGAAGTACATCGCAACCAGGGAAGGGCCACAAAGGATGAGACACAGTATATCGAAAAAAAAAACACTCACTCTTGTTAAGAGCACTGCCACAAACAACACTACAGCAGCTAGATTTTTGGCGATGCATCAAACTTTATGACCACATGTGAAAGATCCATCTGACTATAAATGTCTGAAAAACGAACAAGCAAAATCAACACTGGGAGCTACTTGGCGGATACAAAGGTAAGATGAGTAAAAGAGCTGCTTACGGTGCCATCCATCGATATGTTCCTGTTTCCGGGGTCATGCCCTCTGTTTGCACCTCGATTCTGGCAACACCAAAATCGGCAATTTTGATGGACTTGTCTGTCGCGATCAGCAAATTGTCTGACTTCAGATCTCTATGTATTATATCCAAACTATGTAGATACTCCATCCCTCGTGCTACATCGAGAGCCTGTTTCACAGCCACTTTCAATGGTATGGATCTCGACGACCTTCTACTCAAAAACGATCTGACGGAGCCCCCCTTGGCGTACTCTGTCACAATGCACCAAACCATTGGTTTCCGACATGCTCCAATAAATCGCACCACATTCTGGTGCTTCGCTTTGGCCAGCATAGTAACTTCCTTGTGGAACTGAGTCTCCATCAGGAGACTTCTCTGGAGATCGTTTTCTGGTCTCTCCAGGATTTTCACGGCGACATCCTCGCCGTTATATGTGCCCTTGTATAGCCGACCGAAGGCTCCTTGCGCAAAAGGGGGGCCCATATGAAGTCGCCGTAAATCGATGGTCCAATCCTCAAATTCTTCCAATCCCTCCGTCGGATATCTCTCATCCATCAGATGTGCGGTCAGAAGATCTTCAGCGAATCCTTGACCGAACCCATTATGAGTGATGACGCTACTTGGAAGAACTACACTGTGAGACAGTGTCCCTCGAGTCGCGTTCCTTGTTCGAAGGTCAGGATGCATGAGGACCGTGTGAAGCGAGGGGTTGGATCCCACGCTGCTGTCTGGTATCGACATCGCTGACACCGACCCTCCCCCATTGCTAGTCCGCATACTACCTGTACTCTCGACGGACATGTCTGACCCCTCAGCTGCAAGTCTTTGATAGAAATCATCTGTGAAGACATAATAAGGTGTTCCATCTTGTGCCATGATCGCATTGCTCTCTCTATCTCTATCAATATCTGTCTCTTCCGCTATCCCCGAAAAACGGACACTGACTCCCTCGATATCCTGATCAGGTGAAAAAGAGAGTTCCTAAAAGCTACGCTGTTGCTCAAGAGCAGTCAAAGAAGGAAGATATCCATCGCTGAACCTGTTCCATGCGCCTGAGCGGGCCGGTCGATAACATCCGAAGCCCTTCATGGACGTGCCACGCCTTCCTCACTCTAACATCCCCCGCGACTATGATTCCTAGCACTCCGTTCGCACCTGGGCTCCCGATCGTAAAACCCTAACATCTGAGAATCCCCGAAGCTTTTATAAGCGACTGTCGAGTCGAGATGCGCTCGCCACGCTCCTCCTCCTGCCTCGCATCGCGGTCTCAAGCCCGCAGGTCCGATACGGGCGATAGGCGGCCGGACCGCGCAATCATCGCATTTCCCTCGAGGACCCGAACACCCCGAAGCGGTACGGTGCTCCTTCCTCCGCACGAAAACGCAGTTTCTCCGCCCTGCTCGACGAGTCAAGGAAGAAACAGTCGTCCCTCGGCACCCGAACGGGGAACTACAGCCGCGACACAACTACCGCCGATTCCCTGTCATACCACACACGTTTGACCCGACCCGACGACGAGCAAATCTTGCTGAGGCCGGTCACGCAGCGAGGCAGTGACAGCATCAGCGTCCAGGCATCACACGCAAGCACGCAGCGCAGTTGCGAGCTCTTCCTCCTCTCGTCCTCGCTTCCGCTCGGGTCTGTTGAAAAGGACGACCGCGATGACTGCGGGAGGGCGGGGGAGGGGGGGAGGGAGAAGAGAGCGCGAGGAAGGAAAGAAGAAGAAGAGCTGCGTGCGTGATTGATGGCGCCGAGGTTCGCGATACGGAGCGCCCTAGTGATGCTACGAGCGGACGACGACCAATTGCATCGGTCGCGACTCAACTGCTCTGCTCGGAAGGCCGAAAAAGGAAGCCATTGACTAAAACGCGATCCTCTCGTTTCGATCGCATCGACGAAGATCGATCGCTTGGCTGGCAGGCTGGCTGGCTGGCAGGCGCGCCCAGGCACGGGCTCAGGGGCTGCAGGCAAGAGAGAGCGACTGCGAGAGGGAAAGACAGACAGCGCGGGGACGAGGCGGAAAGACTACCAGATAATGAGCAAGCGCAGCGGCAGTCGGGGCTGGAAGTGACAGCCGAGGCCCGGACGCCAGGCCAAGTCCAAGTCCAAAGTCCAAGTTCGCCGAACTCAGTGCTGTACAGGAAGCCTGAGCCGGTATGTCCTCTTGTTGACCCACAGTCCTCGTCGACTCCCGACTCCGGCCTGCCCGTCGGCCCGCGACCCGCCGTACTCGCCCCACAAGGCCAAGTCCAAGTCCGAAGTCCAAGTTTGCCGAACTCACTACTGTATAGGAAGCCTGAGCACGTTCATCCTCTTGTTGACCCACAGTGGTACTCGACTCCCGACTCCGGCCTGCCCGTCCGCCCGCGACCCGCGGCACCCGCCCCACATACGGTATGGTACACCTAAACCGCGAGCGAGAGGCCAGCCAGCTCCGACGAATGAGCGAGCGCCTTTGCCCGGCCCCGGCAGGAGGGGAGAGAGAACTGTGAAGGAAAGCGGACGGAAGCAGGGTGACTGAAAGGTGAGGGGAGTAAAGGAAAGACAAGCGAAGGAAAGGCAAAGGTAATGAAAGTAAAGGAAAAGAGAGGACCTCGAAGGCGACAAAAGGGGGAGGGGCACTCGGGCAGGGCAGGGCAGGGCGGGGCAGGGAAGGCGAAGCTTAATGGCTGCTCCAATATTCCGATATGTCGACAATCGTTCGTTCGGCATGTGTTCTGGAGGATGTGGGGAATGGAATAACTGCTCCCGTACTTTGTTAATGTCTGCTTGCTCGTTTGTAGTGGCTGAAACATGGCTTGCTTGTTGGGATGTTCCCATGAGGAGGAGATGAGATCCGATCAGAAGAATGGATTTGCTCATAGTTTATAATAATTATTCTTATTATTATTCCCGATTTTTGCCCGGGGGAATCTCTTCCCCATCTTAAAGTCCTTCCATCCCAGGGAGATTAAAGTATCGACACGCTGGCCTAGGATTGAATCTCGTCGAACACATTATCTCTTCGCCGACTCTTCTTGGTATTCATTTCAGAAGACATTCCCTTTACATGGACCTTGCCAACTGCATTTCATCGTTATTGATCAGTGTGGCCCAAAAAGCACCAACTTTGCCCTGAAAACGGAAAGTTAGTATTACTAGAGGTTTTGATCCACAAAGTCGTGGGAGACAGAAAATCAGTCTTTTGTTTTCCCGGCCTGCGACCCAGGAATTTTGAGAGAAATGTGACTTTCTTTTCACTTGCGGTCCCGCGAACAGGTACTAACCTGATCATCCCCCACCCTACGCGTCTACTTTTCATCCTGTAACAACATTTTCTAGGATGGGCCAAAATGTATGCCTATGCACGTCAAGCCTTACTCTACTATCAGGTGCTAGTTCCGCACCTTTTAGTTGTAAGACATCGTCTTTTACAAACGTGTCATCTCGCCGGGGGTTCGCTCGTAGTCTGGCATGCATATGAAGTGTGCTACTTTACATCGGCATTATTGTAACATCATTCACTCACAAAAAACAAACAATGCTATTTCTCATATTCAATTTCATCAATATTTTATGTTACACAAAATAACAAGGAGCAGATATGGTCTCATCCGTCTCAACTAGTTAGCGTTGTCAATGATGACATCTAGAACAAAGTCTTTCATACTCTACAACAACATTTTACATCACACAAAAAAGAGTTATAATTACAAGCTGTTTGAAGATGCGTAAAACATGATGACTACTATGAAAAATGAACTAATTTTATATTGTTTTCAAAATATATATATAACTTAATACAATATTTTTTAAGTCATAGTATTCAATTTAATACCTTATAAAAAAAATTCATTTGTAATTTATTTCATGTATACTTCTTGTTAAAAACCTTATAAGAAAATTATGTATTAGATAAGATGCTTATGATGATCGATGAAAACCTTCATGTAAACTTCCTTATCCACACATTTTGAATAATATGAATATAACATCAAACTTCAGAAAAAATTTTAAAATATTATTATTATAAGCTAAATTCACATGATATTATGACTGTCTTCAGCTTGCTTTCATATTTCATTACATTATTTAATCATCCGGTCTTCATCCATTTACCATTAGCTCCGAAGTCTCCTACTGCGGACCTGGACCAGGAGAGGCGGTAGTCGGTCGACTGTCCGGTCATACTCTGTACAGTATTCAGAAACTCTGCCAACTAATCAGAGATGGATTCGAGCTAACAGGGCATCCAGTGACTATGGACCGTGATACCTCACACTCACCGACCGGTGACCGGTCCTAAAACCGGGAGCAAGTTTCGATTCAGCAGTAGACTCGGGGTAACCGGAGGATGTATGGAGGGCTGACCTGCGTAAAATTGCCACCGTAACGGAACACGAGAATATTTATTTCCAAATTCCGGAATTCATTAGTTGAAAACTGGCCGTAAGTCTTAAGCTTTGCCCCGAAACCTGACATAAAATTATGATACAATACAGTAAACTTACGAAAAAATTTAAGTGAATATGCTAAATTTGTTAATTTCAGTTTGATAAGAATTAAAAAATAATTTGTTCTATATCATCAAATTATATTATATGTATGATTTATAAATATGTATGTTAAATTCTTTCCTTTAAACTGATGAAATATTTTTTTTTAAATAAAATTCAATTGATTAAGTTTAATAAATATTATTAAGTGTTGTCTTGCTACTCAATCTATAATGTTGTAATTTGAAAATTTTTTAAATGAATGCACAATCTTTCATCTCCGTATGATACAACTTATGTATTTCTATGTTTATGACAGAACTATTTGAGGTGTTGTTTTTATTCTTCATACAATATTCTGCAGGATTGCATGTACATTTAGTGAGATGAAGAAACTAGATTATTGTTTACTTTTATCTCAGATGAAATATCCATATTCAGTAACTTTGATTTAAATGTGATATTATGTGGAAGCAAGAAAATGTGCTTATTAATATATATCTTAATTTGTTGTTCACCTTTAGGTATGATAAAAAATCCATCAAAATACTGCATGATATAACTTGCAGTGAAATATGTAAAATAAAGTGAATAAAATATAAATATGTAGCATTTATTAATTTTTGTTTGTAGCGCGAATTTAATTTAAATTCGAATATTATGATAAATTATATATTGAAGTTCATAATTGTAATGCATTGATTAAATAATAATTTTGTAATTAATAAGGCAATATTAAATTAAAATATTTTGTTTTATTAAAATAATTTAACAGATACAATTATAATTGACACTTCCAAGAAATTACTTGAATAAGTTAATTGTTGGTAGTGAGAATAAATCTTGAACATATGTTAGATCAAAGAATTTTAACATGATTCTTTATAAAAAAATAAAATACATACATGTTGATATAGAAATAATTTTTGATTAAAACATATCATTTTCTGGATATATATATACATATATATATATATATATATATATATATATATATATCTCTTACTTATATGATCTGTTCAGTTTTGTCTACAAAAAAACTGTAAACAAAGAAAGTAGAGAATAAAAACTGAAATTTGTGAAACTTCCTTATAACGAGTATACAACCAACCGTACACTTTACTTTGTTTTATCTTATACTAGAGAAGATGCAAAAACAAATAAAAATTAATTTAGTGTTTTAAAATTTTAGATTTGATTCGTTTATCAAACGCATACAAGCAACAATAAAACATCAGATATTACATTATTATGCTTGACCATGTGAACTATCGGATGTACGGGAATGAACAACAATTTATCATAATATTTTATTGATTTGTATTTCCTTGTGAATTTAATTTAATTGTTACAAAACATGGGCCCTGTATCGAACTGCATGAACAGTCAATTGTGAATATATATTTGAGAGCTTTGTTTGTGTTGTCATGGTTCTTCACACATGTCTATTTGTCTAAAAGTTTAGATAGTATGATTATGCATGGAGGGCCATCAACTAATATATCTAGTGGGGTATTGATGACTCGCCTAAATTTTTTGTTTACTTCAATAGCTTGTTGGTTCAAAAGCCTTTAGTTCATAAAAAACTATACATTATAAACTCTGACATGTGTGTGAAGATGTAAGAGATCCAGACACAAGATTTAGCTTTCTTTGGGTTATGTGTAAAACATGCTTGAGTCCACATGGTTTGATTGATACGCAGACAGAAGTAGGTAGGGTTATAAATATGCGAACAATCAAGTGAATGATTGTTTGAAATTGGATTATTAGTTTGGAGTATGTTTGACCTACATAGTTAGTACACATCTTTCGCTGTGATATATGGAGGGATTCCTAGTCTTATATACTAGCAGATTGATAGGACTTGAGCCCCACTGAGATTCGAATGGATATTTGTGTGAGATGGACGTATCTGATGCTCGATCAGATAGATTAAAAATGTCGGGAGCATTTAATTCCGGTGCTCACATGTTCACATCCGTTTAGTTCTTCCAAGGGGCTCCGAGGAGAGACAATCTTCGACAGGACAACACGATGACCGGGTGAAAAGGTTGCACGAGAGGTACCCGAGAGAAACGAAGAACTTGCTTGACCGGGGCCCAGGCACTCAGTCGGTCAAGGAGACCGGGACGTTCAGAACACGAACATGTTCATACGAAATGACAAATGCAGCGTGATCGACAAATGGCCGTGTAAGCAAGTGACGAACGCCGTCTTGAACATGATGATGATCGGCAGCGGCCCGGCGCTCGTTTGTAATATCAGATCGGCGCTTCCCGCTCTCGCCTGCTCTCTTCGTCGCGTCTGTTGTTTTGCCGCGGAGGAGCGAGAGAGCGAGCAGAGGAGCAGGAGGGAGCCCAAGGCCCGAAGGCAGAAAGGCATGCGATGTTGTCGTCGTTGTTGCGCAGGCGTGCGGAAGTGAAAAGCGGCGGGAGATGTGCGAGCGTCTGGTGAGCGTGGGAGGGAGGATCTGAGCACCGGAGGGACCTTCTCTCAGGCGAAGAAATCGTGCACAGTGGCCGCAGGAACCAGCCGTGAAACGAGCTTGTGTTGCGAGGAGGAGAAGGAGGAGGAGGAGGAGCAGGAGGAAAGGGACCTGATGATGATGATAGGACCGAGAGTGCAGAAGAAAGATGATGCCAAATCTCTCACGGCCTGCGCCGTCGTCATCAGTTTGTCGGTGAGTGGATGGCGATGACGAAGCCCATCCTTCTTTGTTGTTGATGTTGTCGTCGTTGTTGGTGAAGCTATCACAATGCTGCCCGGGAGTCGCAGTAGCCGGCTTCGTCTAGACTTTTTGCAACTGCTGAAACAGATAAATAGATGCCAAGTCTGCAGGATCATTTTCCCACGGTAGGAGCATCGAGTATCTCAAGAAGTCAGTATCGCTTTCTGAGAAGTAGGGAGGAAGAGGGAGTGTTGTGGCGGCACCTCTCAGCATTACCCTAACACAGGCGCACTTGCTAGGAAGAAATCACACGTAGCTGACTGTCGGGGCTGCTTTTGCGAATTGACAATCTACGAGCAGATTTCGACTCGGGACTTTTTTTAATATGCGCAAGCGTTTTCAAAATTTCAGGGACAAGAACTTTTATTTTCATGGCTCTTTCATTGAGTCCGTATGATGCAAAGACTGTCTGAAGGTGACTGATTATGGAAGGCGACGTCGTAGCCGATCTGGTGAAACAGCTGGTGAAAAGGATTCTTCCCAGCCAGGCCAATGTATCTGAGAAGTCAAGCAGCAATGGAGACCACCGGGATACTGTGGGCGAGAGAGCTTATCAGTATGCCATGCGAATTATTGGCAGCCGCATTGCCCCCTCTCTGGCCAGCGATGAAGTTGCCATGGCAGAGGCTATCAAGCGGCAGCTTGTGCTGGAGGGTAGGTCTTCAGATGCGCTCACATTTGCGGATTTGCACCGGAGGTTTGCCTCGCTCAGTGGCCCCGGAAGCGTAGAGAACAGGTGGGCGGTGCTGTATCTTCTACGAGCCGTTTCAGAAGATCAGAGACGAGAGGGAGTGGAGACGAGAGGAACTGCAACTCCTTTCACTTCGACGCTGTCGGGTCCTGCCGCCCTTGGAGGTCTTCAGGCGTTACCGAAGTCAGCTGAGCATCCCAAGCTCCAAGTTCCTCATTCCGATTCACCAAGTCCGTCACCATCACCGAAAAATTCATTAAGGAATGGAGGCATTCGTCCGTCGAAGTCGCAGTCAGCAAGTTCAGACCACGGCCATCAAGGAGGTGTCCTGATACTATCAAAAGACGCTGACAATGTGAAGTCTGTAGCAATCAGGGAATTTGTAGAAATTAGTCAAGTAGATTTGGAAGTGACTGAGGCAGCACTTGTACGGGATGTCGTATATGCCTGCCAAGGTATAGACGGACGCTACGTTAAGTTTGATAAGGAACAAGATGGTTACGTCGTAGATTCTAACGTGAAGGTGCCCAAGGCTACAAGAGTTCTCGTTCGTCGGTTGTGTGAAGTGGGCTGGCTCTTTCGTCGAGTACGCAATCACATATCAGAGAGCCTAGAAGACGGCCCCCTGGAGGCTATAGGCACCGTAGGACAAGCATTTTGTGCAGCTCTGCAAGAGGAACTTGGGGATTACTACCGCCTGATGGCAGTGCTTGAGACGCAAGTCTACCACCCTATACCCTTCATGTCCGGTGGTGTGGCTAACAACGGAGGAAATTATCTTTCACTTCGCCGTTTATCTGTCTGGCTCGCAGAGCCTTTGACGAGAATGAGGCTGATGGCTGTGCTTGTGGACGACTGCAAAACTCTCAGGGGCGGTGCAATGGCTGGTGCGATTCACATGCATTTACAGCATGGAGATCCTCTTGTTCGGAGCTTCCTAAAACGCCTCATGCGTAGAGTCTGTGCACCGATATATGAAATGATTCGCAGATGGGTTCTCGAAGGAGAGGTGGACGACCTGTATGGAGAGTTTTTTGTGGTAGCTCAGCCTGTAAAAGCAGAAGCGCTATGGCGTCAAGGTTATCAGCTCCAAACGTCTATGCTTCCGTCATTCATTCCAGAGCCTTTAGCCAAGCGAATTCTTCGAACCGGGAAATCAATCAATTTTTTACGAGTGTGTTGTGAGGACCAAGGGTGGGCGAGAGCTGCAGCGGCTGCCGTGGCCACCGTTCGAGCTTCTGCCAACGGTGGAGGTGGTTTGGGTTACGGTGAGACGGAGGCGCTGGAATCATTAGTTGTGGAGGCCGCTGGCCGGATTGATCGACATCTTATACAAATTGTATATAACCGATACAAGTTCAGAGATCAATGTCTGGCTATCAAGAGATATCTGCTGCTCGGGCAAGGGGATTTTATTCAGTACCTTATGGATCTGGTCGGGCCTGAGTTGTCTTTGCCCGCCAACACTCTCAGCGCGTTCAAGTTGTCTGGCACGCTAGAGAGTGCAATACGAGCTTCCAATGCTCAGTACGATGACAGCGACATCTTAGACAGATTACGTGTGAAGATGATGCCACACAGCGATGGTGACAGAGGCTGGGATGTCTTTTCACTGCAATACGATGCAAGAGATCCTTTGACAACTGTCTTTACTGAGGACGTCATGGCCAGATACCTCAGAATTTTCAACTTTCTTTGGAGGTTAAAGAGGGTAGAACATGCTCTGAGTGCCACTTGGCAGACCATGAAACCTAACTGTCTCGTAGCTCGGTTGTCAGCGATTAAAGGTGATGGAGTGAAGTCGGAACTTACAGTCGTTTTGAGGCGATGTCAAACACTCAGAAATGAAATGAATCACTTCGTTACTAACCTTCAATACTACATCATGTTTGAGGTCTTGGAATTCTCCTGGGCCAACTTTCTGGAAGAGATGGAGGTTGCTCATGATCTTGACGAGCTTATAGCAGCCCATGAAAAGTACCTGGGTTCAATTGTAGAGAAAGCTCTTCTTGGCGAGCGGTCACAACTTCTCTGCAAAACTCTATTTTCATTATTCGATCTCATTCTCAGGTTCAGAGGTCTTGCAGACCGCCTTTTTGAGAACGCGCGTGAGATGGATGCCAGGTGAGTTGTGTGGCTCAGCTGATGTCCGTCTTGATCATTACCTTTTTGTGCTTTCTGCACTGTTTACATGCCCTTTCTATGCTGTCTGCTTAAGGCTTCCTTGGACTATTGGGTGTGGTTTGCGCAGAAGCCAAAACCCCACGAAGCAAAGAGCCAAGAAGGACTTCCACATTGCAACCTTAAGCGGGAGGAAATCTTCAATGTCGTCCCTTTCTGGCGATTTCTTGGCAACTATTGGTGAAGAGATGGACGGTGTTGCAGTCGAATACTCATCCCTTTTGGAGGGTTTCATCGCGCAGCTTCCTGCACAACAACATGTAGATTTAAAATTCTTATCTTTCCGCTTAGATTTCTCCGAGTTTTATACGCGGCAGCACATGAGCATGTCAACAACACCCTTGAAGTTCAAAAGGACACCCTTGAAGTTGTGAAGCTCGTTTCTCATGGTAACAGCTCGTGAGGATGTAATCTGCCTGTCAATTTTCGCAGATGTTAGGTTTTCTGAAACGACTGTGACACACCAGGTAGTTTGAGAAATGGGCCCAGTTCCTCGGAGGGTGTTTTTTTACCCTTTTTGTTGGTTGTAGTAGGAAATACCTTCTCTCACGATCAGAGTGAGCATCTTGCTGCGAGTAGACTTTTATATCGGGACTCCTTTCCGTTGGGAAGTTGGAGTGGTAGGTTACCTGCTCCTTCACTACTAATCATTGCCAGCCAGGTTGTTTTTTTAGTCTGTAAAAATGAGCGTTGAGAGCAGCTTACCTGGTGGATTAGGTGGCATTTACGTAGTCCACGATTGTACCCTCATTCTTTTAGTTTTGGCGTAGGATTCTAAGAAACAAAGTCCTTTAAAGTTACGCAGGTCACTGACTCTCCAGGACCGGGAAAGGACGCCACTGTGTTGTGTTGTTTGGTTTGGAAGCCTGCAACTGTACACTAAACATTGACACATCAATAGCTGAAACATGTGAGGCCAATTCATTGCTTGTAATATAGCCGAAAGGTTCTGTATCACTCATCTTTCACTTCATCTTCCATAGACCTGCTAAGTACACCAGGTCTGTTGTTGAACAAGTCTATAAGGTGCCGACCTGGCTAACGGGAACAGTTCATATTGCATGTACTCTGAAGTCTCAGGACGGGTCATGTGACAGTCTTGCACGATTCTTGTATGTTCAAAAGGTTGACGGTCAAATCACGGAGTTTCAAAATGCTGCGTGATCTAGAATGGCTGTTGAGCACTTAAGGGAAGTAGTTGTCTCTGAAATTATTGTTGCATGAGTTGACAGTGCAGATTTTCGGCCATCAAGTTTCACTTTGTTTCAGCACGGTGGTTGGAGCAAGTTAGAACAGGGCTTTCTTAGGTCAGGGACGAGGATTCATATGTTAGGTCCGTAACCTTTCTTATTCTTATCCTGGAATCGAGACCGTAAGTGCAATACAACACCTACGAGGAGTCATGGAGTATGATTTGTCTTTGAAAAAACGTGCGGAATGTAGTCTGTCTCATTTGGGAACATGGACAGATTGTTATCGGTTCTGGCGTTCGACGATTTTAACATGGGAGAACTGTCTCGTGCGACGCTATAAGCTGATATTGTTTCTTCTCGTTCATTTGTACCACTAAGTGGAATGGACCTTCACAAATGCTGCCGGATTTGCTGCTTCCTTCATCATCGGCTGGCAAGCTATACGTAAGCTTCTGAAGTCACTTACATTTCTCAGCACTTCCCGTTGTAAGCTTTGCGCGTTTGAAATCTGGTTGTAAAGTGGCACAGATTGAGTGGTGGGAACAGCCTCACAAGTAAAGGAAATCTTCTTGAGTAACACGAGCCAAGGTAAGAATATCAATCGATCTGTTCTTTGACGTGAAACCCGGATGTGAAATATCGACATGGTCTTTCGTTTCAGAAATAGATCCAGGTGATGTGTTGATTTTCTGATTAAGTTAGATACAAAGGAAATTTGTTTGTCCAATCTTGCGTATTTCAGCTGTGTTACAAATGCAATCATAGTTTTATCCCTGTACGACTTGATGGGGTCTTCCATCCTTTTTGCTATACTAGTTTTTTTTGGGGGAAGTTTTAACTCTTTATTCACAATTGTTTTTAGTACGTGCTATATCACGTTTACTGTCTTCCGAAGCGCTTGTCGGTTACACATTCTAGTCTTTGTGGGAACGCAAACAGAGTTATTGAACCATGTACTGACTGAAGGTTGTGAAGTGTGACGTATCACCAATTACCCTAACACGCGGAGGTGGAGACTAGCTTGCAGCAGTATGTACATCTGATATGAACATTAACGTCAAGATCAACGTTGAACTTTGTAGATAATTTTGTTATTTTCTTCACCTTTTAGTAAGAAGCGGTCACTTATCCTGTGCCAGCTGTTACCTTACGATTGCGACTAGTGTGCTACAGGGAACTACCCAGTAACAGAAACCATTCTGCCCTGGCCTGAATTAATTTCGTCGAATGTAAAGAGAAGCAGCGTTGGTAATCTTAGTCGGTCTTATGGAGTAACTTGGGATGTGATCTGGTTACGAGAGTTTTTGTTTGGTCACTTCCATTTACCTCTGTGGCTGCAAGTTGATTTTAAAGAGTGTCGAAATGCCTTTCACGTATTGGAGTCACAGAGACGTGGCCTAGTTGACGTTGTGGAGGACACAAATTGGTGCACGTTTTCGAATTTCGTAAGTGTTTGGCCTCATCTGAGTCTATTGCAACATTTCATTACACGTCGCATGTCAAAGTTTTGTGTAGCACTGCTCCGTTTTCCTAGTGAGCGTTTTTCCTCACGAAGAAATATCAGAATTGATTGAGTCCAATTTTTTGATTTATTAACAATGAGTCGGAATTTACAACATGATAAAATTTATATGTAGTGCCTTGGATCCTATTTGATTGTTCCTAACAATCTTCATGCTTATATTTCTGTTTTAAATAGTCAAATAAAAAATGTAATATTTGTTTGTATCTGTGAGTTTACTTCTCATAATTATATCTTCTCTTTTTATGGAAAGTAATTATTAGTCAGTTCCTTTATATACGATATACTTATATCGAATATCATTATGATAAAAATTGTAAATACAGTAAACAATACTCTGGAATCAAAACTTAATGAAAAGATTTCGTCTATATACCATCTTTAGGCAGTTCACATATAGCCTAAACGTTAACATCCGTTTCCATCTTGCGAAAGATTATTCCACTTTGTACTAAGTGAGGATGATTACATTTTGATCGTAGAAAAGAACCCTCTAATAAGTTTGTAGCTAATGAAACTATTCGTTTTCGTCTCAAAATTAACACGAAGTGCTGACTCATTTAACGAACACACAGTCTTGTCGCACACAGAAGATCACTTCCCAATAGAAGATAACAATTCATTTGCAAGATAAGACGAGTTTTTTTAACCTTTCTGTGCATCAGATAATCAGGGTCGAAAGAATACAGAAAATGCGTGGACTTTCGAAATGACATTTTGTTCGGGCTATCATAACGCGAACCCAAGAGAGGAGATGGTACGATGGAAGAACCACTTGAGTCCTACCAGTACGCGTGTCAATTTGACTGATTACAAGACGAAGTTTACGAGGACTATGAATCCAACGTCCTCGGGTTAGGTTTATTTGCCACCCTTGTCAACATGTTCGAGAATACATCCCAGGAATCCGCTACCCTCACGGACCAACTTCGAATTCCTTCCCGCGCGTTGAGGCTCAGTGTAGAGCACCACTGTCCTTGAGCTACTTCGCGTCTATGCCCTATCTCATCAGTGCTCAACTTATCACTTTAAATTCGAAACCAGACCATAACCATCAGTAGCGGTCTATTTCCACCCATGGCATTACCCATGGCCACCCATCCTCTTCAATAGTGTATGTTTCGCTTGTAGTAATTCAACTCTCATGGTCTCGTGTATGTTCGGATATGGAGAACGTGAAAACGAGATGGCCGAGGTTCGATTCGTCTACAATGTAATTGGAACTTGTTATATATCTATCCGTTGAAAACTTAACGAACTATGATTGACGAGTGAAATCTTCTCTTCCTCCCTGAATTCGTTTCATCTACTATCCAAATGACACTCGTTATTTATTTCACACACTGACGTGCGTGAAATCTTCTCTTCATATATTATCTAAATGACACTCGTTATTTATTTCACACACGGACGTGTGTGAAATCTTCTCGCCGTGAGTTAAACTCCAGTGACACCTATCATGTTAATAAAATGGTATTGACATGAAAAACAGGTTAGGTCCAAATGTCAATCAATATTGAGGGTATGGGCATGGTTCCGTACCCAATGGAACCTATGCCCACCCATGAACAATAATATCACTTAAAACCCATGGTCATGGTTGGGTTTGGGCACCCAATGTTGGACTCTGGTGCCGAGCTGAATAGAAGCAATCACTACCAATCCACATTTTGCTCCATCACTAGATTCTGGTTATAGAGCATATGCAAACATGCTTAATTTAGACGACGTTATGGCGCAGCGCCTAAATGAACTAAATGTACTCTCTCTTTGGCGATTAAAGTAATGCTAATATAGTATGCCTCCCCCCATTTAGATGATCTGAATCGAGAGTTATCTTATTCATCAAAGACACCGTAGTGTCTCCTTCGCATTCACATGCCACTATCATATCTAAGATATCCAAGGTTTCGTAAATTTACACACCGAGACTACATCTTTATATTCTTCATTTTCATCGTGGCTCAGTATTCATTCATTACCCTTGGTTTTTGGCCAGAATATTTTAAGCCTATTTCTAGTGCTTGAAGAGTACAAAGATCAGCCTCTCTCGTCATGGAAAATCTGCTAGATTTTGAAGAGACGGTTATTTGGTTCAAATAATTCTGAAGTTGGCTTGACTAGTGGCAAGTTCACGAACGGATAATTGTTTTTGCTCTGTTACGTAGCAGATACTAGCCTCACTTGCGCAAAATGAAACTAGTAGCCTGATTGATTCGAGTGCACCACACAACAACAAGTGATGTGATTCAAATTGAGAGAAGAAAACCAATAATCTTGTTCCAAGGAAAATTCTAGACTGCGTGCAAAGGCAACTTCGCGTCTCTTGAAAACACAAATCTATTGTGAACTGAAAGGGAGAGAGTTGTTTGAAGTGACCCAACTGAGTGGACAAGCTGATAGCTTTACAGATGAATCTTAAATCCCAAAGGCTAATTCGTAGCAAAGATATTGCGATGTGTGCTCACAGTGTCATGGAATGCTAGGAAGCACATTTATTTGAGATGTAATGTAAGGACTCTCCGTTGTGTAAAACCTCATACTTTGACCCGTCGTAAACTTATCATTGGAAGTGGTAAGTTCCATTGTTATCTTGCGGAGCACTTTATAAAAGATTATAGACACCCTTCCAGCAATCAGGATGGCTTTGATGGTAACTCTACTCAGTGTAGCGAGTAGCACTGAATGCAATTTACGAGATTGTTTGTGAGAATAGATGCAGTTTTTTCTTTTGTAAACATGTTCCTTTTTCCTTTGCAAAAGAGGAAATTATGTTGGCACTCTTATACTAGGTTTCCACCCGGAGTTGCCTCGCCAGGCGTGACATTTGGAAGACTTTCTTCGCGAGAAACCATCAGCAGCCTAAATTAAATTTCATGATGAGACTAAATTAAGTTTATTTAGGTAATTTAGTCTATTGACTAATATGAGCATGCTTGAGCACAGGGGATTGGGTTGTTGCACACACAGATCAAAAATAATGTCAAAGATTACGATCGAGAACATGCTCTACTTGGGTCACTCCTGCACTTTAAGTGTGATATTTCTCCCGAATGATTTCGACCTTGTGAGCACGGAAGGCGGAAAAGTCCTCTTGTTCATTCAGTTGATGATACAGTCTGCTGAGGAGTTGAACTAATGCCCAAGCACGAAGATATGACTTCTGGCGTGAAAGGCTGCGTGAACCACGCCGTTGGCTGGTGAAGAGGCGTCAGGGTTCCGCACAGTCGCAGCCCTCAATGAAAACACCTGGTCTTGTGAGGAATAAGAGTAGCCATGTTTCGTTTCGCTTCCCCGACTTGGAATTGCATCCGTCAGCGCGCTTTCCTGTGCTTCATAATACACCAACGGGTGACTGCAAACAGATCGATTTTACGAGGAATTTCGAACGTCGAATATACCAAAGCTGGATTTCGTAATTCAAATAGGTCTTCTAGCCTTTCATGCCCGGGCAGGAATGCAGTTTGACGTGTTCAGTGTAGTCCGGCCTCAGGGATGGTAACGTTCGATGCGATCGGAAGGTAGTTCAGCGAGTTCATGCGGTCATCGATTTCACGGGGATAGCAGAGTAGGAACGCAGTGTCGCGAATGCATATCTATTTCTACGTCAGCGTTTCGTCTGTTCGCCGTGGCTTGTAAATCAGCACGCCACTCGTCTTATGGAATCAAGGGGCGCATCGGCTCACAACCCTGAGGTAAACGTTGGTCGTCGTGTGTCGGTGCAAAGGCTTAATTTCTGGTAATTGTATGTCGAACGAAGTCCGTCTTTTCTCGCGCTTCGGTGTGTATCCCGGGAACCATCGATGAGCCATCCCCCGGCAATCCCCGAGTTTCCAGAGTTTCCCCGACGAAGAACAGATTCTCGAGTCGTAAGAACGAGCACAGGACGCCATTGCAAACTCCCTCACGAATCGCTGGGACATTCGTGGCAAGCATCAGCATCATAGTCGGCGGAACAGACTCCCTCTCGCGAGTTCGACCGGCCATAAGCGAGAACACTGGGCTTCTTCTCCTGCACCGATCGCAGAAACCACCGGCCCGTCCGTCCGTCCGTCCGTCCGTCGAAAGAGTCTCCGGCACTAGTTTCCGCACTTCGCGAAGTCAAAGCGTGAGCGTTACGTCGAGCGTCGTCGTTGTCGCAGCTCTGGACACGAACGAGTTTGGCTCGTCCGCGTACTGTACTTACGGCCTTGCTTGGTTCATGAACGTGCGTCTGTCGTAGTCGCGGTCGCGGTCGCGGTCGGAGGGCCGGAAAAGTTAGGGCAGTAGCTGTCCGTGGTCCTCTTTCTCTCGACGAAGTGGGACCTGCAGGAATGAGCAGTGAGTGCGACGGAGTGTGGCAGACGAGCGATGCCGAGCCAGGAAGCTCTGATCGAGGAGTCCGAGAGTGGGACGAGATTTTGGGCCTCGCCACGTTGAAATTGGATGCGCATGTTGAGGGTGCACAGCGGCCATCGGCACCAGGTGAAGAAGGCTGTGCGGCTGGAGCTGGAGCTGAGGCTGGAGCGGATTGCGGTGGGATGTGTGCATGCAGGATGAAGCAGGAGAGAGAGCTTCGACAGCACGATGGTCGGGGCAAACGACAGCAGCCCTCTCGGGTGCCAGGACCTGCCCAGCCTTCCTCTCAGGAACGAAGCGGTCGCGGTCGGAGGGCGGGAAAAGTTAGGGCAGTAGCTGTCCGGGATCCTCTTTCTCTCGAGGAAGTGGGACCTGCTGGCATGAGCAGTACGTGCGACGGAGTGTCGCACTGTGTGGCCGGACTCGAGACGAGCGATGCCGAGCGAGCAAGGTCTGATCGAGGAGTCCGATCGGGCTTAGCCACGTTGAAATTGGATCCGCATCCTGAGGGCGCACAGCGGCCATCGGCACCAGGTGAAGAAGGCTGTGCTGCTGGAGCTGAGGCTGGAACGTGGCCCGAGCAAGCGGATTCCGGTGCATGCAGGATGAAGCACGAGAGAAAGCTTCGACACCATGATGGTGGGGGCAAACGACATCAGCCCTCTCGGGTGCCAGGACCTGCCCAGCCTTCCTCTCAGGAACGAAGCGGCTGGGATGAGGAAATTCCGCCCGAACCATCATCATTCCTTCCTCGGCGACGCGAGCCGCCGATCGAATCTGACTATCCAAGCCTTGACCTAGCAGGGGACGTGGATGCCGGTTATTACGATCAAGAATTGTCAATTTTGGGAACTCCAGTCGTTGTGCGAGTGGCTTACACTGCGAAAGGTGTCGATGATTGGATCGACGCCTGCGCTTCCAGCGAACGCGTCTTTGGATTCGATATAGAATGGCGTCCCAACTTTCACAAGGGGCAAGATAATCTTGCCGCACTATGTCAGCTCTCGACTGCAAACCGTTGTTTGATAGTGCAGCTTTTATACCTGGACTTTATTTCTGACAAACTCAAAGCTCTTCTTCTCGATCCGAGCAAGAAGTTGGCTGGTGTGGGAGTGAAACAGGATATTAGGAAGCTCTGTGACGATTACGGATTGAAGTGTCGTGGTGAGGTGGATCTGTGTACATACGCAGTCAAAATTTGCAACGATCCGAAATTGAAAGGGGCTGGCCTAGCAGCTCTTTGTGGTTCTGTGCTAGGAATCGCTTACAAAAAAGAACGGAAGGTTACTATGAGTAATTGGGCAGTGCAGGGTTTGAGCCTCGGTCAAATTTTCTATGCCGCCACAGACGCATGGATTGCATATTCGTTGCTTACCACTTTGGAGGCCAGGCAACAACAGCACGCTCTTGAAGGACAACCAAGGGCAGATACGAAATCTACAGCAGTAGGAGGGAAATTGTGAGAATGATGGTGACAAATGAAGGTGATGACACCAAAAGCTTCTTCCCTCAACGCGAACCTGCGCTAAGAGTTTCGGCAATGCTGGAGATTCGGTCACGTACAGTCCAGCGTCCAGCTCGTTGCCATAGATCTACGACTCCAAGAAGCTTATCCTTACCATTGAAATGGCCCGGGTGCCTTGAAAGCAAATGGATGTACTCAATCTGTGCTTAGAAGTCTGTGTAGTCAAGCTTAACATACAGCAGGAAGACTCCAAGCAGAAAGCGCTACTGCTTTCGTTATCTTTTGGTGCATGGGCGCCATCATTGTAAATCGCGTGATAAGACGATGTATATAAATAATTTGTACAGTAATGTTCAAACTTTGTACAGAAGACTACAGTACAACGCTGTAATTGCCAATGAGAACTTGAACGATGCCCTGGACCAATTTCATCATCTGCGTGAGGAAAGCACATTGCTGAGCAAGGGTTAAGATCAGTGGCTGAGTCTTTTGATTCGAACACTTAAGGCTACGTAATCGGATCTACAACAAAGACCAAACGGTGCACGCCACGGAAGTTCCCTGCGACAACAGTTCGGAGTCTTGAATGCTTGTTTGTGTGTGCAAGGGCGGTACCGGTTTTACCCCTCGTTCCAGCCAGCGAAGACTAAATGCTTCCGCCAGTCGAGCTGCTCCATGTCGGGAAGCGGTGTGCACATCATCTCCGGATGGCGATACTTTGACTTATTTATGCGTCCTGGTCCCGAATGTCAGCAATTGTCTTGCATCATGAAAACCTGTAGTTTCCAGCTGCAGCTTTTCAACAGAGTCAACAATCGTTTCCATATTCATGAGTATTCAGACTAAAGCAATTCTGATGAACATTCACTAACTTTTGACGGTTACATGATCCAGAGGATGATTCAGAGAACAAGCTTTTAACTCCGTTTCAAGCTATACCATAGGTCCCGTAGTCCGATCTCAAAGGCCTCGAATCAACCCTGAAATGATGAAGATGTGTCGGAGGGTGATTTCTCATGTGCAGGCATTGCCGAGCAGCAACCGAAGCAAAAGCAAGAGAAAATTATACTTTCAGAGTGACCATTTTTATTTTGATCCGGAACAAGAACTGATTATTTGATTAAATTTGATTAAGCTATCTATCGACGTTTTAATCCGATTCCAGATGTGGATAGGAGCACAGAACAGGACTCTACGTGACGAGCTAAATATGCAAATGTATATGAAAACGAGTCGCCTCCGGTTAGGAAGTTGCTTATGTGGCTGAGAAAGAAAGGCGCAGAGGACGTTTGCGCCGAGGTGGCGCAGCGCCGAGAGGTGGGGGAGAGGCAGCGAGCCACTTGTCGCGATCAGACAGGCCAGGGCTTCGCTAGCTGGGGAGGATAAGTCGACGTGGACTCCTCTCCACAAGTGCAAACCAAGAAAGAGAAGGGGATCGTTGTTCTGAAGCTGAAGGGTTCTCGTCTTCATCGCTGTCCGATGTACGAACTGGAGACGAGTTGAAACTTGCTCTTCACGCGCGGAATCTGCTGTTTCGAAAGTCGGAGGAGACGATGATATCTATCGGGGTGCCCAAATCTGTGGCCGCGCTCTGCACGGGAGGGATTGCCCGAGCAGGAGCGCTGTCCGAGCAGGCGACGTGTTCCTTTGCTTGGGTTCAGTCCGGAGTCGTCGGGAAGTCGTTCGGATGGAGCGTCGGCGAGACTCTGAAAAGATCCCAACCCCGCCGAGCGTTTGCAACTCGCTCGCGAGCTGCAGCGAGTGGTGGCGTCAATGGAACTGTCGCAGATTCGAAAGACAGTGAATATGATTATGATCTCGTGACCATCGGAGCTGGCAGCGGAGGAGTGAGGGCTTCACGATTTGCTGCAAACCTTGGTGCTAAGGTAGCAGTTTGTGAGCTTCCATTTTCCACAATCTCGTCTGACTCGGCCGGAGGTGTGGGTGGCACGTAGGTTTTCCTGATTTATCATCCCATCCAACTTGTTGTGAGGGCACGACATTGGCAATTATTTACTTCTGGTGTTTGGGTCTGTTTGTCTTCGAATCTTTGCTTCACAACTAGATGATGTCTTTTGTATTTTTTGTGCGATTCCATAGTCATCCGCGACGCGACACCTCATTGTGGATGGGCTCGTATCGAATTCAGGGACTTTCATGAACTTCTCTCATTTTGATTAGTCAAGCGCTTTTCATTCAATCGTCCAACACAGTGAGCCCGTAAAAAAGTCAATTATTAATAATATGTGAGACACCACTGACACTCAATATGTGGTAGCTTGAATTATTCAATCGAGTCGTTGATGAGGGATCATTGCCGCAAGTGATACACTCCCGTGTGCAGCCTTGTGGAGGATGTGATCAGAGAATGTGGCCTTCACATGGTTAAAGCACCCTTACCGCCTATCTTAACGCGAGGACTCGCTCTTTGACGTTATTGAATCCCTCGGTGCTCTGGATCTCTTTTCATAGACTGTGGCGCGATGGGAGTTCATGTCCAGTCGGATACTACATAATGTTTTATTTTATCTTCCTACTTCATGAGTAGAGAAGTGGCATGCATGCTGGAGTAATATTCACGACTCATTCTACTCTTTGTTTTTAGCTGAATACCCAACCATACGTGGTTGTGGGCTCTCTTATTAATATGTGGTTTCTGAACCGATCGTAATAGGCTCAACAGCGTGCCCTCAGTTTACAGCCATTGGCCGTCATTGATCTGAAATCTACATTTTGACAGGTGTGTCCTCCGAGGGTGTGTACCGAAGAAGATTCTGGTATATGGATCTCAGTTTCCTCATAGTTTCGAAGACAGCAAGGGATTTGGGTGGTCATACGATGCCAAACCAAAGCATGATTGGAATATGCTGATCGACAATAAGAACAAAGAGCTGAATCGTCTGCTTGGAGTTTACAAAAATATTTTGAAGAACGCAAATGTCGCTCTCATTGAGGGACGGGGCAAGGTTCTCTCGCAGTCCATTTGACCTGGTTCTCATTTGATGGTAGTCGTGCAGGCAGTGGATGATCTAGAGGGAACCTCTCGAGGTACTGTGGTCTGGATTGTTGTATGAAGCTATCTTTCGCAGTGATACTTCACTGCTCTCTACCTTCAATGACCACTGAAAGTTTTTATTTCCAGATAGTTGATCCTCATACAGTTGACATCAGTGGCGAAAGGATTCGCGCACGGCATATTCTGGTCGCTGTAGGGGGAAGACCTTACGTTCCGGACATACCAGGAAAAGAGTTTGCGATTACCTCAGATGAAGCTCTGGATTTACCGTCCAGGCCAGAGAAAATCTGTATCGTTGGAGGTGGATACATTGCCTTGGAGTTCGCTGGTATCTTTAATGGTTTGGGAAGTGAGGTGCACGTGTTCATTCGGCAAGATAAAGTGCTGCGTGGCTTTGATGAAGAGGTAAGAAAAGTTTGAAGTGGCTTCGTCTTTACCGCATCTCTTATTCTTATCAATGTATGATGATAAATTCGACTGGAATCTAACAGGATGAGAATTGAAGTCTCAAGAAAGGGAATTCAGTGCTTTACCTATTTGTTTTTCTAATGTCGTCGTATTTTGTTCTAAAGGTTCCGCCTGAACTTTTGTTGGTGTAACAGAAGTAGCTTTCATGGGTAAATGCTTGAGATAGGCCTTGCTTCCTTTTCTTTTGTTCATTCTATTCACTTAGCAGGACCAGGACCAGTTGACCTTTGAAACAATTACCAAATCGTTTGAATGATTCGTGCATCAAAAGTTGAGGGCTTTAAAGCTCTGTGGGGCAATCAAAATACCGAACATGACTTAATGTCGGAGCCATGTTGTATGTTTTGCAGGTTAGGGACTTCGTTGCGGAGCAGATGTCGTTGAAGGGTATAAAGTTTCACTTTGGAGAGTCACCTACGGCAGTAGAAAAAGGTTCTGACGGTAAATTTACTCTGGTCACCACGAAAGGGTCTGAGGTTGCGGACTCGATAATGTTTGCAACCGGTCGGAAACCAAACACGAAGGTACTCGTTATAAGCAGCACTCGTCACCACATTCTTGAGGCTCTCTTATATAGCAATCGTCATCTGCCCAACGTGTTTAGGGTGACAATCACACCAAGAGTTTCTTTTTCTGAGTAGTCCGACATCTACTTCCTCCTCCTTCGTCGTCTCTCCTCTACTCTCCAATATTATCATGCCAGCAACGCGAATCAAGGCGCGAGGTCTAGGGTGTCAGGCTGTGAGGCATATGAACATGAGTCCACTTCTACACGCTCATAAGAAAACTGCATACATCCCTCCTACTTCTTGTTCTTTTCCCACATGAGAAGCTCAACGAGAAATGCAGTACTTCAACTCGATGCTAAGCTCAGTTAGTCGTTAAACTCACGATTGAAGAATTTTAAAGCTACGAGGACAAGAGTTTTTCCAGATGCTCATCTAGTTTCTGACCTACCGCCCCCTGTATTTGACATCGTGTATAAATCTCATTTATCCTCGCTTTTAGTTCATCAAGTTGCCTTTGTGATGCCTGGCGATCCTCGTCATCAAGGCTCCAACATTATCTATCGACTTTTTTGATGTCATAAATCATTCTCTCTGTACCTGGCCTGGGAAGAAGTTGGTCGGAAGGGGATATACTTTAATATCCAATGAAAAGCTACGGTGTTTTTGAGGCTTACCACTGTAGAGTTGCTGCAAACTGGGAGATTTTGTATGCGTGATCGTCAGAGTCCAGAGTGCACCTGGCTGCAACAAATATCATAGTAGACAACTTCACTTTTCAGCCAACGAAAGTTTTCTGGCTTTCGTATCTGTTCGTTTGGTCGGCCTCCATTCAACATTCATGGACTAAGTAATATTCTGCAAGCTCTGTGTTGACCGTTTCCAAGGTGCAGAGATTTCTTCGTCATTGACGAGTGAAGTTTCTTTCATTGTTTGCTACTCCTTAAACCGGCGTGTCACCATACTCGTCTGATTTATATTACCTTTTGTTCAGCGACCGTTTTGACATAAGAAACTTGCCATTTCTTGGGGACAGAATTTGGGCTTGGAGGACGTTGGTGTTAACATCAATTCGAAGGGTGCGATTGAGGTACGTTTACCACAAATCCAGGTTGTTTTGGCGTTCGAATAGGGATGTAGAGTTTCATGGTATCGAATGCAATTACACTCCAGGATGTAACTGTGGTACCCAGAAGGAATGTGTCGATGTTGCAGATGTTCGCTCTAGGTTTGTATCTCAGTAATTTAATATCTATGTTATGGCAGGTCGACGAGTATTCAAGGACATCTGTCGCCTCTATATGGGCAGTAGGAGATGTTACGGACAGGATGAATCTTACTCCTGTAGCACTCATGGAGGGCATGGCTTTCGCTAAGACCGCATTTGGAGACGAACCAAGTAAACCAGATCATAGGTATGCATTCATTCACTTGTTCGTTCGAGGCATGAACTGTTAACAATCGGTTGACAACCGAAATTTTGGTCAGACTTTGGAGTCTGCTAGTGGATGTGATCGCTACTACTATTGCCGATCGCATCATTTCTGTAACATACATGTGGAGGATGTTGTTCACAGAAGGGGTTGCTAGGATCGACTAGTGGAATTGTGGTATAACCATTCAAGGGAAGGTATCACCTCAACCAACGAGTATAGTTACTCGATTTTCCCTCCTCATTGGACGTCGCAAATTGCGTCCAAAGTGATATGTGTCCTTGCTTGAACGCTGGCCAAGTTTTAGCCTAGAGGTCACGTAGTTACCGCGATCAAGCGCAGTCTGGGTTACTATAGCACTCTGTCCAAAACAGACGGACCGATTTGATTTGCTGACGAAGAAGTTGATTCTGTGGCTCAACAGATATGTGGCATCTGCGGTTTTCACTCAGCCTCCTATTGGAACAGTTGGGCTCACGGAGGCAGAGGTGACTCCCATGAAATGTTCTCACTCGATTGAAGCTTTACTTCTCCTGTCAGTTCAGTCATGCATGTTCAGCGTTTGGTTAAATTTGGAGATCGTAGTTCCTGACTTAGGTAAGTGGCTGCTGCAGGCCCTGGAGACATATGGAGACATTGATGTCTATACGTCCAACTTTCGACCTATGAAGGCCACTATCTCAGGACTGGGTAATCGGACCTTCATGAAGATAATCGTTGACGCGGCCAGCAATGTGGTAGTTGGTGTTCACATGTGCGGAGACGATGCTCCAGAAGTCTTGCAGGTGAAACCCGTCTACAGAGTTGAGGTTCTATAAATCGTAGAAATGTGGCCTTCAGGATTTGTAGTCGCTAATCGAGCTACTCCTGAAGATGTAGTAAGTACAAGAGCGAAATTTATTAGAGTTCAATGGTTCATGGCACCCTATCAAAAAAAAGTACCGCGTCTACTGGAGCTTGCTTTAACGATGTTCCTGTTCTTTTCGAATTTCATACACTAGGAGGTTTTAAGAGTTTCTGAAAAAGGTGCTCGAGACACTTCCGAAAAGAGCTTGCGTCCTTTCTTAGCGCCTCTCCTCGTATCCCGGGTCTCCGTAGAATGCTTATAAATCCGACTTGAACATCGAGGCTATCCAGTTCATCTCCCAGTTAGGTTCAGTTAGGTTCAGTTAGGTTCTTTAGTCTCCATTTGCTCCTACAGAAGTTTTCTGCCTTTGTTTAAAAGTAATTGGTGTATTGTAGGGCTTTGGTGTTGCGGTCAAGGCCGGCTTGACGAAAGCTCAGTTTGATGCTACTGTTGGCATCCACCCAACAGCAGCAGAAGAGCTGGTCACTATGAGATCACCAACGCGGAAATTGCGACAAAAGTCGAACAAGGTAAGGTGATACTTTTGAGGAGACTCGAGGGTCATTCGTTCCAAGAAATTTGCCCACGTGTGTCGCATAAGAAGCAATCATCCAGGTTTCCGTTTCAGGTCATGATTCCCCTAAAGCTTTGTGTGCCGGTTCTTGACATTTCTGAAAGGTGACGATGTTGTTAGCGGAGGTAACTTTAGAAGATGATTATCATGCATACAGCTCTCGAGGCAAAGTCGGCCTCATAACTGTCAAAAGAGACCGACTTGGAAGAGAAAAGAGGATGAATTTGTTGTAAAGAAATGATACTGATGTGCCTAGTAGAGTTAACACCCCTATTGTAGGGTAAATATACTGCCAACCCTTCTCCCCCCTGGTCATCTTCACATGCCTGTAGAGCTGTCTGCTTTCAGGTTCTAACGAGGGATGGTGTAAGCATCAGGCAGACCCTTTTTCCCAGCATATGATCTCGTATTTGTCCAGATTCATTGGTATTTTGGACCAACTGGGTTGTATAACCTGGGTCTCACGTTCTATCTGATAGTGCAATTTCCTCGTCTTCACTCGATTCGCAGCGTGCCGACTGTAAAGTAGTCCATCTTCGTCGTAACTCTGAACTTTATGGTTTCATGGAACGGATGATCACTCCTGGAAAGAACTCATCTCAAATAGAATCACATAATCCAGGACTGTACAGCCAGTTTGGGCAGCCATATCTGGCTAAGTACCAGTTACAGTCAGGACTGCGTTTGATTGAGCAGTAAACCCCATGATAGAGGCTTTTGACTTACGCGCTCGATTTTGTTCGCCTGTACGTTATGAAAGCTCTGCCGCTAATATGTAGTAACTTTGAAACGCGCAGGTCGCGGAGGAAGGAGCCGCACGGCCCGTATAGGGAGTCTATATTATGTATCCAACGTGAAACTTTTTCTGAGCATGGGAATCTTTCTGAGAAATTTGTGTTCGGAGGAGGAAAGGTGATAACCACTAACTTGGACGATTTCAAACAACACAAATAGGGAAGAAACTTAGTTGACACGTAACCTACAGGGCACTATCTTGAGGTGAATTGATCTCGTAAATGTAGCTTAGATCATATTAGCAATGTATTACATTATTGACCTCCAAATGAGATAACGAAAAGCATTTAGTTTGCCAAGAGTGGCAAAATTTGGAGCGGAACGCTCTGTGGTAAAGTACCTGGATAGAGGATCACGACATCTGGATCTTGGAGCACCTGAGGTCTTAGCTCTTTCCATGCGTGCTGATGTAATGTACTGTCGCGAATAATTGCCATATCCACCAGTGCTCGCTCAAGGGCTTCAGGATTGACCGTTCGTTTTTGGTGCTTTTACACTGATTCCGCCATTTCCAAAAATCAATCGGACTTTCCTGACCTGTGAGATCACATGGGCGACATGAATTGGAAGAACCGGTAGAACAGGAAGATCAGCAGCGAGAATTTTTCGTCATAGCAAGGGTGTGGGAAGTTGAATCTTAAGGAGAAGTTCATCATTCCCTCTAGCAAGCACCGACGAACAAAAGGTTTAGTTCGGCTTTACTGCTTAGGCCAGTGACTGAAGATCCCTATCGGTGTTCAGTGAAACACTCCCACTACGCAACCAGTCTATTCACTTCCTCCGAATGGCAGAATCTGTGAAATAGAGAGCTGTGCATGTCCATCAGTTTGGATCGAGAGCCTTTAACTCCAGTTGCACGTAAGACGCCTCATTAAAACATTACGGAAGTTGTAAGAATACCTAGCAGAATGTAAGGTGATTGAAGAGGGGACCATGAGACAAGTTTAACTTTATCATCTCTACTAAGTCCACAGGTGCAATATCTGTAGATAGACAAGACTTGATATGCTAGCGTGGACAGACTTACTATACTTATACAACATACAAAAGTAAGCAACTAAAATATTCTCAAGAAAGCAAAGACCAGCTCTCCTTTTTACTGCTGATGTGTACTTTGACACTGCGTCGTTAACTCGTTTTTCCATGAGTTGGCGAGCAGATGATAGGCCGGACTCAGTCACCGGGTCCCCACTAGCAGCAATGGCTGTGTGTCTAGAAGCCAATACATAAGTACTGGTGTGGGAGCAAATATATACCCGTGAGTCCCGACGGTAGTCTAAATTTGAAATATGGAGATGGTGCTAAACTTGGAATTTTTGTTCAAGTTTACTTTCGTTTTTTTATTACAATTACCATAGTTGTATATAACCGTATGCAATTATAATATTATGATTATGAGAAAAAATTTAAATAAGAAAACAGCCTCTTTCTTAAAAAAAAAATTTCGATTATCAGTTAATTCATCTTTATACTTTTGTTCATATGAATTTGAAAAAGTTGAAGATTTGATTTTATGAATCAAGAAAAACATATATTTTATCACAAAGTATACATTAATTTCAGCTAATTCAAGCATTATACTTCACAAGCTACAAGAACTCCTCGAGTTTGAGTACACTTCAAGTTGATGAGTTTGAAATAGCAGAGAGCATGAAGAGAATCAACCGACAGTGTGATCATGTATTGGTTAGCTAGACTATGATTTTGCAAAATCAATGATGAGCTTGACTCAATTTTATTAGGTTAGGCATTCTTGATAGCTTGAAAAGAAACTTCGATCTTGATTCACAAAACAGTTTGGAGGTTTCCCCATAGTTTGATAAACTGTATAGAATTTGAAGTTCTCAAGTGCAAACTAGTAAGTATTGTGCTCCTTTCATACTTCATATTCTTGATTGCATTGGAACCTGATTTCATGATACGCTTTTGCATATGACGCGTGAAATACAGAAACTATAAAAGCTCTTACAAAGGATTAACGTGGCGAGTCCCATGAAAAAACTGGAGCACCAACACTCTCATCACGGAAACGAAAGTTCATTCGTCTTCTTCCTTCAGATTTGGTGGGCATGTCCACAGGCATGTTGATCTGACGCAAACGGAAAATCTCCTCAACAGGAACTTTCTCATTACAGGATGAAGATAAGCATATATGATGAGCGCCATATCTAATCCTGGCCAAAATAACCTGTGCTGCACTGATCCCTCCATTTCCTATTCCTCGACTCCCGTAGTAGCCCAGTATATATACAAGCAAGACACAGCTGCGCCATTGATGGTTCTTCTCTTTACACAAAAAATTGTGAAAAAAAGCCTTAATGCCACAATTGTTTCCTTCTTTCAATCTTCGAGCTCCAATAAAGAAGCTGAAAGACATCAATTGATCACAACCTGTTGTCCCAAGAAGAACCTCTTCATTGGCAAAAATTCATATTTCACTTTGCACCTAGTCAGCACCTAGTCAGCGGCCACCAAGATGGAGGAAATCCATCAGTCTTCCTCTCGTTCAGGTGGAAGTCCGCACGGTAGGAGCATTTTCTGTCATCCAAAGACGGTTGAATCAATAAGCTGGCAACACCATGTCATTCTTTTGCTTCCTCTTGGTTACAAATCATGATTCAAGACATTTTGTATCATATTCCTGACATGCTCTACATGAGATGTTGCTCTTTATATCGTTCAAAACTTCGGAAGATTAAAACCTCACAAGAAGCTTCGGTAAGAATGGTTAGGAAGATTGAGCAAAAATAGGTTATTGGGTCTCCTCATACCTGCATGAAGTTGTAACGCTCCCGACCGATCGATTCATTCTCCGCGATCGCAAATAAGGATAGCAGAGGGTAGTGACCGATGTAAGAGGCGTAACTGTCTCTTTGAATATTGACAGCCCACTCACTGGACAGAAATTGACATAATGGCAGATAAAATCAGCAACATAATCACACAGAGGCCGGTGGTGTTTCTATAAGCACTACAAAGAGAAGTTGAAAGGGACAACTGGAAGAGCAAGCTTACAATCTGTTCAAGTCAGCATGACCCGTCCCAACATATTTCGCTTGAAGGTGCTCAAGCTGACTGTTGATGTTGAATCTATCACTGGCCTGCATACAATACCAACTAGTCAGACAAGCACGCCAACTTCATAACAAAATGCTCGACCAAAAAGTGGAGCGAAATCGACACCGCCATCGGAGAGCTTATGTCCAGACACTAATTAACCAAGCAACTGCACAGAAAAAATGATCAGACAATCAGAAACTCTTGAAAAATCGCTAACCCACCCACGCCCAATCTACATCATACAAGACCTAAAAATCATCAAATCATCAGCAACCCCATCCCGTCGGCCCGTTAACAAAACGCAACTCCTTTGAACAGGAAATCTAGCAGCAAAAGCTGCAGATGCCAGTGGCACTGTCCACGACTGCAAGAGGTGGCCTTGACTCACAGCCCGACAATTACTCTGACCTGCATCTTGCCCAAACAGCAATTTCGAATGTCGCAGTTCTGCGGAGTTCAGAGTGTGGCGCAAATCGCCCGATCGAAAGCCGAGCGCGGGCGCAATGCTCACTCCACTACTTCCTGTCACGAACCAGGAGCGTTTGCGGGTTTAACGTTTGCACAAACCGATGCCTGTTTTTACATGATATCGCATCTTTAAATGATGCGATATCATGTAAAGACCAGGCATATGGCATTTTAATTATTTCTTTCTTCATACATATAAAAGCGCGGGTATGTTATAGGAACAGGTTAAACTCAGAATTCATATATTGATCAATTATTTGAACACATGAATTTTATAGGTCATGAATTGTAATGAGAACTTAAAAGCTAAAATGAATTGGATTTACCGAATACTGTACTTTCACTTTATTGTAAACTGTTTTACTGAACCGCGATAACGATCCTTGTCATGTAATCTTTGCGGTGTTAAACTTTTCATTGAGGTTTATTTTTGAAGTCTGAACTTCGTTGACTTATGAGGACTATAACATCTCTAAGAATGATTGTTGCATTCAGTTCATGTTTCAATTGTTAGGCCGTAAATAAAACAGTTGTTCATGTATTCTTGTCATTGTCTTTGCAATTTCAGAGGAATCGTTCATGAGCAAATGAATAGTGAGTAGTGAGATATTGTATCATAATGTAACAATTCATAATTGTTATGAAGAATGTAAATAACTATTCCCACCATTCAAGACAAGTGATATGACCTTGTTGAACTATATGACAATCAATATTTATTAATGATTTGTAAATCATTCCAAACTTGGGAAAAACATATTCTTTTTTTAAATAATGTAGATGGTAACAATGTAAATGTAAAACAAAGATCCAACTACACACAAGCAGTAGAAAATACAGCATCTGTAGATTTTTGGAAGAATATATAACAATATACGTGATTAAATCGACACACTTAACATACTCACACACATTATACATATCATAAAATTAACATCGCATGAATAATGATTTTGTTGAAAGTTAAAAAAAAATCCTCAAGTGTAAAAGGCAGAGAATTTACAATGAGTAAGTCAAACAAACACCAACTGACACAACACTAGCACAAGACACTATCTATGTGGTTCATCTCTGTCACATCTACGTTCACGGAAAAGCGAAAACATGTAGGGTTGTAATAATGAACATGTGGAGGGTTACAAAAGACAAGTGGAGAATTATATATCCCATGTCTGACTGTCAAGAGTTTAAGTATAGCTAGCTAAATAAAGAGTTTTCTAAAAGGTGAATTCATTCCAACAATCTTACTCTTAATTCATGTTGAGAGAACAATAAACTTTATAATCTATATAATTTCTCCTCGAGAAATTCTTGAAGTTAATCTCTTTACAACTAGAGTTAACTATAACTAAACCATAGTTAATACACGATAGAGTAATAAAAATAAAGAGTTAATTAGCAGAATCCACTTGTTATTTTCATGCAAAAACTCTATAAAAACACAATGTAGGTTAAAATTCTTCAAATGAAATACTTTGATCAACTGATTATCTGAATTGTGTTTCCTGTCTATCTTGATAAGTTTATTACTTTCATCAAAAATTTAATGTCAAATAAAATGATATTTGACGTTGATGTGCTTTAATCTCATGTTCATCACTTGATTCGCTCCCAAATGTAAAGCAGTCTGGCTATCAAAATAAAGATTGACAACTCTATGTTTCAATACTATCTAACCAAGTAGATCTCCAACTTCTGTTTCCACTACCAAGTGTAAACATATGCCAAATTGTAGATTTTTTTTGAACTAGATTCTGCACGTAGTCCGCATGAACGTAACAAAACAAGGAATACATTGTCTAATAAATCATCAAACAATAAATCATAATCTCTAGTACTCTTCAAATGTTTGAGAATACATTTCATTGAACATTCCTTGGATTTGATATGTACATACTTATCTTGCCAATTGCTAGAGCAATATCAAATCTAGTGTACATTATTAAATACATGAGGCTGACCACAACTTGTTGATAGGTATCACATAACTTTGTTCATTTCCTAATGGTATAAGAAATACATTGAGATGCAGAAAGTTTGAAATGTGATGTCAAAGAAGTACATACTCTTTGAGAATTTGCCATGTTGAAACTCTCAAATATACTATCAAATATACTTGACTTGTCTCAACCAAAGCCTCTTATAATTCTCATCATTCATCTTTTTTGTATTTACACAAGTATCATACACATTTAGTCAAAAACCATATGTCTTGATAAACTCATCAAAACACTTGTACCACTAGCTAAAAGCTCGCTTAAGTTTACATAATGATTTCAGCAATCTACAAAAATTGTCAATCAAATATTTCGCTCGTCCCTATCTACTGTTGACGCTCAAAAATTGCATCGCATTGACCAGTTTTAACCCGTCTAGTGAAATTTGGTCAAAACCTGTGCTATATTTGGATCTTCTTGTATCATTTGATGGTTTTTTAACAAAATTAAAACTCAATTTTATTCTTTATTTTCAATAAATGAAATACACAATTTTTGGTAAATCTTTCCAAATAGCCTATGCGTTCTCATTTGATATTGCATGAAAACACAAATAATTTTCAAATAATTTTTATGTCAATTATTAATTAAATAAAAATTTATTCATGGTAAAAAATAGAAAATTCATTTTTGAATAATTCAAAAAATAGAATGAAAATTTTAATTCAAGATTTTCATATGGCTGTGTTCTTATGGGCACAAGATGAATAATACTTATATATAAAAAAACTCATTCATATTAATGATCTTCAATCTTTATTTCATGGGATTCTCATGAAACTAGAATGTATTATACAAATAATTCAGTAAAATTATGTAGAAAATGACATGGAGTAATTCATATACATGTAAATTTGAATACAATACTTGTCACCTAGTAAAACAGGACGGAAACTAAGTAGAAGGGAGTATTGAAGAGCTAGGAAATACATTTGAAAAGTTGTTGAGGGTGATATTCAATAACTTTCATGGTAAATCTGGGTAACTATGATGGCTTTAGCAAAGAGTGTATCAAAGTTCTACCACTTCTAATAATAATGAGTAGAAAAGAGATCAAGCTTGGAAGTTGCCTTCTAAACCATAATTGATCCACTTGTTATGAATCGATAACTAAGAAATGATCTTTTATGAAGCATAATCGAATGTAAACAATTAAAAAACATATAAAAACAGTAAGGAAAATCAAATAGGATTTTGGGGTGACATGCTACATGGATATGTGTAATGACCATGTCAACCTGTTCCTTCCAGTCTGGCTTGTGCAGTACACGTCTGAATGAAGATTGTATTGGAAATGTGAAACCCTCTTTGGTATATTCATTTATTAGTTTCATGAAAAGCCTTTTCCGGAACGTGACATTTCTTAGACTTGCTTTGCAAGTCTCTCGGAATGCTAGAATTGTTTTGTCAGGATGGTACTGACGTTAGAGGACAACTGCATCGCATGAAAAGATGAATTAGTTAGAAAAACTTTCTTGATTCTCTATTGCATACATGCTTCTCATCAAAATTTTACCCGTGATGTCATCTCTTTTATCATGGGTCAAATATTCATCATCGTAGCTACAACACATACAACATGATTTCGGCCATTACTTCTCTGTGAATCCTCACAAGTCTAGAAACATTTGGCCTTGTTGGAGGATCCTATTACACTAACATTGATGTCTTGATGCAAGAAAATAAGACTTGCAACCACAATAAGTACAAAGTTCGATTGTCATTACAACAGACATTATCATTGAACTTAGAGCGGATTAAATCTCAGGCCGACCGCTTCGCGTCCACAAACTATTGTGTTCAAGTGAATAGTCGAGCTAGTTCAGAAGTTCAAAAATCCCCCTCCAATAGAGTCTACAGGTACAAGATGTCATGGACCTGAAACACAACAAAGTCTATCGACGATCTGACATCGTTTACCTTCTCTGAATCTGAGAAGAAAAATGAACGGCTATGGTTTTATATAACTCATATCATAGGCCATACTTGTCTACAGTGGAGATCACGTAGTCAAGCACAGCTACCTTTAACAGATCTACAACGGTTGCATTGCTTTCCCATCATCATAGTTGAACTAAGGCATGTATATTTGCTGGCTACAAGAAAAACACAAGAACGACGATGGCACACGGAAATCATTTGACAACCACTGCAGTTGGTTCAGTTGCATTTGACAACAACAGCAGTGGTTAAATTGAGTTGTTTAATCTAACAACTCAGTTTAACCACCTGCTTTGTAATTTCTGAACCTCTAAGTGTCCCTTGCGCTGAAAAGGCTGCTCCACTCTGGAAAGACAGAAAAAAATGAAACTTGAGGTTGAATGCTGTGAATCAAAAGTCAACAAAAGTGCCAACAAAAGTCATATCAGTTGCCAGACTCAACTATGTAAAAAAAGTCACCTTGCTCTCTGTCAAGCACAAAGGAGACAGTATTAACATCGACAAGGCACACCAGTGTTCTATGTCAGACATCATACTGCAACAGTTGCTTTGAATGTACCTGCTCGCTGTCATGTGACACAATTCAGATGAATGAAAACACGACTTGCATTGCTAGTGCAATGTCTTTTTCCGGAGAAGACAGCAGAGCCTTAACTCAAATAGCCCGCTCTATCCACCCCGGTACAGCAATAGACATAGGAATACCGAGACGCTTCAAAAAAATGGCGTAAAGAACATGTAGCAGAAAAACAAAAGATCCGCAGTTGATCAAGAGCTGCACAACACGTACGGAACAGATTAAAAAATGGTCGTCGGAGTAAATTTGAAATATAAAATGCATTTGGGAGCGTAACATAAACGGAGGAAATTCATCTGATCAGAACGTACCAAGCCAGCAAAGACAAAGTAAATCGCCAACATGGTTGGAACGATGTTTATCCCGACAGCTGCCAGAATGTACGAGAATGAAGCGTGCGCATTAACGGTTATCTGGCACAAGCACAGAGAGTTTCATAAAGCAATATTTCAGCTAAATAACTTTAGCTTTGAGCTAAATTAATTTTAGCTCAAAAAGTTTAGCTCACTTTTTTGAGCTAAAAAAGTGTAGCCTTCAACTTGTTGTGTTCCAAGTACTTTTAAAAAATGAATGCAACAAGGACAAGCGTGAGATGGGAGATAACAAATCTATCGATGGAGAAGGATGTTCGGGCCAGACCAGTGCGAGAAGATTTTCCCTCAGCAGCCAAGATGACAAAAGAACGAAGCCCACTGCTCCTAAACTCCGCACCTGTCAAAAGATCACACCGCACTCATATTATATTGTAATTTATTCTCAAAGTCAAAACATACCGATGACTAATTTGGAGTGACTTTTAATTATCGATCTCAGTGGCAACAAATGATTGACTTTAGTATTATCTTTTAGGACGAGTAATCAGCGACCACTTGTTTCGTTAATATTGTGTGTCCAGTCTCAAACGTAACCCTGAAAACAGTTTATATATTTTGATGCTCAGTCAAGGAACTAATCTGGTCAGTGAGTACATTTTAATCGCTATCATTCCTTGATATACTCACGTACTCATTGCACCTCTGAGCTGTTCGAAGATTGAGATGTGCGGTTGACAATAGAAGACAACGGTTACTTGCTAGAGCAATGCTTGTGAAACGGATGACGAAATCAAAGAGAAATTCCTATCCTTTAATCGTTCCTAGGGAGGGGTTACATTTCCGATTCACTACACGCTTGCTCTCCTGCGCTGCAATTTGAAAGAATGGCCGATACCGCAGATTTTGATGGTGATCCAAAAGAACGTGCTTATGCTAACTGTTGACATGTAGATGCCGTGAAATGAACATGCTATAACATCGATATGTCAGAACGGTTCTAACTGAAAGTCTGTGGTATGAACTTGAAAACGGTGCAGGAGGAGTCCGAAACCATTTATAACAGCACAGCATGGTAGCATCCGTGGCTTTGACAAAATTACTGTGTAGCAACCACAAACTGTCTGATTGAATAACCACAAGATAAATATACACATTACGACATAAAGTACCCATAAATAGGGTAATTCATTGGTAAGAAATCAACCCTCATGATGTTGTACACCAGGTAGTCAGATTTCAGACCAAGCGTCCTTATATTATAGAGCGTATAAGTCAAAAAAGATGAGCATCATAATTTGGCAAATGAGAATTCTCTCTTCCAGGTTGGCATGCAGCATAACGGGCATATTTCTGCCCTAGTTAGAAGTATATCTACATGTAAGATTGCATACAGATGATACGGGAGCACAATTACAGAAACAAAGGGGGCGAGTCTTCATACCACTGTACATACTGCAATTGACATGAGCCAGCTAGAACGCCACCTATAAAGAGGACAATGAAACTGATGAGAATTTTTTTAGATAGTCTACATCAGTGAATATATGTATCCAGTTGAAATGGGGGAAAGTCAAAGGGGAAAGCAAGCACAAGCCGATCTTCCAACCCATTGGGATGGTCAGTACGTGAAAATCTTTTCCATCACATCCTCTTACGAGCTTCTATCTAGAGCCGAGTTGCACTACACGTTGGCGCCAGAAACTGCTGATACTGAAGAGCGAAAAAGAAAAAAAGGTAAATAATTCGAGAACGAGCTACCTCCAGAGAGAACCCATTCCTAGCCCAGTGAAGCCATGCATCAGCTGCACAAAAAAATCCCGTGGAGACAGTTTAAAAGATAGCTGAATAAGAACAACATTGTTGCAGTGAGCATGGGGGACACAGGCAAGAAGGCTGCACTAGTTTAACCCAGCTCCCGCGCGCAGAACGTGCAATAAAGAGAAAAGGTATCCAGTTGCAAACATACCAGGTATGATGCAGCCTTCAGTGGTCCAGAAAGCACCAGAAGAAGCATAGCGGTTCCCAACTGAGTTGAGTCCAACAACAAAACAACGAATCACTTCATGTGTACGGTTCCAAGGTGGTCACCTCTTATTTTGAAGTCAATGCAAAGATGAGCGATCGTGAGTACTCGTCAAGCCAAATTACGCATACAACATGTTGGTCTTGAGATGTGAAAATCGAACCATGGTTTTCCTTCCTGCAGCAGCTCCCCATCTCATTGATGAAATCACGACCGGGAGAGGAAAAAAACATCCCAAATAGGCCTGCGACAGTTGTCATTTAAAAACAGCCTCTAAGAGAAGTAGCCAAAAACTGTTCCATTCAGTGGGAGGTAAAGTGGAAAAATGCACGCCCTACTTCCAACTATGATTACGAAATTCCAGAATGGACCTCGCATACTTGAAAACTTCCGAGCAATCCCCAACAAGTACTGCACGGTGTCAACATCAGGGAGCAAAGGCGAAGAATAATTCTACAGGAGATCCGGACCTCCAGCCGAAACAGATTGCTGAGGAAGTAAGCTAAACCAGCTGTTGCTGCAAGCATCGAACATTCCACGAGCCTCAATGTGTTACTCAATTCGCTTCCATCTCCCGTCAACACAGTTCCATCTTTGACAGGAATCTCCTCGCTAGAAATTGGCACGTCCAATCCTGCTCTAGGAGAAATGACTCTCGCTCTGCCAAGTCTGCCATTGGTGAGCACGTGCCTCCCGAACTCAGAAGACCTAAGCCTTGCGGACGAAGACCGACCAACCCAGGCATTCTCCGCACAAGACCGACCGTCACTCAATAAACACCAAGACTTGCAGGGGCTAATGGGCAGGCTGCTGAATGTGGTGAATGATTTTGCCAGCACATTATTATGGATGCGGAGAGCCATGGCAACTACACCCTTCTTGCTTGAGAAGTTCAGCTTAATCCGCTCGAACTTGAATTTTACTAGACCACATTCTCCCTGAACGTCTGCACATCGGGCAGGAAGTACAGTACGTCGTCCTGCTTAGCACCTCTGGATTTCTCATGACCCAATCAAACGGGATAACACCGAAAAGCCGACTTCGAACAATTGAACGAGGAGCGTGTCCATCGTTGCCCCACGAACCACAGTAGCGGTCGAGAGATCCAGGAAATTTGTCGTGAACTCACATGCACGCTTTAGCATGTCTTTCCTATTGCTCTAGTGCAGAGCCGGTGCAGATTATTGAATTCCGTACACTCGTCCGGATATTCTGCATGACGATTTTTATTTTTTGATGACATTACCTTAACGTTGAATTTTCTTTCAAGTAGAATGTCGGATACTTTCATGTCTCTATGTACAATTGTAATGACACAATTTTACTCTTAGTACTCTATTTACAAACACATGAGTACCGAGCAAAGAACAAACATTTCATTAAGAAACATTGTTGTTCATAATTCACAATATGTAGTTTATCTTTACTTTATATAGCTTTCACCAACGATTATAATGAGATAAAATCTTATTTCCACAATCCATCTCACTCTTAGTCGATGTATGACGTGATAGATAACCTTAACAATCACAATGAATGATGACAACCTTAACAATCACACTGAATGATGACGTGGCGCTTCTTACTAACACACTTGATACTTATTTAACAAACAGATGAATCGTTGACGTGGCGCTGTCAACTAACATATCTACTTTCTACTTACCAAGAACGTGGCTCGTTGATGTGACATCTATAACTAATGCACGTTAAAGTCTATATCAACATTTAGAGTAATCTCTACTTTAGTTTTAACTAATTGAAGATGATTACACATACTTCTATTTATACCTTTTTTGTTCTCGCCGCAAAACTATATCTCCGTCCGGTCCGTGTACTTTCATTTGAACTATGATCAATCATAGATCTCTCTTTTGTAGATTATAGTATGTGAGGTATAACTAGCTACTTTCTTTATTTGCAATTGATATTACGTAAGTTTTAAATCATTTTATATTTTATCATGTGACGTTTTAAATTTTTAAGTTTGTAATAAATATATATAAGTTTTAAATCATAACACAAAACAAAAGTCTTACTGTTATTGTGTTAATCGTCGACACGAAATACAAATCTTACAAGGATCAAGTGGCATACATATCATAATAAAATAATAATGAAATCCTCATGCACTATATATAGTAGTTTTTACATGCTTATATGCCAAAAAGGTAAGACACATGCTTGTCGCGATTGACATGTAGAAGAAAAATAAAATTACAAATGGCATCAGATTTAAAGTACACGCAAAAAAACAACTGGTTTATCTTTGACGCTAAACTCTCCACGGCAAAAATGACTATTTTGTCTTCATTGATAACAATCTCCCACTTGAATACACACTAGCATGTGAGCCTTACTAAGGTAGTGCATAGCCTTGGTTTATCTGTGATGATAAACTTTGCAAAGATTTTTGCAAGATTCTTTTCATTTAAAATCTTCCTCACCAACAAGACACCATCATTTACCAATTCACAGTGACATATGTGAAGTGACTTTCAATTATCTTAATAGTCATTTCACCGCCTCCCAATGTGAATTATCAATTTTTGTCATGTAACAATTTATAACTCCCACTGCATGAGCTACGTTGGATCTAATGCATACTATGACATACGGACAACCAACTTCAAATTGCCGAGTAATATGGTACATTCACCATGTAGCCCTTCTCCTCCTTAGTCTTTGGTGCTTGAGCTTTTGATAATTTGATTTGTAATCCCAGCGCGATTATTATAATTTAAAATCTTGCACTCAAAATCTATTCAACATCTAGTTGATGTACTTCTTCTATGACAAAGTTAGAGTACTTGTCGCTTGATTTCAAAAAATGCGCATGACAAGAATTTGACTTGCTAGATTCAAATACTTCATCTTGAACTCTTGTGCTAATTGTTGTTTTAATATGCTAAATTTTTTCATATTTGCACCTGCAATGAACATGTCATCTACATACAAAAGCAAAATAACATAAGAGCCACAAAAATCTTTGAAGTAGCAACAGTGGTCCGTGTCTATTCATTTGAAACCATAATCATTCATGAATCTATCAAACTTTTTGTACCATTATCGGCGCTTACTTCAAACCGTGTAGGCTTTTATATAACTTGCAGTCAATATACTTCTGAACCTAAGTTTCAAAACCCTCAAGTTGCATCATGTAAATTTTTTTCTCCTAATCTTTGTGAAAGAAAGCTGTTTTCACATCGAGTTGCTCAAGGTGCAAGTTTCTGACTGTCATAATATCAATAATAATTTGAATGGTCGTAAAAATCATCACCGGTGAACAAAGCTCGGTGTAATCAATAACTTTCTTTTGCAGGAAACCTTTGATCAACGATCTTGACTTGTAACGCTTATTGTCATTCGCCTCGATACATCAACTTATTTTGTGGCGTCTTCTTTCCTTCTGGCAATTGCATCAAGTCTCATGTCTTGTTCTTCTGTAAGGATTTCAATTTCTTCATTGCTTGCTTCCACTCGACTTGACCGCATCATTCGAGTCTAACTCTCATTGTGTTCTTTCGGCTCGTCCAAATCAGTCAAAAGTAGATAATTGAGAAAAGATAGAAATCTAGTATTAGATTTTTGAGCTCGAGTAGATCTTCTGAATACCAATTCTTGTAAAATGACATTTGCTTGATCATTGACTGCATCTTGAAATCAACATCATCGTCAAATTTATCATCGGATTCATGATCTCCTTGGATCGCATCATCTTTGATCCTTTCACTTTAGTCCATATCATTTGATATTTCCAAATCATTCAAATCACTTGATTGGATATAGACTTCTTATACGTTAGTGTGCACAAGCTTTAGTCTTCTAGCACATACTTTCTTGTACAACTTTTGAAAAACTCATCCGCTTCTATTTGTCAAACACGCAGTACTCATGACAGTTGAATTTATTTTTTTGCATATGCAGTAACAAACTTTTTGATGATAGATTCTTCATTGCTTTGTCACTCGTGTGTCCCAAACTGTTATGCAACAAGACTAGGTTGAATGTTAAACTTTTCACATAAAAAACAAGTATTTTGTCCTCAATATTAACAATAACAACATTGTTCATTTCATATTGTATTGCTTCTTTCTAATTATTCCAAGTATGTTTCTTCAAGTTCACTTCAGTTCTTGTCCTTATGCACACTTCGCATGAATAGTGCAACTACAAATTGCTACAACCTCCTTTGTTTCATTGTCGCATAGAGGAGGTGATAACGGACGTGATTGCAGATTGTGTTAAGATGATGTTTTTTTGAGTGGATGTTTTAGCAACCAACACTAGTAGGCGACGCATATTTTGTATGCAATAAGAGGAGAATTCTAATACAATCATGATATCTTCTTGATCAATATCAATTAGGAGTCATAGATTTCTTAGCGATGAAGTTTCATGCTTCCAAAGTTCTTGTAATTATTTAGCCTCTTGTCTCCTTATGCTAATCCTACTCTGCTCTAATTTGGAAAATCTTGTTGCGTATTTGAGAGGCTTGAAAATCTCTTCACAAATCCGAGAATTGTCTTCCTGTATGTTATGGCCTAACTGTTATGATTGAGAAATGATGACAAAAGAGTAGGTAATATATATGAAATATTGAACACATTCCAGGTTTTTTAATTTCTTTAAGTGATGATTTCTATTCCACAATATTATGATATTATTGTTGGCTATGCAGATAGATAACGTCGGAGGCAAGGTCAAATATCCCCTTATGATTACTCTCGTCATGATCTTTGCAACTATAGAAAGTTTGTCATCATCAAACTACATTATTCTATTCTCAGAGATAAATATAGTATTATTACTCATCACTTTTTCCTAATCGGACAAGTTACTATTCTCAATTAATATGTAAAGAGCATTCATTATTATTTTTTACTATTTTTAGATATTGAAATCCAATTTTGAAATCTCTAATTAAAAAATGTTTGCAAGTCTCATAAAGTTGCTCTCACCACTACTCCAAAGTTTTTTCACATTATGGAGCCATACAAAAGTGTCAACATTAGAATCATGCTCATACAATTCAATATCTACGGTTGATTATTGAGATAAAGTTTGAACATTTCTGCAAACACAATGTGAAAATCACATATATTTCAATCTTCTATCAATAAAAAAGAATTCTTCTTAATTGAAGTATTTAAGCTAGCTCGCGATTCTAAAAAAGCTTACAACAAGTGGCGGTTTAAAGTTTGAAGACTTCAGCGTGCCGTAGAGTAGAATAAAGCCTCACAAAAGACTTACTCCCCCTTTGAGCTATCTGGAGTAAAAATAACCCATGATAGTCTAACTAAGCGTACACCTCGCGGACTATAGTTCGATGAAAAAAATTCCCCGTAAGTGTGAGCTTTAGTTGGATAAAGATGTCAATAGCTGATTGCAACGAAATAATATCTCAATATTCAACGCAATTATTTTTTTTCAAAAAGAATCTAGCATATCAGAGATCATGTTTATTGTATTTTAGATTAGACTTGCAATTCAATAGCGGAAGTTGTCAAAGCAAGTAAATAAAAAATTGCTTCTTTTATCCGTAGCATGTGAGCAACTGCGTAGGTCTAAAAGATTGGTTGAACAATTTTCATTCATCAATAAAGCAAAATGCCAACAATTTTTTAATACTATATGATAGTTCTTATAGAAGAGAGTTGCTCTTTCTAAATTCATAATAGGTTAGATTAGAGAAAAGTTTAAAGTTTAAAGTTTTTCTAGTCAAAAAAATTTCAACAAAAACATGATTTCTTTGGATTCATGACATCATTATTTTTGTTGCCCTTGCTATATTCAAACTGATGTTTGCATATTTGTTTTTTTTATCAAAGATATGAAGAAATTTTCAGCCTCATGATGGCCAATTAGATTGTTCCAATATATTTCAAATATCTTAAATAAATATTTTATGATTCTGACTATGCTTAATTTTCTCAATCCAAAACAAAGTGTGTGAATTAAAACAACCGGATTAACAAAATGTTAATTCTCACTTTATCAGTTTAAAAATAGTACCAGGATGAAAATAAATTTTATATAATTAACTCAGAAAGTAGTTACTTGATGTTTTTGTTTAGAAAGAAGCTATGTTATGCTAATTACTTTTGTCGGTAATGCCAGTAAGCTTCACACTCGAGACAAAGTAGGAATTCAAGCACTTGAATCTTGAGTCAATCTAAGATCATCACAAATCACACACACTAAATCTCACTTATATCAAAACACAAGTGTTTTCATGAAATAACACTTTTGATTTCATTTTTTCATACGGGCATGATGATAAATCGTAACTTCATTTTTACAAGTCATTTTCTTATATTTGGAAGATGGCTTGGTATTTACACTACTTCTCACACATTTAATTATACCTTAATCATAATAACCATAAAGTATCATTAAAACTAATATTATGACATCAGGAAAAAAAAAAGACAGAGCAAATATATTGCTATTTTTAACTTACCAAAAGATATCATACCACAATATTGTATAACTGCAATATCTCTTTGACATATATCATTCTACTGAAAATATATTACAGGAAAACCAAAGCACCTTGTCAAATGAAGATTTTTTGATATTACGGAAATGGAGTGTTCAAAAATATTTCAATCATAACTAAAGGCGATGGAAACACTCAAATCACATGTTAAAACAAAATTTATCATAACTCATCAAATATTGCTAAAACTTTCCTGAAAATCAAATTTAAGACAAAGCAACGAGACAACAAAATGATAAGTAAAACCAGAAAACTTAAAATACATAGTATTATATCAAAGTAGTTTGTAGCTTTGCCGAAGTTGAAAAATATGCTTGATGGGACCCTACGCAGAATTATTATGACCCAATACGTTTCATTTTACCCCATGGGATGTTTCCGATGTAAATTCAGACCAAGGTCACCTATGTTCTTATACGAATTCTTGTAACCGCTTTGTTTCCGGGTTAGGAACACGAAGCAGTTGTCACATAGGCAGCTTGAGGTACTTTGTTCCTCATCCTGCGTTTTGGCCTCCATTATTTTCTTCCTTGTCTAGTTAGCACGTAGCCGTCAGCATAATAGTGAACAGATTTCGCTTCATGTCTGCGGCCTGGAAACACCTGCATTCATTTGTTGCTCGCTTTGGTAAAGAGCTTGTGATCTCAACCCCACAACTCGTTAAAGTCTCGCTCAATGGACCTCATGCTCAATGTCTCGTCATTGAATTTCACTCCAGATCCGCTAGAGAGAAATTCAATGCTTCGACATAGCTCGACTTCGAGTTGACATACATCTCCATCACTTGCGCTACCATTCTTCCATGTCTCATAGATTTCATTGGCTACCACATCGCCTAACAAGAGTTCATAGTGATGACGAGCGGATACGCACAACAGGTGACAAAATATCATGCACTCTCCTCTCGCATTTTTTCGCTGATTGAAGTCGTCATGAGGTTGATTGACTACATCAGACATTGAGATTCTTTATGTCCAACGTCAAGATGTGTTATCGTTGCTACAGCGCTCCACTAGGCAGATGCTGCAACAGAATTGCACCGTCCGTTGATACTAGAACATGCGTGACTTGTACAGTGAGTGGCAACCTCTTGGATAAAACTATGTTCATCAAACTGGTCTCAATAAGTAATTTTGCTTCCGATGGAATTTCATCAAGTAATTACATAGTTTATTACATGCACTTTGATATAGAAGTTTAAAGATGAGGGAGAAGATCTAGTTAAAAAGCTATGAACGCAAAACACAAAATAATATTGAAGCTGCAACATTAGATTAGATGTTTTAATCCTTAACTAACATATTTGCCAAAAATAGATCACAATACTTAATGTAGTACATGCAACATATGCAAAAAATAATTACCAACATCACTCTTCATCTCATATTCTATGAAATTAATGAAAACTTAATGAAATATACATTTAACATATAAATTCGGTTTTTTTAATTTTTTACTCTTATACATGAATAAAAATTCAATATAAAACTAATTGTGTTTCTCGATGAATAATATTAAGTCTAATTTTTATCATGGAATGTATATTTTTTTATTTATATAATTTTTAAAAATATAAAATATAATCATATAAAAAATAATAAATTCAAATGTGTTTTTCATCAATATTTAATTTTTGAATGTTATTTTTTAATTTTAATTAAAAATTTGAAAAATAATTCAAAAAATAATTTTCTAATCATGATGTTAAAGAAATACGTTTGAACCAAACATAATTTTTTGTGTAAAAAATATTTTTTTGTACAAAAATAAAAATTTCATTCAATAAAAAATTTGTAAATTTTGAGTATAATTTAAATTGATACCATATTATAATTTGATCAATTTATTGTGAGATTCAAAACCCAAAAATTTTGAAATTAGCTTTTACATATCAAAATAAAAATTTGCAAAGTTTGATATCATAATAATACTTATATTATGTTTTTTCATATTGATTTTACAAGTCATATTTCAAAAATATCTTAGTTATATTAGATTGTTAAAACATAAAAATTACAAATAAGAACCATATATAATTAATCATCATTAAGATACATCATCAATATCAATACTAGTAAATTTATTGAACTATCAATTTCAACGTATACAACTCCTTGTATATGTATTTAAGTTGATTGATATCGTCTATTTTTATATCTCATGTTAAACAAATCAGAAGAGATAATTTCAAATAATGAATTGATTTGTGATTGAATCAATTCTTATTGACATTGTACATTTGACAAAGAAAAAATGAAGCTTATCATTTTTAATTGGAAATATTAATTTTTGTTTGATTATTGAAATCCATTCAATCAAATAATATGTATTATCATAATTTGCAACAGTATTTATTATGTTAATTTTATTTTTTATGTTCATCACAATCGGAAGAATTTGATATAGATAAAAACTTATTGAAATATTTCTCTAATTAGTAATATTATGAATATTTGATTTGTAAAGTTTATTCTTGAGTTGAAATAGGCAAAAAAAATTAAAATTGATAATCTCACACACACATAACAAAACATCAATACATACACATGTGATTCACTATTAAGATCTACATACAAGGTACTCATAGATAAAAATGTCAAAGTATCATTAAGAGCTTTTGCTAGCTACATTTTACAATTACCAACATATTACTTTTTAATTATGATTTAACAAATCTATGTTTATATAGACTGAAGCAAACTACTAGCAATTTTCTTCTAAATCCATGTCAAGAAAATAATAAAATTCATTAAATTTTTATTTATTTTTTCAAAATTTCTATATAGAAATTTAATATTAATTTTTTTTAATCAGAATTAGCAAAATAAGGCGTGAAAAAAAAGTAAAAAATATGTATAGAGTTAAAAAAATTGCTAGAAAATTCTTCCAATGCTACTTGCGTAAAAATTGCGAAGCAAAAGTCTTAAAAAAAAACAATTTTGATCAACGCATCATGTGAATTGAATTTTGCGTCAATCTTGACCAACTTATCAAAAACCACATCTCAGATATAATTGTACATAGTGTCAATGTGTTTCACTTTGTTGTCAATCATTTCATTTACAGCAAATAGTAAAGCAATCTCACTATCATAATAAAATATTTTTTTATCTATTTCAATCTTATCTCAATGATAAGTCTATTTAATCAAATAGTTTACTATACTCACATATTCAACTTCTATTGTGAATTGAGCTACATGATTCTGCAAAGTAAAATTTTAACTGAAATATTTACTAGCAAATGTAGATTTATATCCACTTGTAATTGTTTTCTTGTCCATATTGATCATGATCATAGCATAGTGAGAATTTGGAATTGTTGAATAGATCATCAAATAAACTATCATGAAAATTTAATTATTTTTAAATAATTAATTTTTTTTCACTGTTTTTGAATATCAATTTATTTGATTTGACATGTACTTGTACATCTTTCTTATAACTAAACCAACATGAAGTCTGTCAATAATTTTGTCATTTGAAATTGATGACATATTTCACTTCTCAATGACATTGATCTAATAGTTAATTAAATCTTGCATCAATAGTATATGATTTTGATTTTTGATACTTCATTTGACTTTAACATATGAGTATACATACATTCATATTCAAATCGAGTGCTAAATTAATTCTACATATACAAAGACGATTCTCAACTGAAACATAAACGTTTCAGTTGAGAATTGTTTCATACTAAATTGAAAGTCTTGACTAGGTAACAACAACTTTATGAATACAACTTTTTGTTCCAATTTTCAACTGAAAAAGAAATCTAAAAGATATAAATTAATCTCTCAGAACTCTACTAATGATTGTTGGAAGGTTTATGATTCGTCTGAAGAGAATAAAACCTCCATGTATAGTCGTTTTGCGGAAGGTATATGAGATTATGTATATATGCATTACATCCGGAAATGTTACTTAACTTATTGCGTTTTAGGTTCTCCGATCGATAGTCCGGTAATAATTTTCGACAGCGTCTCCAATTTCTATGGGGAATGATCCTCCCAGGATCAAAACGCGTACTTAGTCGGGAGACAACCGAAAGGCAGTGATAAATCGGGAGAGGGAGTGAGGTCGTTTGGCAAGACGTCGATAGACTGTGCTTGCGCTCTGGTCTCCAAGGCCCTGGATGCTGGCAGCAAGATTATGGCGATCGGTGATGTTATTTAGCCAAATCTGAGCCTGAGCCACGCTGCATTCCCAGTGCTCTGATCAATAATCTGCACTCGAACGTACTCCTTCTGCCGCCGCTGGTGGTGTCAAATCTCCTGCTTTCTTGCGGGTTCTTGATGAAAGTCGGAGACCTGTTTGTCTGTGAGGGTGGGTTGATGATGCGAGCGCGGTGGCCGGAGTGTGGGTCTTGGTGACGATTGCTGTGGACATTGGGATATTGGCGTGTGGATGGCAGTGAAGAAGAATCTGGAACCGAGAAGACCCTGAAACGAAGTCGCATGGCTTTGCTACTCATCTAGGGTTTTTGAGCTGGGCGGAGCTGGTTGTTGGTGACTTGCAATTGCTCACTCTCTGTTTTTTGCTTGTTATTGCTCCGTGGCTGTGATGAAATCTACCCAAGGTTAGCTGATTGCCTGCCTCAGTTTTTGCCAAAAGTGATGGCGGCAGTGAGATGATTTTCGAATTTCTGAGCTGTTATCATTCTCGGTTAAGTTTTGAAGGCAGCCTGTTTACCCACAGTTCTGTACGTTGTGGCACTCTTACGCTTTGAGTTTATTTTAGTAAAGCTTTTGGCATATCACTTGATTTTCATCGTTTCCTTCATGTGCACATGAAATGGTTCTTTCTTCTATCACTCTTGGCACGCATGTGTGTTTCTTGGCGAGGATCGGAAAGAGGAAGGACAGCAGAAGGTGCCGCTGCTAACCATCGTAGCAGGCGTCTTCCATGACTGACTGAAGCAACACTTGATATGAGCCAGATGTTTTCGAGTTCATTTGCTTCTTTTTGCAACATGTCGCGTTTTGGATTAATACGAATGGAAATCCTTTTGAATGATTTTACTTCTCCGAGCGAGGGTCAGATTTTTAACTTGCTTTACCGTTGCTAAGCTTTCCGGATAAGAGTCATATCTACAAGAGAAGTGAGGAGTTTTTTGTACCTTCTTATGAATTACAAAACTTCAAATATGTAACATAAGTACTGCTGCATGTTAAGAAAAACTCTTATCTGATGTGATTGCGGACGTGACAGACGATAAGAGTGTGTTGACAGAACATCGGAATTTTCGATTGGTAAAGGATGCACTTATGATCAAGCAATCTAGGCTTTAAAAAGCTTGACCATTCAGTTGTAGGATTTTCTCCACCAAAACTTACAGAACTTGTGGACACGCGTTCTGGAAGTCTTTAAGCCTACTGGGTCATCACAACGGTCTGATACAATCGGTAGATATTGTTGTTTGCTACCAAATCTCCGGTAAAATCACGAGCCCTGAGCCAACAAGCATATGATAGTCGAGGAGCTCTAGGAGGATAGTCAATTTTCAGAACAAGGTTGTTGAGTGGCGTGGAGCAGGCTAGCAGTTATCCTGTCAGAAGAGCAGGAAAATGCTTTCGAGCGGCAACTTGTATATTTAGCTCCAAGTCTACGATCGTGTAAGTTGCTGTGCTCAAGAGACACCCCTACCTCAAATTTCGACATTCATTGCCCTTGCAAGGTCCAACTCCGTGCTTTCTTCTCAAGTCTTCAAAATTACATCGGAACTTCTTCTGTCCACACATCAATCTCTAATCTGAAAATCTCAATTCCCCCACGATGCGCATACCTTACGTGGGAGCGTTAACGATATGTTGCGAATAGATGCTAATTCATCCTTCTGGACTGGAGTAGGTGTAAGGAAAACTCTAATCTGACGTTTCACATCGTCCAAAAAAGAAACTGGTAGGCCTGACTTGATAACCATGATGAAACAGGGGATATATCGCTGGCTGTAAACGCTTCAACTAAGTTCGCAGACTTTATAACATTGCTATCTCAATATTGCACTTTCTCAATTAAAAACCCCAAGAAACAACCGCTGTTCGAGCTTGATTTACAAGTTCGCACATCTGATATCCTTAAAAGCATGTATTGTCCTGCGCAATTCTCTACGTGCAGCCGACCAATCGCTGGGCTGATGACGTCGGTACAGGATACATATTTCGAGGATGAGATATATTGAAACGTCGTCCTTCTGCAACCAAATTGCACATGATGTGTTGGGCGTATACAGAAGTTCAGAACTCGGAAGACAAGTTGTGATTGCACGAGACCCTGCGAATGTGCCGTTGAGTTCAGATGAAGCGTTCATGACTGCAATACTTTCTAGTGCTTGCCCAAACACAGCGGTGATTATTTGACCACTGGCGTGAGGCGAGCCAGATAAAGGGGAGTAAAGCTTCGCTTTCGTTCGCGGGCGACTTGGAGTATGCTCGAAAGCGGGTACGAGTTTGATCATATGCATGCTGGATGATCAAATCATTTGATCGACTAGCTGGAGACTTTCGATGCGTGTGTTGATAGCATAATGCAGATCTTACGAGGAAGATATGTTTGCCTTCATTCGTTAAATCGGCATCAGAGCTGACAAAGTCCCCAAAATCTGAAACCTTTCATGCTTTTGTACATTTCCAGTTGAGATAAAGCGTCTCATGGTCAGAGTCCAAGAGTATCTTCGTTTTCTGCGACTCATAGCAATGGATGCAAGTGACACTGTAATTGCTAACAAACACAATGGTCAAGCAGCGATTCCCGAAGAGTTTGTACAATGATTATGTGAGTCACGTCACGGTCCACAACTCTTCTACGGAAGTGTCAGAACATCGGATCTTGTAAGTGGCGTGTCTTTTGCAGGCTCGAAGAAACCCTCCCACGGCCAATGCATCGAAGTTCGATAAGACGAGCGCTCTGCGACTCACCAATGTTTGCAGTCCCCAGAGCGTGGCACTACCATCCACCTTCACCTGTTCTAACCAACATGCCCGAGTGAGTCATCTGGACCCGCATGAGAGGTTCAATCACAACAAAAGCATATCGATCTACACAAAGCCATCAGCAAGATTGTGGGCTCGGTCGTGAGCTCTAGAGAAGGTACTCCCTTCTGAGCGGCCATCTTACCCTGAATTTGCCACCACGCGAATCAGTAAATGACTCCACCTCATCAACAACCGCCTTCAGGGCATACCCTTGGTCCACGAGAATTTGCAGCAGTTTTTGTACATTTTGCACAACCTGTCAGTAGCAAAGAGAAAAACGGAGTTGGAAGTTTCCATCCACTGAATCCAAGTAGGAAAACCACTGTCGGAAGAGGAGATGGCTGAGAGAGGTCGGACGACATTACCACGCTGAAGCTAGAATCTTCCGATAAGGGAGGAGGAGCGTTGAAGGAATCGTCCTCAAATCCTTCCAGCAGTCGCTCGTAGATGATATTCCCAGCCCGCTCGATGAAAGCCGTAGGCAACTTGGCATTATCGACCAGGCTTGCATCCCTCCTCACAGTTTGCAGCTCTCCACTCGCACCAAGCTTCTCCTGCATCACCATCCATATCAAAGGCTGGCTCGGCGTGTCCGCATTTCCTCACACCCACAGACAAACCACGAGCACGCCGAAACAGCTGTGGGATATGAGAGTAGCACCTGAAACACAACCTCGCCGGTCTGAATTTCCTTGGAGATGGTTGCAAATTGTGCGAAGCTGATGAAGTCGAAATACAGCTGCACACCTCCAGGTCAATCAAGCGCATTGCTTCACTAGGGAGCTACATCTCGTCCTAAACCGCAATGTTTGCTGTCTCGACATATGCGTGAGACATTGCACTTTAACTATGTTCGCACAAGTTAGTACAGCGTCTGTAGAAGCAGTCAAATCAGCCACAGATTGTCACGGGAACGGACCAGGAGAGTATAGAGAAGTGGAACCAACAGGATCTGTGAGGTCGCCATATTTCACGCGCAGAGGTTTGTACTGCAAAGTGTAAGGCTCCAACTCGCTCTGCCTCAGCTTCCAAAACTGGAGACAAGAAGAAACGAACGAGCTGATCGTGAATGTAACAAAGAAATCATCTCTGCACCTCCACATAAGAATTGGGCACTGATAATAACGCAACGGCCGCCCATCAAGTCTGGCTGTGAAGTTGAGGACGAGAGAAGGTGCAACTGACTTTCACTTGGAATTTGTTCATGGGAATGAAGTCCAAATCGTCCACAGCTTCGTATGCCGAACGCATGAGCAGAACTGCGAACTTCAAATTGAGAGTTTTCCGGGGGAATTGAACCGGCTCCGGTGGAGCTGGTATTATCCAGGCATTGATTTGATCAGCCAGCTCATAACTCAACTCTGGTCCAAGTACAGAAGCTCTGACCAAGTGTCTAAATCTGCTGCCATTTCTCACTCTGCTCCCCGATGTGGTCCAACTGTGTCCCGATGGCCCACGGCTCGAAGTGGAGGACGAGGTCATCCTGAAAGCTAAAGACGGTGATCTAAACCCATGCGAGCAAGCGCCGCCAGATTGCAGTCCGCCACACACCCACATTGAGCATGACGTGTTGAGAAGCGCTTGAGTTCTGATGAAATCACACATTTCAGACGTCGTCTCAAAAAAGTTAAGGTCCGGTGATAGAACGATGCAGCTTCTTCAGTTCTCGTCTGGGGAGTCAGTAACTGAAGACAAAACAAACGGCCGAGGAATACAATTCAAGCAGCTCAAATTTCCATCAAGCTGAAAGCTGGAAATAACGATGCTCTAGAGAATTCCAGCAGTCTGCTGCTAGATAATTCACTGCAAGGCCGCATGCTTCTCTATCGCCACCGTGGGTCGACAATGAGCAACCGGCTTCTCAAATTCCATCACGCTGCAGACGGACAGGTCTTGCCCCGTGCGTTTCTGAAGTTCCGGTCGTCTCGTTTGCACTGTAAGTAAGTTATGGCGATGTGTGTGCTCTTACAACATCTAAATGCGCTTTGTTTGTCGTGTCCGGTTCAGATCAAGCATCGATTGTCGATCTGATTTAGACACAGCCATCAGGCATGCAGGACAATGAGGGCAATTCACTGGCACACAAGAGGCCACGCTATCTATCGGCCAAGCCAAGAAGCCACGAGGATCAATCCCCAAGCTTTACAGCTCCTCGAACATATGGCAATATATGGCAATACTGTCCTGCCTCCTGTCGATTATCCTTGGACATGTAGATGAAAATGTGAGGGGGTGTTATCGCTTTTTCTACACTACATGGCATAACAGAAATGACATCGAGATGTGCAAGGTGTGAAACAATCTTAATACAAGTTGCACTGAACAAGTACAACATGCACATAAATATTTGTTGGCTCGATCAAACCCCACTAAGATCAAAGTATCATTTGCTCTTGATGTGGTAATTGAGAAGGACCATTCTGTTGTTGGACTCAGAAGTTTTCCTTTATCACAATGTGACAATGATATCATAACCTTTCCTTGTTTCATGTTATTTACATTTTCATTATGTTGATGTAGCTTTTTTCAAGAGTAAGAAGAAATTCATGGAGAGTTTTTTGAGCAAACAAATTCTACATCAGTCTCAAGGATATATTTGATAATGAAGAAGAGTTTTTGTTCATAATTTTTTTCAATCTTAATCTGATATTTTTAACGGAAGATCCTTGTGTTTAAATGCTTTTGTTTTTCTAAGAAAATATCAAAATCATCTCATAGATACGTCAACATACTAAAACATGCAAAACAGAATCTTCAAAAATCTCAATTTAGACTTTAGATTCTCCAGAATATCATGACTGAGTTTTGAATTCTATAATTTACTTCTGTATGAATCCAGGTAAATAAAATTTTAACTTTTAGTTATTTTCATATTTTTAAAATTTTATTAAAATCAAGTTCAGTTTGAATAATCAGATAAATTTGATTTATTCGCAATCCAACCCTGATTGAAATAACATAATTGCGTTATCTCGTTTGAAACTTTTATTGAAGTCTTTGCGACAAAAGTGTCTAATCTGAATATGAGTACACCAAAACCTACATAACATGAAAAAAAAATCACATAATAAAATACCCGAATCATCTTAAGATGCTATCACAAGATCATCCTAAAGCTTCTCATCAATAAATGCGCTTAACCAATGCTAATTGCAAAAAAACTTTTGCATTGAGTAATATCATGGGTATTCTAACCTGTCTCCAAATCTATCATCACTTGTGGCAACACACAAAAGTAAAAACACTCCGAATAACAAAACATCAGCATATACAATCCAACATTATTCATAAAGTTAATATTAAAATAAATCAATCACAACTTACTTTTTTCACATTAAAGTTTTTTTTTTTATGACATGTGGAATGAAAAATACACTAACACAATGATGTAACAGAGCGCCGACGCAAAAATACATGATTCATCTTTGTAATATCTAAGTTCATGATAGCACAAATTATTGTCTAAAAACTATAACTTTTGGATCAAAGAGAGCTACAACCAGCATTAATATATATTGACGGGTTATTTCAGTCATACTAATTGCAGAAACATTAACCTGCATTGACAAAAATTGAATATACTACTAACAAACTCTTACTTGAAAAATTTCTTAAAGTCTGTGATGAATATGATCACTCTACAAATTTGGTTTAAAGAAAATGACAAATGCTTTTTTGTAAACTAGAGTTAGATGTGACTAAATCAAATTCAAAACATACATAGAAAAACAAATTGGTAGCAAACATCCACTTGTGCTCTTTATAAAAAATCTGCAAAGCAAAACAATGACTTTTAAAACTATTCAAAAGAATCATTTTGGTTAATGCAATAGTTGGATTGAGTTTATCTTTCATCGTGATTGACTCAATCTTCTTATCAAAATTTTCATATTAAATAAATTAATTTTGATTTCATGTGCTTCATGCTGGTACCCATCATTTGATCTGCTACAAGATGTAATGCAATTTAACTTTCACAGTGAAGATTCACAACTAAAAACTAAACAATCTCTATTTCACCCAAATGATAATCTAAACCAAATAATTTCCTTTGCTACTTTTTGCTTCCGCTACATATTCAACTTACTTAGTTGAATAAGCCATGAATTTTGCAGAGTAGATCTCAAACTAAAGCATTCACCATCAAGTCTAAAATTATATTAATTTTTTACAATTATTTTTTCACATCTTGTTCATAATCAAATAGCATAATAAAAATGTCAATTTTTTTTCAAAAATCAAACCAAAATTCATAATTTGTTTACTTTTCAGGTTTTGAGATTTCATTCCACGGCCATGCAATGTATCTTTGTAGATTTGACATTTACATGCTCATCTTCATCATAGCTAAAACAATATCTTGTATATTATATATCATTTAGTACATGAGATTGTTCATTACTTTGTTATATGATATTGAAGATATAATCCAAACCACACTACATAGTAACCCATCATACATATATCTAACTTTTGGATTATATTTTCAAAGGGCGTAGTACTCTTTCCGTGAGAAATGAGAGCTTTATACTCTCAATAAGATTATTTGAATGTTGAGTTGCAAAAACTTCAAAATGTGTTAATTTTATTTTTTCAAATTTTTTCATGCTAAAACTATCAAGCACTCGTTTAATGTACTTGTATTAAATTCATCACATTCTTCTTTATTTTTCTTCTTTTATTCTAGACTTATTTGAATTCTTTATATTGAATGAAAATTAAAATATTTTGATTTTACAACAATGTAAAATTCATTATTTGACTAAATAAATTTTGTATTCACATAAAATATTACAATCATAAGTTTAAAATACTATTTATTCATTTTTCATTTGTGAACATATCAACACACTATGTGAAAATCATCGTTCTCGTAGTAACTTTTCAAATTTGCATTTCATGGATTTCATAATTTATATAAAGATTTCAACAACTTACAAATATGTCTATTTGAACTTTCTTCAAATTCCAACTTCTCATCTTATTTATATTTTCTAATTAAAAAATGTAAAATGTTGTGACCACATTTATCTGATTCATAATAGTAAAAAGTATTGCATCAAATAAAAATACTCAATTAATTCTAACGAATTTTTTATAGATAAACAAAAATTGTTGTAAACATATTTTTTTCATGTTTTTAACCATCGATCTAACTCTGGAATAATTTCTTTTAACATCCATTGTATAATACTCTAGCTCATACATCCACCTACTATGAATCAAAAGTTGATTTTTCAGAATTCCACTAATTTGTAAGTCTTTTTTTCAAAAAACAATTGCATCTCAAGTTCCATAGCAGTAATTTACTCCAGCTTATTAACAAATGCTTTAGCTATTCTAACAAATAAATTTTTTTGTCCTTCAAGATCAATGCATTTTCATCATAATTATTAATTTTGATATCATGATCTTTAAAGATGAATGAATTGACATTTGTTACTTATGTTGCATTTGTTACTTATGTTGCAGAGGCTTTATTAATTTGATTTGATGATAATCTTGTAAATAATTTTGATAAACTCTATAATTTGGTGTAGTGATTTGAGACTCAGTAACTATAATTTATCTTTTATCTTACTTTTCCTCTTGAAAAACCTATTGCATTGCTATCGAAGTTTTTTTTAATGTCACATCATCAAATCTGTAATGATTATGTATATGTATGTGTGTATATATATATATATATATATATATATATATATCCAACTAACAAAATTCTTAAAAGCTAAAAAAATATAAGTTTTATAGTACAAACATAATCAAGAATACACTGTTTGAATTCAAACAATTAAATCTGTTTAACAATGTTTTCTATATGATTTTATTATGAATTATAAGCTTATTAATAAAACAAAAACTATTTTTAATAATTACAATCAATCAGAGATTTGTAAATCAATTCAAACGGTATCAACAATTTGATTGCATTAGAAAGAAATAAAATTATTGAATAAAATGCAAAAGAAATAAATTTAGCTTAAACTTTACTTGAAAAATTAGATTGATTTGATAAATTACACATATGCTACAACATGATTAAATCAAGCTCTTCATTAACAACCTTATGTTAAAAAATATTCATTATGATGAATTAACAAGTGATTTTCTTAACAAAATTTAGCTTTTTACTTTTCATGTGAAACTATACATTTTATTAGAATAGTATATATTTTTTATTTTTTTTATCAAACTTAAATTATACTTTTATCATATGTATAAGTTGTACTTTACATAGAACTTATACAAACAAATATCACAAGTAACTGGTTTCAAGGTTAAAACTTGATCACAAACAATAAAACACAAAAATCAAATGAGAGTAAACACAAAGATCTACGTTTACGACAAAGCGCACGCAAGTGAATTTATTACAGCATGTGAGAAAAATATTCATACGATACAAAATCCTTGGTAAATATACCCAGCAACGGGCAAATTCTTAACTATAAATAGCTAGATTTTGATGTTACTCTTTAAACAAAATTAAAAGTTAATCCATCCCTTAACTTGTGTTAAGTAAACACAAATCTCTATAGTCTCTACTATCACGCTGCATGAAGTTCTAGACAAAAAACTAACACACGTTCACTCAAACAAGATCTAAACTGTAGACTTAACATGATATGGTAATAATATAAAGACGTAACTAAAAACTTGCTAGCAGATAGTGAAGAGAAACCTCTTAACCTATATAATTACTCCGCGGAAGATTCTAAATCTTTAAGAACTCTATTTACACGAGAGTTAACTAGACCTAAGCCGTATTCATCAGAGTATAGAATAATCATATAAAAAGGTAACCAAAGATATTATGTTATAAATTTTACCTAGTTTCTCACTCATAACTTGTATAAAAACACAATGTTAATTGAAATTTTTCAAAGAAATAACTTTGGTCAACGCATCAGTTAATTTGATTTAACCGTCTATTTTGATTTATTTAATCATTTATCATACACTACTTGTCTAATGAAATGATACATGATGTTGATGTATTTTATTTTGTTTTTGATTATTTAGTTCGTAATAAAATGTAAAGCACTCAGGCTATCACAATGAAGATTGATCATGCATTGCGTCAATCTCATATATATGATATATCTATCCAACCACAAAGCTTCATTTTCCATTTCTGTTGTTGTCACATATTCAGCTTCTGTTCTAGATTAACCTATGCAATTCTGCAAGATAGATCTTCAACTAATGCTTTCACTACCAAGTGTAAATACGCACTTAGTTGCAGATTTTTTTGGGGTCAAAATCTTGTCTGTAGTCAACACTAACGAAGTCCAATGAGGATTTGACATAATCTAATAAACCATCAAACATTAAGTCATATTCCACAATAATCTTAAGATATCTCATAATTCATTTCATTGCTTCCAAGTGAATCTTCCCTGAATTGAAATGTATATGCTCACTTGCCCATCGCAAAAACAGTATGAAATCTAGTGCACACCATTAAATACATGATGCTGTAGATAGTTTGTTCATAGAAAACACAAGACATTTTTATTTTCTCAACAACATCGAAAGTACATTGAGCTACAAAGAGTTTGAAATGTGATCTCAAATGAATACACACTACTTTGGAATAGACCATGTTGAACTAGTCAAATGTAAGATAAACTTACTTGTTCTGACTCAGCAGGTTGTATCATGTAAGTCTACTATATAAATTTTTTATTTATTTCACAATGTTCAACATAAATAAATAAATAAATAACTAAATATACAATTTATCTTCACAATCTAAAAATTATAGTGTTGAATATGATGAATTCAAAGTGTGAATTTCTGGCCTACTTACAATGAAAATTGCACATTTCATGATTTGTTGGTAATCTAACCTTATGTATGGTCTATCATGCAACCATACATAAGGAGGTCATACAAGATGTATACATCATGGTACATATGTATACATATATCATCTTCTTTTTCAAGGAGCTCAAAATATATAATGTCAAAAAAATATGTTTTGCATGTCTTCACGAGGGTATGGTGTAATTTGACATCAAATAGATGACACTGCCATGCAGATTGGTGTACATAGCGCACAAACCATCTCCGTAAGTTCATTTTATATAGGGGTTATTGTTTTAGTAATCTAACCTGATTTATTGTACCAATCTCCCAAGTGACTCCCTGAATTCATGTAAAATATATCATTGTTTCAAAGACAACTTTAATCTTGTCTTTTGTTTCATGTGCTCATAAGGACATGGGATTCTATTCTAAAATGCGTCTCAAATTCTACCCGGAAACTTTATACAAATCGTGGCGTAATTTTGCATACCTCAATGAGGACGATCAGATTTGTAATATTACAATCTGGGCGGTGAGGGTGATTCTACAAGAAGTAAAGAGAATGTCCCTCACACACATCATTGCAATCGGACTACGAAGGGATGAAAGCCAATACCATCAAAATTCACTAGGCCCATGGTGGAAAAATGGTTCTCCAAGACCTGGAGTGGGACCCGAATCATCGAGTACTGTACTGTACTTGCTGCATAATATACTCCTGCCGTGGAGCCAGCTGAGATTCTGTTTGTTCCCAGCAGGAGAGGAGCAGGAGAGGAGACAGTGCGTCTGTCTGATTTTGCGCCACCAGTCTCCAGTGGACAATGACTTGCGTTATCTAATTATGAGTTCGACGTCTCGGAGAAAGAGTTGGCGATGGCAGGTGCTGCTGGCATTCGAATTTCGAGGACATATCACGACCGTTGGATCCTGAAAGTGTGGAGTCTGAGTCCGAACTGGAGAATTGAGCTGCGAGCGAGCGAGGGAGGGAGACTGGAGGGAATTTCGTCGTGGTTGATTGTTTTGCAGTCAATTAGCGATAGTGCAGAGATTCAGATGTGAGGGAATAAGCTATCGAGCGTCCATCCCACGAAGCAGGCCCAGAATCGCTGCGCAGGTGACAATTCAGGCTATCCTGGGATCCAGGCTGACAGTGAGCTGATGTTGCTTTGCAACGCAATGCAATTCAGTGATGGCTGGCTGATTGAATCGTCTTCGTTCTTCTGCAGGGTTTCCCTCTTTGGCAGTGGAGTTCGATGTGCTGAGCTGAGCGGAGTCCATGTCGTGTAAGAAGGATCGCATTGCACTCGCTTCATACGGAATTGTTGAGGAGGTTCTCAGGACAAGTAGCGAGCCGGACAGTTGACATTCATGCACCGGATTACGATTCTGAGTTGTGCTTATTAGTGCGAACTTCAAGACGGGTGGCACGTCCGCTTCTCTACGTGGGCGGGTCATGAAGGTCCCATAGAGACCTTTGCTTCGCATTTGCAACTCTAGGACACTGCGATGGGTGATGCTGTTCCAGGACTCCAAGTCTTCAATTCTTAAAGCTCCGGCGGGAGAACGAGGCAGGGAGTCCGAGGGTGGATGGGAATTGTCGAAAATGACAAGAGGACGGAGACTGATGTCCCTCAGAAGCTCACGTAAGCTCTAGCTCGGCTCTGCAAGGATCCGGCACAATGCAATCTGCGCGGCTCCCAGTACCCTTTCTGTCCAGAATTGACTATCATCCCACCGAAAGACATGGACAGAAAAGAAGCGCAGTCTTGGAGTCGTGGGAGCACCCTCTTTGCCTGTGGTCTTCTGCTATGGAAGTGCGTCTGGGTGCTCGGAGGCAGCGTGCATTCGCCAGACAGAGGTTCGGAAATTGGACGAACTTTAAGAGACAAAGGGCCAATCCGGTGCACGCGAAGAGGATTGTCAACGAGAAGAGACCACTTTTTTCTGCGTACATAATTGGAAAAATTCCAGGTGAGGCTAAGTCAGGACAATTGCCTTGCTCGAGTCCCAGAAACCAGCGGATTCACTGGACTGAAGCTATCTTTTGCAGCACTGGGATTAGAAAAGGATTTGAAGTCTCTGGATTTAGCGATTGCAGGCCAAAAGCCGGAAATAGTTTTGCAGGTGAGTTGGGGTGCTCTGTTACGGCAAGAGGAGCTAGCTTTGAAGTGAGCGAGGCGACAGATCGTTTGAAAGAGAGAAAGCTGATGCCTGTTGCATCTCATAAAATGCATAGGAGAAGAGATTCTGCGGATAAAGTCGGGGGAAAATCAAGATCTAGGCTGGAAGCAGTGGCAGATGACAGGGCAGATTTGAAAGAGGAGGAGGGTGAAGAAGAAGACGATGCAAATAGCACAGTCCGAGATGACAATAAAGAGATGAAACGAGACAAGGCATTACCTAGTCGTAAAGCTCTTGGATCTCTTGCAGCGACAGCTATCCAAGAGTCTCTTCCTCCGGAGGGATTTGTGGTCCTAATGTCCTGCGCTGTCGGTCTCCTGACCGGTGTGGGTGTCGTGGCTTTCAATCTGGCGGTAAGGTGCTGCAACACTCTTCCTTGGAAACCTGAAGTGTTGGTTTATCCAATTTTCAAGTCCCGCTTGTCCCCCTGCCATATTGATTTGGGACACTCTTGCAGGAAAATTCGATGATCAAACTCTGTCACATTTTTAATTTAAAGCCTGCTTGGAACTCTATTTCGTGAAGAAGTAGCGCTATGAACCATCAACAACTTTCCAAGGCTATGAAATTTTTGTGCACTGCTGAAATGGTCAAACAAAGCAACTCTTCTATTTCTTTTGCGGGAGTTTACCTTATGTGCAATGCATGGAGTGAAGTGGTAACAACAATCTTCGCAATAATAGTTGACAATGCGGGGATCCGCTACCTGAAAATCCCTCAAACGCTTGAACCTGGACTGAAGGACATCTGCTTGAATGTGCTACTATCAGGTTCATGAGATTCATGACATTGTGTTTGAGGGTATTCCGGGAAGTGGCGCAGCCTGGTTACGAGATCAACCTTTCGAAAAAATCTGGCAACAGATTCTTATTGTGCCTGTCGGTGGAGGGGTGGTTGTTGGACTCCTGAACACTGTTCGATCTTCTTTGGGAGGAGGCAAGGAGGAGCAATCAGGATCAGGAGATGCAAGCTCATTCTCGACGAACGTCAAAGCTGTTGGAAGGCAACTGCTGAAAACCATAGCGGCTGCCGTTACTCTGGGGACAGGAAATTCTCTTGGTCCTGAAGGACCTAGTGTAGAAATAGGAGCGTCCATAGCAAATGGAGTTGGCACATTACTGAATAACAGCAGAGAGAGAAAATTATCTCTCGTTGCTTCTGGCTCTGCTGCGGGCATATCTTCAGGTTTTAGGTCTTCCTCTTGGTTGCTCAGCTGCGGTCTTGAACTCTTGGAAACCATCTAGAATGAATGTTCTCTTTACACTTCCGTGGGGATATGCACGATCAGAGAAGGAGCCTATTGATGCGCCTAATGTTTCTGTCTATAATTTTAAACCTCTAGACTGTAACTGTCGTGTAAGATGTAATTCTATAATTCGTTTCCTTCGACTTTTCGTCAGATTCCACAGTATTGTACTGTGATGTGAAGTCGTTGCTAGTTTCCTCCAGTTCAGACATTGTGGAGTCTGTTCCTATTAGTCTCCTTTGCACTAAGAGTGATGTATGATGTTTATCTAGTTAACAATCTCAGGGCTAAAGCTTAGAGCAGAACCTTGTAGCTTCACCTCCATTGCCGGATATGTCTTGCTCTCAACAGCCAGATGAAATGAGCTTCTGGTCAGTATGATTAGAGCAACCTTTCAAATTAATCGTGAAACGGAAATTTTATCTGCTGTGGCTGTGTGTAAATTGCAGGTTTCAATGCAGCAGTCGCTGGGTGTTTCTTTGCAGTGGAATCCGTACTACGTCAAGCCTCAGTAGACTCCGCTCCTTCGCTGACTACGGCGATGGTTCTCCTAAGTTCTGTATTGGCATCTGTAGTCTCACAAGCTGGATTAGGTTCAGATCCAGCCTTCAGGATTCCACCCTATGACTTTCGCTCACCTACTGGTTCGTGCTCGCTACCGGAGTCTGAACTAACTTTCTTGAATTGGTACTTGCCAACAGAAATTAAGAGTATTATGAACCGTTCAAGATGCTTGGGGTCAGAGAAAATTTCTCTCTGCCTGCTCTCTTCTACAGCACACTACCGTAGTATTCCAAGTAAATAGATTTTGAGCATATCCCACATCTCATAAGCCCATGCTCTGAATCTGCTCTCCTCAGATGAAGTAGTTTGAAACTGGTTCAGACAAGCCAGAGCTATGACAATATAATTAGAATGATATCCCTCTTCTTGGGTCATATTGCAGTTTACGATAGTTTTGGTGTTTGGATGATTCTTAAAACTCAAACTTCAGAATTTACTTTGTTGATACTCACATCAAATCTTGTTGTTTAATGCAGAGCTTCCACTGTACTTGTTACTCGGAATACTTTGTGGGCTGGTCTCCGTTACCCTTACCAAGGGAACAATGTACGCGACCGCCTCGTTTGAGTGGCTTCAAAAGACCACGGGTCTACCATCGGGATTTTTACCTCCGATAGGAGGACTTTGTGTCGGCTTAGTTGCTCTTAAATATCCCGAAGTCCTGTACTGGGGTTTTGCCAATGTCGATGTATTACTAGAGTCACAATTGCCTTGGGTTAGAGGCCCTCCTGCCATGTTACTCATTCAGCTAGTAGGTGTGAAGGTGCTAGTAACTTCGATATGCCGTGGTTCTGGTTTAGTTGGAGGAGTGTACGCACCATCTCTGTTTATAGGTGCTGCTCTTGGATCAGCTTATGGTAAGCTAGCAACTTACACGTTGGCTCACGCAGACCCCAGTCTACATCTTGAGTCTCTGAACGTAGCTGCGCCCCAAGCATATGCTCTGGTGAGAATCCTTCCAGCCTTGGAATCAAATTTAGTGCGCCAGACTTTGTAGATACGCTTGTTAATGGGCTGTTTTTGAGAGTTGGCATGCAAAACCCCTTATCTCATGCTCGGCCTTGGTCTTGTAACCCTTGATCAGGTGGGTATGGCAGCGATGCTGGCCGGCGTATGTCAAGTTCCCCTGACCGCCGTTCTTCTTTTATTCGAGCTGACACGTGATTACCGTATCATTCTACCTTTGATGGCGGCTGTCGGACTTTCATCATGGGTGGCATCTACATTTCAAAGGAAAAGGCCCCGGAATCCCATCGAAGTTTCATTACCGGCGTTTTCGAACAACGTACCTCTGATTGTAAAGAATGCAGATCCAAATGCTCAACCTGTTGAGCTGGTTCTAACTCTAGAACCTACGGAGTCTTCACAAAGTCTGACCACCCCACTCTTGCGTGGATATGTTTCCGGAGCTCAGGAGCTTTGCGATCTAGAAGACTCACTGTGCTTATCAAATCTGGAAGTCAATGAAGAGAGGTTGACTGACGAGATTCCAGTAGGAGTCGCGATGAGGACACGATATGCTGCACTTGTTGGAAACACCTCTGTACAAGACGCCATGAGAACAATGCTTGTAGAAAAGGAGTGGTGTGTGATTGTTGTAAATGAAGATAATAATCTTGAGGGAATTTTAACGTTGGCGGATATTCAGCAGGAAGCCGAAAACTTTAGACGTACGGAAACCGAGGATGAGGTTTGTGCATACACCTTCTTCAGTCCCAGGGTATGAAGTTTGTTTTGTTTGAAGGTTCTCAAAAGTCATTCTTATCTTTTTGACATATTGTGGAGGATGTCCTAGACCATCACACACCGTCATGTTGCTGGCCCCCGCATTGCAAGGGCTCCGTGGTTATAACGGGTACTATTGTGATGCTTCAAAATAGCTGACATTGTCTTGTCAGTGGTCGCAAGGTTCAAGTTTAGTTCTTTTGTAGTCATGCTATGCGCCTTCCTTCATGAGCTGACTAATTGTGTGTATATATATCTCCACTATTGACAAAGCTTCCGATGTTTCTGCAGTTGGATCAAAGACCCATATCTGCTCTTTGTAGGAGTGTCACTGGTGGTAAAACTCGGGTTGTGACAGTTTATCCCGATATGAGTCTGACTGATGCACAGCGGAGGATGGCTCGACGGGGCTTGAGACAGCTTCCTGTTATAGCCCGGACTTGGAAAAGTCAGGGAAAACAGTCGGGCAATCATGTCGTTGGCTTACTTGACAGAGAAAGCATCAAGCTCGCCTGCAGGTAAGTAGTTTCTACGCTATCTCTTACCTTACCTTTTGTAGTACTCTTGCACTTTCCATTGGACATATGGAGGTTGTTGGTCACAGTTCCTAGTGAAATGAGACACTTATATCGGAGTCATCTGTGATTGTCCAAGAAAATAACCAGTTGATACTCACGTTTCCTGTGGGTGCAGAGTGGAGGCAACGAGAAGGATACTGGGCCTCCCTGCGACAGTGTTAACAAAGTTAACAACAGACGACATAAATGCCTCAAATTAAAATGTACAACAGCAGCTCGGGTGACATTCTCATAGATGTCACAAAGCACTTATTTTTATCGAGGGAATTACATTCACACTGTATTCACGCCGTACTTCCTTGAACGCAAAATCCAGGCATTCTGGTACATCTATATATCTAGCAGCTAAAATCCTTATGTCTCATGCCAACATTCCAATGTGAGTATTGATTCGGTCATCAAACTCGGTTTAAAAGAAGGGAGCTGATCATGTTTCCAACTAATTAGAGCTGGATAGAATGAAAGAATGGATCAAACTGAAATGAATCGGTGTGACACCAGCCAGTCACATTTCCCTTTGTATATGCGGCCCTACCAAGCTGAGCCGCATCGTCAAGATCACGGAAAGCCACCTCTCCTTCAACACTGTGTACGACCGGACTTCATTCTAAGCCAACAACTGTAGCCCAGCCGAGTGCTGTCATTATATACCATCAACAACGAAATCTTCGGTGGAGCTCGCATCGACGCAACTCATCCCAACTTGTGTACAGTTAAGAACATACTGCAGCCGGCGCCTATAACTGCTCTTAATAAAGTCGAAAACTGTACGCCGGGATCATTTTATATTCAGTGGTAGGAATCCCACAATGCCGAGTCGAGGAGAGGCAAAATCTGCAAAGGAGCAGCAGTTCAGGAGATGCCTGGAAATAATTCGCAAGCGCTGCGACCTGGAGTCACATTCTACTGCTTGGAAATGGTAGTCAGCAGCAGCCTCAAGTCTTCACGAAGCTAAGACGTAGATGGCACAACATAAATTTGTCAACAACAATAACTCCATTTTTGTTTAGACATATGTTTGCATTTGGTACTTGAGTTCGTTTACAATGTTATGCCGCCAATATAGCAACATCAAGGTCTTGAGTTTGATGATGGCAACGAGCTTGACACAATTTTCTGATAGAAGTTATTTCCAAAATGATAAAGTTAGCTTACTTTGTGCCTTGGTAGTTAATCTGTTTAAGCACAGTTCATGCAAACGATGCTCCCATGGCACATGTCAAAGGCTTCATCAACAGATCGTTCTATACACAGACAAGACCCACAATCGGAAGCTATGCTTTGCACGTAAGTTTAGTAAAATTCCTCAACCCCTGGGTCACAAGCTTTCGGATGGGGATGCTGGAGGATGGCTACACCAGGCTTATAAGCATTTCTACCACTTTCAGTCTCACTGAATTGAACGTGAACAAAGTTCAATACAGCAAGGACGCTAAGGAATCGAGATCATGGTTTTGACGGAATTTGTGGCACTTGAGGAGAGTTTTACTCTTTTCATATAGAGAGTACAAGCACTGTGGCGCGGTTGATTGTTTTTTTTTCTTCTTTATAATTGCCCCCAAGTGAATGGATTTCATTCAGTGCAAAATCTTATTTCGTCAATCATATTGACCCAGCCTCCTCCTAGATTGGTTATTCGTTCTGTTCCCACCCGTGTTGGGCAAAAGTAATCCTCTTATCCAGTACCAGAACGGATATTGAAACATGGATCAATTTATGTTACCCTAGTGGTAAAATGAATGTGTTGCTTGACACCACATTCATTTGTGTTGGGTCCTGATTCTTCTGCGCTACGAAAGGTCCTATTTTTCTGTCATACAGTTGGCCTCCCGTCCTATTTATGACACTCCTTAAAAAAGGCAATAGTGATTGCCAGAAACTCTGCCAGAAATAGTGCACGAGTCTGACCGCAGTCAAACCTGAGGTTACCGAACCTGAGGTCCGGAGGAGGCCCGTCGGTCCCCGCTGGAAGAACGGGCAGGAAGTACGAGAGCGAGAGCGAGAGCCCCATGTGGCGGCGTGGCCAAGATCGCGGGCCGAGGTGGCGCCCGGCTCGAGAAACGGAGCCTGGCATTCGAAAGCGCTCGAGACGGCGCCAAAAGCCACGAGCTTCAAGAATGTGACTTGTCGCTGTTCAGGCAAGATCGGAGATGCCCATTCTTCCTCGGCGCGATGGCTTGATTCTGAAAGCAGGCGCGCAGGCAGTGTCAGTGTCAGGAGCAATGTGCAGTGAAGTCTTGTGCATGCGATCGATTGCCTGATGAGTACGTGGGCCCTGAGCACGGGAGCGAGTCCCGGTATTATAGAAATTGAGTGAAGGATGGCGATGAGCCGGCAATCTGGTTTCTCGACGGCGCTTGTTCGGAAGCGCTGCACGTGATTGGTGCCGCTAGACGGTCGGGAGTAACGAGGTTTGGGGGCAAGGGGACGAGATCGTGTGTATTTCTTGTAGTTCGTCTGCGGGAAGGAGGTGGAAGTAAGATGTGGTCGTACAAGGTTGCCGATAATGTTGGAGGCCCCTGGGTGGAGACATTGAATGCACATGTTGGACGACAGACTTGGCATTACGATGAAAACGGCGGCACCCTCGCGGATCGAGTCGCGTTGGACGATGCGCGTGCAAAATACGCTGAAAATCGCTACAAGATGAAGCATAGTTCTGATCTACCAATGCGGATGCAAGTACGATTAATTTTTCAACGCAACCCGTGCCCTGCAACCGAGCAATTTCGTGCCTTCGTTCTTGTCGTTGTCGGAGAATGTTGCGATAAGCTGAACTGGATGATTTCAATTGAGCTCACTGTTTCATTTTGATGTTTTGCTCCAGCTCTCACACTGAATTTCATGTGCATGCTTCAGCTTGCGAAGTCCAATCCCCTGCCACCGTTACCCGATCAAGTTTTTGTTCGTCCTGATGAGGATCTGACCCACGACGCTGTAGATACAACGTTAACTCGGGCCCTTCGATTTTACTCCACCATTCAAAGTGATGATGGTCATTGGGGAGGTGATTACGGGGGCCCAATGTTTCTGCTTCCAGGACTTGTACGTATTGCAGCTCCCACGAAAAATTATGTGAATACCATTGAACTTCTTGAGGGAAGAACTGTACAGTATCATTGTACATAAGACCGCTGTAGCGAGACTTGAGCTGTCCAGTAAATGTGAAGAGAAGTTGTGAGAATGAAACAGTTTCGAAACTGGTCTTGCTGGTTGAACTATTGTTGATTATGGAGACTAACTTGCCCTGTCACTCGCTTGATGGATAATTGACTGAGGCAGATCATAACCTTGCACGTTAGTGGAGCTCTGAATACTGTCCTATCCCAACCTTACCAGCATGAAATTCGACGATACTTGTACAACCATCAGGTTTGTTGAGATATCTATTCCCAAAGAAAATCTGGAGGAAAGGGTGCAGCTTGCTTGGAAGAATTTTCTGGCCAATGATCACCCTACCTTGATATATGTTTCATCTCATATAATTAGTAAGGATACCCTAGATGATATCATTGTTTTTTGAAGACCAAAAGAAAGATCTCACAGACTCAACAATTTGGTCTTGACGAATGCAGAATGAGGATGGAGGATGGGGACTTCATATTGAAGGCCACAGCACCATGTTTGGATCCGTTCTTTCTTATGTGACCCTCAGGCTTCTGGGAGATGGCCCTGAAGGTGGAGACTATCAGTGTCTTCAGCGTGGTAGGGATTGGATCTTGAGCCACGGAGGAGCTACAGCGATACCATCGTGGGGAAAGTTCTGGCTTGCGGTAATGTGGCAAACTCCCGTACAAATTTGTCAATATTTTGTTCCTATCTATTTAGTTGTGGACAAAGCTGAGTGTAGTGTTTGAAAGACCTCAGTGATCCATGTTTGCCGGTGAATTTTTATCAAATAATGGGACTTTAAAGAAAAATGTATAAACTGTACTCTCTTCTTGTTCTGTTGGTTTAATGTAGTTTCTATGTATATATATTTCGGGTTGCATCTACAAAGATTATGGTTCTGCCCCAGCACTGCTTGTTGGGTTACCAACCATCTTTTTCGTATACCTATTCTCGTGCTTTATTGCTTATACTGTTCTATGTCTGCTTTTTAAATATACGATCTCAGTTGCAAACAGGAGTTCAGTACCTTGTTTGAACCTAAGCTGATTGTCAGCGCCTGACTTATAAATCTCCATTGCTAAGTGCAGGTTCTTGGAATCTTTGAATGGCATGGTCTGAATCCAATGCCACCGGAAATGTGGTTATTGCCGTATATGGTGCCAGTTCATCCAGGTGGGATACCTTATACCATGATAATTCTTAATGATCAAGTTATTCTACAGTCTGCTTCGTGTGAATTTATCTCTTAACGATCAGGAACATTGTATTGGATTGATGCAGTATTTTACATTGTACTTATTGGTAAGTTTTGAATGGAAATTTTTGTAAACGTCAAAAGAAGAAATATTCACATTAATTGGCTGGTCTGCAGCACGGATGTGGTGCCATTGTCGAATGGTATATCTTCCCATGAGCTATATTTATGGACGACGGTTCACGGCAAAGTTGACCCCTCTGATCCAAGACCTGAGGAAGGAACTATTTACCCACAAATTTAGTAACATTGACTGGAACAAAGCTCGTAATGAGTGCGCAAAGGTGATTATATATACATCCTCATTTTGATCCTATTTCTCCTTACCTCCTTAATTTACTTACTCACTTATGTACTCTTTATGGGATTGTCACCGCTGATGTCTATGTTGGGGCTTGTTGCCAAGCTTTGTCTAAATCATGTGTTATCTTTGGTTTCATATGCTTTAGGCATAAAAAACCATGAAATGAGCTTTTCAGCCTTTTTCAGGCAGGGAACTAAGTGTTTCAGCACAGGAATTGGAGATTATTGGGGTTTTCCATGATCTTCCTGAGCATGGACTCACACTACCTGAAAGGCTGTGAAAGTTTGAATCTCTGTCTTGAAATGGAGTAAACACCCTCCTATGTTTGTTCGAGCTCAAATATTTTACACGGCCATTTTATTGAGCAAGGTTGTAAACTTCATACAACCATGGTGTATTGAAGAGAGCCTTGACTCTCCTATGAAGCAGCCTGTGGACTGGATGCAATATCGTTCCAAAAGACCTTTATTGAGAGCCCAAAATTATGGTATTCAAGAAGCATGTGAACTACTTCTGCTTCGGTTCTACAGTCCTAATCCATGTAGCTCTACCAAGGAATGATATGGTACTGATAAGTAGGAAATTATCTTGAGTTAGGACTTAATAATTTGAAAGTTTCATTTTTAATGAGGCCATCTTATTGATTGTTGTGTGAACAGGAGGACCTTTACTACCCGCATCCTCTCCTACAAGATATTCTGTGGGGAACGTTGCACAAAGTTGCTGAGCCCTTACTTACGCATTGGCCAGGATCGAAACTGAGAGAGAAAGCGCTAGCTGAGGCTATGAAACACATCCACTATGAGGACGAAAATACAAGATATGTTTGTATTGGACCTGTTAACAAGGTTTGTCTTTGGTCCGGCACATGACTACCTTAATTGCGTTAATGCCTTTTCTCTTTGACAAAGCAACGAAATGAGGATATCTTATTTGATCTGCTCAGACTTCGGTCATGTTTCTTCGACCTGCCATTTGGTATTCTGTTTCGAGGAAGTAAAGTACATCATCTGCCCTGGTCAAAGATGCGTAGTCGCATAAACTTTCTTGGAAATAAAGTCAGTAAGCCCAAGCATTAAAGTTGACACAGAAGAACTTGCCCAAACAACGAGGCCTTGCACAACTCTTTGCCACATGAGGTCTATGTTTTCCAGGAAAGGACCGCTAAAGTGGATGGTTCTTTGAATCTGATTCTCGTTGTGGTGCAGTCTCTGAACATGCTGAGTTGTTTCGTTGAAGATCCGAACTCAGACGCCTTCAAACGACACCTTGGACGAGTTATGGACTATCTATGGTTGGCAGAAGATGGGATGAAAATGCAGGTGAGATATGGTATAATAGATTCTCCACAGTATTGCTTTTCCCGTTACACATGTTTCCATATATAAGTGACATTATCTCTCGGATGAAGTTTTACCTTCCTTTATGCTTTAGAGTACATAAAATACTGACCTCTGAGCCATTGTTATCGAATTTTGTTGGGTAAGTACTAGTAGAATTTGTTACAAGGCCGAGATATCATGTCCCTTCCTAGTTGCTTCGGGACAATGCCTTAATTGAGTCTCAGAAGTACTTTTTTGTGTTTGTTGATTTTCGCATAAATTCCTGATGACCGTCATTGATACCTCTGAGAAGTATCAAAGGGGACGATTTATTAGCTGTCAAATGTGTTGTATAATCTCCTCTGTGGTGGAAGTTGTTGCTAAGAAGGCCTCAGAAATGTGGAAACACGACATGAGGTTTACTTATTTCCCTCTGATCCTTTTCTTTGTCTCCTATCTTCACATTCATATATTCATTCCATCTTGTCCTTCTATGCTTCAGGGATACAATGGTTCTCAATTGTGGGACACTGCTTTCGCAGTCCAAGCAATTGCTTCGACTAACATGGTCGATGAAGTATCCATGATGCTGAAGAAGGCCCACGATTATGTTGACAAGTCGCAGGTAACACATATTCATTTGATCCAGTCGTCGACTGGTGTGCTCGGACATGTCATAAGAAAGAGCTGGCATATCGTCGAGCTAATCAGCATTGTTGACGTAGATTCGTTATATCTTGTCCTAGTACTTATGAAGCTTGTTATGCCTCAGTGAGTAGCATTAGTAAAGTGATGTGGTTGGATATATGGAATTAAGCAGTTTTGGCTTGCACAGGTTCACTGTTTACAAAGCAGAAGAAAGCAAGGTCTACAAACCAAAACTGTAGATAGAAATCTTGGATCCAAATTTTATCACAAAATATGCTAGACTCACGTATCTGCTTCAAGGATCAGCTTCTAGGTGGCATGAACACTGTTATAAGTTTCACATCCGTTTGCTTGATTATAAGAACTGATGTTTCGAAACTTGCTGTTGTGAAGGTTCGAGAAAATTCTCCAGGGAATATGAAGGAGTGGTATCGACATATTTCAAAGGGAGCGTGGCCATTTTCCACAAGAGATCATGGGTGGCCAATATCTGATTGCACATCCGAAGGTTTGAAGGTACGGGGTTTGTGGACACAAGTGCAGCAACCGAGCATTTGATTTTGACAGGTGTCTCTTATGAAAATTCTCGTCTCGACCCAACTTTTGTGGATGCAGGCTTGTCTGATTCTCTCCGAACTTCCGGAGGACTTGGTTGGGAAGACGGTATCAGATGAGAGATTGTTTGAGGCAGTCAATGTCATGCTATCGTACCAAGTAAGTTCTGAAACCCGTGACAATTTACCTGGAATTGTATCAGTGTCATATCAGAGATTTGTGGCAATATTGAGAAGCATCTTTTGCATGTTAGTGCGTCAGGTAGAGGACTTTTTACTTCAAATCTAGAAATAAGTAAATGAGCTACAGCTGTGACCAGTTGATAATGGAGTGTAAAGAAGGAAGGATACTGTGTCTATTTCAATCATACAGTCGCAACAGTATACTTTAATACTGCAAGGATTGACCTTCGCATGTGCTTGAACAGAATGGCGGTGGTGGATGTGCAACGTACGAAGTTGAAAGATCCTATGCTTGGCTTGAGGTGATGTGTACACCAGTGCCCTCTCTTTGATATATTGCTTTCTTCCAAATTGTGCCATAAAGCTTAGAAAATCATTTCACTGCTTACCTTCACGGTTGAGATTTGACTGAGATTCGCTCCAAGATTACAGATGGTAATATCGTTGTGATTCAAACTCCGTTCTGTATGAAAAAGTCATACATGTTCAAAACACGCTTTCCTGTATGACCGTGTCAGCAGTAGTTGTTGACAGGAAGGAACTACATATTATTTCAGTTCATCTTCGTATTTGTTGTCTTTGTTGGTTATGAATCCAGTGATTAGGCGTTCGTAAGAGGTCACCATAAAGTTGCATACGTTCATATCTATAATATCATCTGCCAAAAATTTTCTCGCCCAAACTTTTGTATAAACCTTTAAAGGCCGGATTCCAGTGTTTGATCCGATATTGGTGTTAGATAGCTCATTGGTCCGATAGAAATTATGACCGGAAGCATCCTGTGACCTGTTCCTTTCTATCCAGAGACTGACCTCTGCGAGTCATCAAAGTCACAAGTACTGATCTTACTTACATTTTAATGTGCTGCAGTACATTAATCCTTCTGAATGTTTCAGCAACATTATGATCGATTATTCGTAAGTAGTTCGCTCTTGGCCAGTCTGGTCTGTAATCGACGAAATCATGACAATCCAAAGTTATGCCTGCGAATGTTTGTGGCTTTCTATGTTACCAGCTTTGCTCTGTTGTCCCAGTGTATGTGTAAGTAGATACAGTTTTCTGAGATCACAACTTCTGTGTTTTGCAGTTGGGTGGAGTGCACGTGTGCTTGCATTCAGGCACTAGCTCTTTTTCGCAAAAAGTTTCCGAATCACCGTAACAAGGAGATAGGAATGTTTATAGACCGGGCCGTTAAGTTTGTGAAAGATACTCAAGGAAAAGATGGTTCCTGGTACGTGGACACTTTCATTTATCATGTTTTCAAGTTGTTACAATCGTTAGCACATTACGGTCCTGTTGGCTCTCAAGTTTATGTCTAAGACTCCAGGTTTCCATCGATTATCAGCGTTCACAGCTCATGCTCTTCGCTTAGCCGTACTTTTTTTCAGGTATGGGAATTGGGCCGTCTGTTACCTTTATGCTTGCTGGTTCGGAGTACTTGGTCTAGTCGCCGCTGGAGAATCCTACTCGTCTTCTGTTGCTATTCAACATTGTGTCAAGTTCTTACTCTCGAAACAGCTCCCAGACGGTGGTTGGGGAGAAAGCTACCTTTCCTGTCAGAACGAGGTAAGCGGTATCATGAACGTCCTGACAAGTATGGGCTAAACATGATTGTTCAGCTTCAGCCAAATGACAGTTGTGGATCCTGCTTAATGCTTGCCAGTTTGTGAAATGACAGGTGTACACAAATTTGCCTGGAGATAAATCCCATCTCGTAGGTACTTCATGGGCAATGTTGACCCTAATAGCATCTGGTCAGGTAAATACAAGCTGAATGACACGATTTGCAATTCGTCTTCAATGCGCGGAATGAGTTTATTTTGTCACGGCGAGGATGCCGTGTATATGTGGTTCTCTTTTCGTTCTATCTTGATTATTATCTTCAGCTGGAGGCAGAAGGACTGACTGGGTCGTACTCATCAACATGTAACTTGTACTTGTAAGATTGCTCTTTGGATGCTTCCGGTACTTTACCTGAACCAAGCATTGAAATGTAGGAGTCTGAAATCTTACTTCATCTGAACAGGAAAAAAGGGATGCCAAACCTCTTCACAGAGCAGCGAAAGTGTTGATAAATGCACAGTTTGCGAACGGTGACTTCCCACAGCAGGTGAAGTACTACTGTTCATTACTTGAGAACCTAGACCAATCCTTTGAATATGCACGTTTGGAATCTACACCTGTCCAGTTGATGTTGCACCTCTAAATTTGCTCGATCTTAAGAACTATCATTGGCCTTGTGTATAATGGACTCAGTTGCATGTAAGTGGTATTGAGAAGTGTGGGAATTAGGCAGATTATTCGTGGGTTCTAAATTAGTTCTTTTCCCCTAATTGTAATTATCAGCTCGTCTTGTCCAAAAATGATTTCGACAAGAATGGTAGGAAAGTTTAATGACAGCCATACATGCTGTAATCGAATCAAGAACAGAGTCGATAGACTTTTTTCTCGTAGTGTTCCTTTTAGTTAAGAAATTTAGCTCATGATTTGAAATTGGAGCCACTACACTACCCATAGTCGCTGACATGTCTTTCTTTTATGGAAATCTACAGGAAATCATTGGTGTGTTTAACAAGAACTGCATGATTTCGTACTCAGCATATCGGAATATATTTCCCATTTGGGCGTTAGGAGAGTACCGGAGAAAAGTTTTAGCGTTGTGAGTTTTGGACCATAGATAACAACCAATGTGAGCAGTGAAAGGAGTTCAGGTTGAAATAAAATAATGCCGTAAGCTTTACTTGCCTCGATCCGAATTGAAATGTTGTAGTAGGCATTACACTACAAGGAAGACTCACGACATTGACAGTTGGAACTCCTGACTGATATGTGTACTCACACCTGAGGGTCCCAAAGACTCTTGTCGCTGTGATATCTTAAGTGTTCCACATTTAAAAAATGTGGAACACTTTTGATTTATTTCTCTTACATTTTTTCCTGCGTTGAGCATCGTATCTCGTTTCAGTTCTGGTTCTCCACTTGTATGCTTCAATCTGGCTGACCCAAAGCTCTTACTTCACCTGAAGGAGGTGCGTGCGCGAGAAGGTGCGTGTACTTGGTATTGAGTGTTGAGAGGCCGTGGACGGCTTCTCGTCGAGCTCAATTTTTTGAAGAAAGATAATCTGAAACACTACACAGATGAGCCATAGGTCTTGGTACTCTGTTGAATGGCGGAGTATGGTAAACGCCGAACAAATCATATTGGGTGTAGTCCAGAATTATAACACAATATCGTCACAACATAATAAAAATATCTAAATTTTCAGAAATTTACCAACAGAATAGCGAGAAAAGAATGTTGATAAAAACAAAAGGAGGAATTAAGATGATTAACAACAAAAAATTTAGGAAAAAAGTTTCAAATATATACTACAATCTAATTCACAGTAGCTCCTATCACAGTAAACTTGTGATTTGAAGGTTCTATTTTCATCACATATCTCATCTGTACTTATTGTGGTTTCTAAAGCAAGATGATAAACAATGGCATTACTTATCACAATAATTATTTTGTTTTATTATTTATCAAAATTAAAAATCAATATTTACTAACGAAATCAATATTTTATTAAGAAAAGTTAGTAAATTATTTAAAAGAAAATGAAGATTCCAGTAAGGATTAATGTGAATTATAAAGTGCTTCTAACTAAAAATAGATATGCTCAAAATTCTTGTTGAACAATTACGGATTGTGATGTATCAAAAAAACTATTACAAATGCATTTTTATAAATTTGTAAGAATATGTATTTTTTAAAGGAAAATTGAAAATGTATATTTTGATGCAAATCTAATATTTCATTTCAATTGTTATCTATTATATATCAAATGTTTTCATTCGATGTTTCGAATGTATCTTAAAACCAGAATGTAATTTTTAATTTTTTTAATTATTTGAATATGATTCTTTAAAACTATAAAAATAATAATTTCCATAAGAATAAAAAGTTAATTCTAATCAAATTACATCAAAACCTGAAGTACACATATTTTACAGTGTATGGCAGACTGCCATACACTGTAAAATATGTGTATTCCATTGGCAGTACACGAAAACGTTTTTTGAATATTTACACTTTGGAATGAACTATATTAGAAAACAATTACGCAGACTAATCTTGCAAATTGCGTGAAATTTTTTGTTGACTCATGTCAAATCTTCTTCATGATTTTTAAATCTATGAAGTGTATCGTATCCTGTTCTTTTCTCCTATTAAAATCAACTTCTGATTAAATGATGAATATTTTTTTCTGAAGATCATAAGTAATGCTTATATACAATTTTTTTCATAGTCCCTTCGGGAACATCCGTATGTTGATTTTCTATGTTCACATGTACACATAGAGAAAATTCGAGAATATAACAGTTACGGACCACAACCAAACACAACTAGTTAATCAATTGGCGTAAGTACTATAAATTGACTAGTTTCATCCTACTTGGGCCCGTATAGAAACTATACGGGCCTAGCGTCCGGTTCACCATTCACTTTCATGAGAGTGTTCGGGTTGATGACGTCTTCCAATCCTTCTAGTTATCCACTGGCCCCCGGTAACTGCTTGACGACGGGCTACTCAGCTGTCGGACTGGAAGCTTGGATGCCCGCTTCCGGTCATGGACTGGGTAAGCAGGGAAGGCTACCAGGTGGCCAGCAAGGCCGGTCGGTCGAGTGGCAGCGAACTGCGTTGGGAAGAAGGCGGGGACGCAGAAGAGAGAGGAAGGGAGAAAAGAGGAGGAGCAGAGTCGGACCTTGGGCTGCAAATGGAGCCAGCATTGGAAATTCGACAGCCACGGAAACGGAAGGGGCGCATGGACGACCAAAGCCCTCGATAAACCTCGAGAGGTGAAGTCGACGGGACCATGAAGGCAGGCCGCGTTATGGCGTCCGCGGTGATGCCCATTTCAGCCTCGTGCTGCAGCTGTTTTGTGTCCGCCTCTCCTTCCTCCACGCTCTCCTTCGTCAGCAATCCTCGCCTGGTTCGGGTGTTTGCGCGCTCGCTGCTGCTCAGGACCTCTTCCTCTTTTGCCTCCGTCTCTGCCGCTGGCCCTCTTCCTCTCTCTCGTCAGACCCGGTTGCGCTCTTCGTTCTTGGGTTCTCCCCGATGTCCACTTCTTCCCAGGTTGGTCTGTTTCTGGGTTCCCTCTTTTGCAATTTGGTGATCCAATTCTTTAATTTTGTGAAGGCTTCGAGTCTTCTCGAGACAGAGTCACCTTACTCTTGCTTTCAGATCTCAGTGAAATTAATCATGCTGTGTTTTTTTGACAATTCATCGTAGTTTCCAATTTCTCGTCTTTCACCTTTTCTGTGTACCTCATCTGGTTATTCAATTGTTGAATTGAGGTTCGAATGACTCCTGTGGTGCTTGCATCTTGTCCTCAGTGGGCTCGTTTTCAACCGTATACCCAATACGGCTGTAAAAGATGCAATTTGGACGTTTGGGAGAATCATAGTAAACGGTCCAGTTCTCCACATGAAAATCCTATAGTCAGTTGTGAAGGTCCTTGACTTCGATATGAATGTGAACGAATCTTGCCACTGCTATGCTAATTTACAGCCTGCATCTTACCGTGGCACCAGCGATTCTCTGCACTTGAACCACCTTCCAACTCTGGGCTTTGTAGTTGGACTTAACAACTTAAATTTCATAAACGTTGTGCTAATTTCCTCTGCATGAATTGAAGGTTTTCTGGCGCAAGCCAGTGTCGTATGGGATGGAGAGTAAAGCAAGGAGGCACCCGGTCTATCACGTGCAATTTTGCTTTGGAGGTTCCGTCTGCCCAGTCAGTAGATGCCTATGATGCAGGTCAAATTCAGGTATCAAACTTGTGAACTCTTTGCAAGGCATTTTGCGGGTATATGTTCCGATGTAAAAGTGTAGGATGGGGACCTTTAAGCTACTTTAAGCTATTCTGACGAAGACCCCTCATAGATATCTATACATCCGGACCTTTTATCAGCTATTTTTATTTCAGTATGATACTTTGTCTTCGTGGTAGTTTTTGAGGCTAATCAATGTTTCCACCACACGCTTGAAGGTTTTGGAAGGTTTGGATCCCGTGCGCAAGCGTCCGGGAATGTACATAGGAAGCACTGGCCCAAAAGGGCTTCATCATCTGGTAAGAGGTTTATCGTAAGACTGGTTTAGGCGACTACATGACCTTTGAACTGAATTCATTTCATAATCGCGACCATATCACGAACTGAGTTTTGATGCTTGAGGTGAATGAATGCTTGACGTGAATGACTCCACGTCGAAGGTTGATTACATTGGCCAAAATCTCAATCTTGACGATCTTATATCTCCGAGGAACAGGTGTGGGAAGTGCTGGACAACTCTATTGATGAAGTCCAAGCCGGGTTTGCCACGAAGATAGATGTGGAGCTTCATGCCGACGGATCTGTCAGTGTCAGTGATGATGGTCGTGGGGTAAGGAAGCACCCCGATCTTGTTGATATGTGATGGGTGCCTTGTTACTCAAGTCTGGTCGCAATTGATGGAATCATCTAGCTGCTGGACTTGTTAGTCCTGCAGTTGTTTAAAGTCAGGCCTTTATGTCAGAAGGTGAGAAGGACATATTTCCTTGCAATCACTAATCCTAAACTCTCACCTCATTTGCATTTTGCAGATTCCCACAGGTATCCATCCAACCACGGGGAAGTCAGCTGTTGAGACTGTTCTGACTGTAAGTATATTCAGGAGAATGTCACATCTTGTTATGTTATCTCTTTTCTCATGAATATTGAGACTGCGAAACTTTCTTACTCAAGGAAGAGGTTTTCAGTGCCGAAGCAAACTTAACTCCTTTGTAAACAACCATCTCTTCAGTAAACTTCTCTTCTACCTGGTTGAGATAAGTGTTAATTTCATATAGAGTATAATGATATCTTTCTGTTTAACCCTTTACCCTTCTGGTAACCGAGGTAACATACATAGAGAACTTTTTTTTGTGCAGGGGTCTTCATGGATAGGTCAAGTAAATCCTAAAACTTCAATCTTACTTTGATATCTACCGTTTGTCAGGATAATGATATTGTTTGAACACGCGTTTTCTTCAGGTTTTGCATGCCGGAGGAAAATTTGGTGGTGAGAGCAGTGGTTATTCTGTTTCTGGTGGATTGCACGGTGTTGGTATCTCCGTGGTGAATGCTCTTTCTGAGGTATAAGATTCAATTTCCTACTCTGATTGATGGGCAAGATGTGCTGGGTGGTCTACCTTTTTATTCTAATCGCTGACAATCAGACAATGTGGAACCTTCTTATGAATGTCTTCATTTTCATTTGAGCATGGCTTCTAAGTTTAACATGATTGGCTGCAGAACTTGCAAGTTACTGTGTGGCGAAATGGGATGGTTCATGAACAGATTTATAAACGAGGGAAGCCCGTCACCGAGCTGACTAGCAGACCTCTACCTAAAGATCTTTCATCAAAATCCGGCACATGCGTGAAGTTCCTCCCCGACACTGAAGGTACTTTTTAATCAGGTCTAACAACGGTGCCTCATTACAGTTGCAAGTCACAGTGGTACGTCAGATGTATAGTTTGTAAATTCAGCGTCGCTGCATTACCATGCTCTTATGGTATATTCGAGTAGACTGCGATTTGCTTGTTGAATCAGAGAGTCTCAAGGGATGAACTTTTTGTCATTATTTCTTCAGTTCTTGTTCGTTTGCTGCGAAGAGATATTTTCTACGTTATGAAAAGCTTTGATGTCTTTCCTCTTCGAAGATGCTTTAGAGTCTTTGAAGGCAGAACTTGATGACTAAGTTGTTTCTTACATTGCTACTCGTGCAGTTTTCACTACTAGTATTGAATTTGACTACGGCACTATAGCTGGACGTTTGAGGGAGCTAGCTTTTCTCAATTCAGAGGTAAAACATGAGAGCTCTGGTTTTTTCATGTCTAATATACTCGGGCTTTTCGTGTCCTCCTGTGGATAGTCTGGAAAAGACTCTAATCAAGAGCATATGAAGCCTAAACAAATTGTTAAAGAACTGGGTCATATACAGCTCTGGGTGTTCCTCAGTGCATTCCTTTGATCTTTTACTGTTTACTCGACATGACTGATCGGTTTACTTTTTGGCTTCACCGCCTATCTATTACTCCAGGTGACGATCAACTTGAAACAGTTGAGTGACAAAAGCGATAAGGTTAAATCTAATGAGTATCACTTTGCTGGAGGTCTGAACGAATACGTACTTTGGCTCAATCAGGACAAGGTGGACTCTTCATCCTAGATATACCTTGTTTAACAAATTGTCCTAGGCGTCACTTTTTTAGATTGTCCCACATCACAGAGCATACCTTTGTAATGCTTGATGTATATTCCAATTCAAGAAGTCTTGAAATGCAAACTGTTGTGTAGATCAGGAAGTTATTCGATGATCATGCCATATATGCTTACCAATTCGATGTCGTGTTGAAATGTAGGAGCGACTGCATGAGCCCATCTCAATCAGGAGAGAACGAGATGGTATAACAGTAGATGTAGCTCTTCAATGGTGAGTAGCTACAGAGCCACTGTATGTTTTGACGTGAAAGTTTACCTGCAAAAAATATATATCGACTTTCAGTAGATCTTGTAAGAGAATTGTCTTCGAGATCGTAATCAGTTCAGTCATGTATGCAGACTGTAGGAGACCCATGAAGTTGGGAATTATGAGAACATTGTCCGAAGATGTTTTCATTTCATCATTTAATTACAACAGTGGACCCTTGATACCGTGGGAATATGCTAAGAGTATTGTTTGAATCTGTTCAAATCAGGTGCTCAGATTCATACACGGACACCATACTTGGATATGCAAACAGTATACGGACGAGTGATGGAGGAACTCATCTTGACGGTATGAAGGCAGCCATCACTCGCACTCTTAACTCTCTGGGGAGAAAGACCAAGATTATCAAGGTATTATAGTGACAAATTTAGTGGCAACCCTCTATTACATTCACCACACTTGTCGCTTATTTTCTCCATATACAGTTGTAATAGATAACAGTCAGCAAACTAGGGAGATTTGAACTCTAAAATTTCTCTATGAATTGACTCTGGCATTAGTGGATTTCTCATGACATATACTTTGATATATTCGCAGGAGAAAGATGAGAATTTGAGTGGAGATCATGCAAGAGAGGGTCTTACTTGTGTCGTTGCAGTGAAGGTTCCAAACCCTGAGTTTGAAGGCCAAACTAAAGTGAGTTCATCTTTCACACCAACTGCTTCTCCTCTATCCACTATCACTGCTTCTCTCTATTTTGACCTCTAAAGACAACATTTTTTGGGTGTTATCTTTCCACAGTTGTTTGTAAGTTTCTTCTAAAGAGTGAAGTCAAGATTTCGAAGCATCGTTGTCCGTTTGCCTGTCCACAAAGTCATTAAGATGTTAAGAAACAAGTTTTCAATCGCGATAATAGAATGTAACACTGATCTGTTCATGTTGCTTACATATGAGTGCTCAGTGACTCATCTGTTTTCAGTTTTTGGAGTTGACTGAGAACTTACTGGTGGTGGGGATACAGACACGACTAGGAAATCAAGAAGTCCGTCGCGTGGTTGAACAGGCTGTTCAAGAACTAGTAACCGAGTATTTGGAATGTCATCCAGAGGTTTTAGAAAGTATTCTCGCTAAAGCTATACAAGCGTTTAAGGTATTATTCAATATTCCTTTAGGTGTTAGCTTACTATGCTTTGACGCTTCTACATGCGAGTGAAATTACTCACTGTGTGGATTGCAACCCCTTAACATTAAATTTTTAAATAAAAGTACGGTGATCGCTCTGGATATGCATTGAGGTGTATTGAAGTTTCTGTTTGTCCGGCTTCAGGCTGCAATGGCGGCTAAGAAAGCCAGGGAATTAGTAAGACGGAAGAACGTGCTCAAGTCTGCTATGCTACCCGGGAAGCTTTCTGACTGTTCTTGTACAGATCCTCGTAACTCAGGTCAGTGTCTGTGATGGGTTGAGTACTCCGGCCTTCTGTAGTCATAATGGTCTATTCCTCCTAGGTTTGTCTATCTCTTTTTGTTGGGTTCATCTGTAATATGTGATTTGACTGCAGAAATTTTTATCGTGGAGGGTGATTCTGCCGGTGGAAGTGCTAAGCAAGGAAGAGACAGGAAATTTCAGGTGAAATACGGGTTATTTGTCTTTCGTTCTCTAAGCATAACAACCGAAAAGTATACGCTTAAGCTGTTTATCATTCTATATCATTCCAGAAATTTGTTTGTACAATTGAAGCCTTGCTTTGAATAACTGGTTTTCTTTCGTATGCCCGCAGGCTGTATTACCTCTGAGGGGAAAGATTCTGAACATTGAACGCAAAGATGACGCTGCCATTTATAAGAACCGAGAGATTCAAGATCTAATTATAGCTTTGGGCCTCGGAGTTAAGGTATGAGGGTCATATGCTATAAATTTGAAGCTTCTCAAATGAGGTTCTTCACTTGCTGGAAGTGATAAGATTTGACAAATGTATTTTTTATTGGCTTCTTCGAGCCTAATTGTGTTTTCTGCCTACAGGGAGAAGAATTCAACTTGGATACAGTGCGCTATCATAAAATAATCATCCTCACAGATGCTGATGTTGACGGAGCTCATATTAGAACTCTGCTTTTAACCTTCCTGTTCCGTTATCAGGTGCATTTCTAACGTGCTTTGATGTCCTTGACTTGTAACTATCTTGGATATACATAATATAGCCATACTTATCGGCTTGCTTAGCTGCCTACGTGCCGTTTTTTTGCCGGTCCATAAACTGAACATTGTTCCGTGGCTTTGATGCTTTAAACATCTCTCAGAGGCAATTATTTGAAGCTGGATGCATATACGTTGGAGTTCCCCCGCTTTACAAGGTTGGACTCTTTTTTTAAAAAACACTCAGTAGGCTTTTCAGTGCCGGCGTCCCGCTATCCAGCTGAAGAAGTAGAAATTAAAGAAAAAATAACGTCTACCATTTTGTACTGCCTTCATTGCCGTGATATGCTTGCCTTACTCGTAGGTGAGATAAGTATAGTGTAACATCTGCTGTATATTTTGTGATCATGTTTGACGGAGTAGGTGGAGCGAGGGAAGCAATCTCAGTATTGTTACGATGAGGGTGAACTGAAGGCTTTATTAAAAAGTTACCCTTCAAATGCAACCGTTAACATTCAAAGATTCAAAGGTATTTGATGAAGTTTCAGATATTTTTTTGTCTGGAATCTATCATTTCATTTTTCAGGCATCATGACTTACCGTGTTCTCTTTGTAGGGCTTGGAGAGATGATGCCTTTGCAGTTGTGGGAAACCACCCTGGACCCAACCAAAAGAATGTTGAAGCAGCTGACTATGGAGGACGCTGCCGAAGCTAGTCAAAGATTCACTGTACTCATGGGAGACAAGGTGACATACGCACTGTTTATTGATGATCTGCATTTGAATATTCCATTGTTCTGTGTGTTGTATATATTGAGGTAACTTTCACATTCTTCCTTCTATTCGACAAGTGCCTACGTCGAACCCCAGTTTTTCTGGATACAGCGATGACTCTCGTTTATTGTACCGAAGGCCATTCAACTATATTCTCAAAAGGTCCTTTGCTTAATTTTTTCAATGCCGTCCATATTCTGCATGTTATGCTTCAGGTGGAGCCACGCAAGGAACTTATTCGAAGTTCAGCGTATCGTCTGAGTGTCGAGAATCTTGACGTCTAACCGCAGACCAGGTAGTGCTTAGATTCAGCACCCTGAATAGATGGGTGTAACTTGTGTATGATTAGAGGAAGCTCCTAACAGATGGCAGTCACCAAACATTTCACTAGGCAACTGCCAATAGTTACAATTCTTTTGACTTCCCCAGGAAGTCTAGATGCACTCTAGACCACCGTGTATCAATTTTGATCGAAGCATCCAAAGGAGGCAAATATATGTGCAAAAGAGTTTCAGGTGGATGTTGCTCGCATTGGTTCAGATGCGCATCAATAAGAAGTTGAATAAATGCGTCAGCAGTCTTGTTGTAACACGTGACGTGGATGTCATCAGTATCTGAACTAGCACATCGATCCTCAGCTCTGACTTCCGCTTTGGCGAGTCCGCTATAGAACCTGAATGTAAATCGTAGTGCTAGACCCGTTTTAGGATGGATGCTTAGACTTTGGACATGTGTCGGTTTTCCAGATGTGCCTAGGACGTTATAGGGATGGGATCCAAGTGCACCTGAAACCCAGCTACAAAGTAGGGTGCCATATGTATCGTTAAGCACTGAGAAGAAGTCATTGCTGGAAAGGATATATAGCCTTTCCATTTCTAGATCGCGAAGGCTGCGGTTCCTTAAAGGTAATGCTCATTGAGGACAGATTATCTCCGAGCTTTGCCGCTCTCGTGTTTAATGATATTGAAATCTTCAACGTTGCTTTCTGTGATAGTCTCCAGTGCCTACTGCCCTTCGTGTAGTCTCACACTAAATGCGTTCGTTCCTCCAGTTTCGTTGACTGCATGGTGCCACCTACTTTTCGTATTGCACTCGTCTACTCGGTACCCGGCGTCTCAGTGGTTTAAACATTTCACGTTTTCTACTGAGCGACGTGATGTAATCGTTAACCCCACAGTTTTTGTATGTGATTCGCACTTTTGTAAGTTTGAATCAGTAGCTTGTAGTGTGGGGAAATGACACATTTCCCTTATCAAGTGAATATAATTCTGGTCTTCAAGATTGAAATATTAATTGTAAAATAATGGAAACTATACATCAAACTCTTCCCATGACTACAGTTCAGGTAACTTATGCTTGAGTAAGGTTAGTCAAGTAGTTTATTTGGGAGTAGGTACTTAAATTCAACGCAGGGTTTTAGGTTTGAACCATTAACTGTGTGTTTATCGCTAGATCATATCTCAATAGTTTTTATCTTGCAAATGATAACTTTGACATGTATAGACGATATACATGTGTATTAAACACTTCATCTGATATCCTCATTGGGTTATATTCAAGAATGATGAAGAAAGTTTGATGACAGTGTTACTGCTCGTGGCAAGACAAAGTAAAATGCTCATCTCGAAGAGTCAATAAGAGCATAATGCATTTCAGGTGATATATATGGATATAATTAATCAACCTCTGCAACATAGTATCATATTGTGACTCATTACTTATCTTGACAGATTTCAATATTGAGAAACAAGAACAACTCAAGAAGAAATATAAAATGTAAACAATCATTATGTGTCTTACAAATGCATCAAAAAATATCTATCAAATAAATTCCTGCTGGGCTCAAACCCAGAATTCTAATTACTTCCAGTGGGAAATTTCCGAAGACGTAAACGATATCTTTTAACCAAGAGTCTATTGAACTTGGATTCGATCATCGGGTTGAAATATTACGGAGAAAGACAAAGGAACCAGGGACAACAATGATTAAAGAAAGTTTTTTTTTCTTCATTGGCCAAGTTGTATCACAAAACAACCATTCTAAATCATACAACATATGCTGTTCTGATCAATATAACTTATTTGAATTAATTAAAAATAATACTCTGTAAGGTAGATATATAATGGTTAATAGTTAAGCTATATATCATTCTCTTATTTATCCCGTTGACCCCGTTATTCAAAAAGATCTCATTCTCCATTTTCCTTGAACAAATGTAGAGCATTGGTTGGTCGGGTCATCAATTGTCGTCGGGTTACAGGCCCATAATTCTACCAATTCACGAACCCGCTGAACTCAAACTCAACGTCTGATTTCCGTCCTGTCATCCGTCACAGATAACAGCGGCCAAAGGCGATGTCTGTGCACGAAACGGATGTACGCTGTGCAGGTGACGGAAGGAAGGGCCTGCAGTGGAGTGGGAGACTCTCCTGGGAGCACGTGGAGGACGAGGATTGATTGGCGCATGAGACATGTGTTCGCGAGAGATCTTCTCTTGCGTACATGTGTACTTTCGAATGTTCGAGGCTTTCTGGAATTCGGGACCCACCAGTTTGACCGGCTGGTTTAAGAGAACTACCGAGACGGCAGGTTTTGCCCTTAATTCCGCTCAACTTTCCCGCCGGGGAACCAACATTTGCGGCGTACATCACAAAAGCTACGATGGGTTTAGTACCTTCAGAATTTCTGTATATTCTTGGTATTCAAAACACATCCTTGACCTTATGTTGGTCTCCCAACAGGGGATGTCTAATGTTGACATTCATGAAGATGCCTCGCCAAAATTATTGCATATCATTTAGGGCTTTTGTTTCATATCTCAAATTTTAAATTTTTCCTTTCGGGATATATATATATATATATATATATATATATATATATATGGCTGGCTGGATCTACCCACATTGAATTAAGGACCCACGAGATTAGTCCGTAAATTCTGATGCTTTAAAGAAGTAAAAGTTTTGGAAAAAAATTACATTCCTCAATTTATTTTATAAAATTTTCTTTAATTACATTTCTCTAATATTAATTATCGCAACACATTTAGAGCTTTTGAATTGATATAATCATAGTTGTATATGCCTGTATTCCAAATATAGTAATAGTTATATACTTGGGTTCATGCACTGTTTTATTATCAATCAAAAACACCCTAACCGTGATAGAAATGTTTGTGCCTGGATAAGTTACAGCACACGAGTGGGTAGGAGGTTAGAATCCTACAACAAAGCTCGGCCAACTTCGACATCCATCATTCTCAGGGGTTAGTACCCTGCAGTGTCCTTTGGCTCTCTTAAGATGGAGTAAAACATACACTCATGTGGTACCAAATAGATTGATTAGACAGAGTAAATAAAAGAGAAGCCGAACATATTTGCAAACCACATCTGAGCGCTAGATTACATGACGTTTATTTGTGGAGCTCATATTTTCGACTACGAGTCTTCAATGGCACTGGGTAGCCCAACTTGAGATGACGCAGTAGCTCTATTTAGAGAACAGGGGTATTTCCGACAGGGCAGAAGAATGCGGTTGTGCGTTATTACTGGCTTTGTATCCAACTATAATTATTTCCAAAAAAAAAGAAGAATTCGGCTTCCATAAATTGACTTGATTTTTAAAAAAAACTTGGCATAGAATCTCACCGCCACCAAAATTGGTGTTTTATGCTTCACGATCACATACCAAATTTCCCTCTCGTCCTCATATTCATTCTGTCCGATCAACAACAAAATCGAGGACAGAATGAATATGAGCGGGAAAGGCAAACACAAGAGCATGTGTCGATGGAAGGCAGGCCAGCACAAGGAGAAAAATATCACGACGCGAGTCGCACTCGTCAATACGCACCAATGCGTTGGCAAAAGATGTCCAATCCGTGTCGACGTGGCATGCCAATCCAGCCAGACGAGACGGGTCATCTGAATCAACCCAACTCTTCACCCGAGTCACCTAGAGACGCCTCAAGCGTTGACACCTGTCCTTGACGGAATGACGGAAGGACGGAAGGGCGGGGAAAATGTCAAAGAAACAGTGGCCGAGCAGAGGCAGCGTCTGTTGGTTTTCTGAGAAGATGACGGGAAGTGTAGTCCGGCAGGTTGAGGGCGTTATGGGCAACCGGCTAAAACAATGAGAGACGGTGAGCGCAGAGGAGGAGGAGGGCAGGGCAGGGCAGGGCAGGGGCGGGGCGGTGTCTGAACGGCGCCTTTCGGGGAAGGGAAGGGAAGCAGATGAGACAATATTATGTCTTGGGTGGCGGATTTCGTACCTTCTAGACTAACACTTCCATCCGCTTCTTCGAACTTCCGTCGGCCCGTCGGCCCGTCGGCCCGCGGCTGTTCTCGGACTTTCCTCGCCTCGCCGCACCTCTTTCTTTTTCTTTGGCCTTCATCATTCCAGCAGCAGCTGTGCGTGCCTGCCTAATCAGATCGAGTGCCCACCTTCCGTGCGCGAGGCGTGCAGAGTATTTGTGCAGGCAGCTGTCTCGGCCGTGGATTTGGTGTCGCCATCAGCTTGTTTCGTCTTCGTTCGCTCTGAAAATTCTTTCGTCGCCCGCCGCTGTTTCCTCCTGAGTCCTGGTCGTGGTCTATATCTCTCAGTGACTTGTGTTTTGGGCCCTCTGGATTCTCCAGCTTATGAAGAATTGGTGCAATTATCCGGCTTGAGTGAGCTCGGGCAGTTTGCTCGGTAAATTTTTGTTCCTGCAGCAGCCCGGAATAAGAAGAGCACGTCTCTTGGGCCTGTGTTCTGTCAGAGCGCATCAACGTTCCACAGATTGACTTCTTGAAGTTTTCAGACTCTGATGCGGAGGCGCATCCATCTCTTATGATGAGCTTTATTTTCTTAATGGCATGAGTCTAAATCTCGAGCCATGTGATTACTCCTTTCAAATCGCCGTGCAGTATTCAGTGTCCTGCAAGCATCTTTGTTGTTGGGCCTGTGAAAGATTTCATGTTTCTGGATAAATGTAGAGTTGGGAAGTCGACTTCAGGAAATGCAGCTAGAGTGGGAGAAAGCCCGAGTTGGTGTTCTTAAAGAAGACGGGTATAATTTTTATCAGGTACTTTTCTGTTCTGATCAAATTTCTTATTTTCAGCTGAGAGTTATTATGCTTGTGAGTGTGTCTCTCCTGTAAATCGTGTTAAATTGTGTTGTGGAAATAATGAAGATCATGATCTTACCGAATTTTAAGCATGTGAGATAATCTCTTCCCACAATTCTACACCTCTATTCGCGAATAGAACGGTATGCATACAAAATCAAATCTGTTTTGGTTTGCCTCGTTTTGAGCTCTGAATTGTCCACCTGTATGTTGGTTGGTTTCCTAATTTTGCTCGATTATGAGAATTTTAAAGGTTCGTAGATCGTTTGTTCCCCTGTTAGCTGGAGAAATGCCAAAGAATTATCGCTTTTTAACCATGATATTATCGCTTTTTCTCTGTTTGAATATCTGTGACTTGATAAATCTGTTCAATATAAAGGTATACTTCATTGTTTGCTGTTGGTTTCTGGGTAATGAATTTTAGTTTCTGGGTTTGGCAAAACTACGTCTATAAGTATTTAGGGAGTAAAGACATTGTTGGAGGAAAGTTCGAGGACTATTGCGCTGTCTTTGAGCTTTGCATAGTTTCTAGAAAATTAATCCATCAATTCACACAGCTGCTCAGCTTTATTCCATAACAAGCGATGTGAAATTCGGGAAGTAAAAAGGACGGCTGCAATTTATCATGAGCCCAATTTCTAATCTCATTGTCACTTAAGTTTCTTCGCGTAAGTAGAAGAAACTTGCTTTCAACAGAACTTAGGTAAATGAATGCTTTCCACAGGTTCGGAAGAATTATCATTAGTAAATTACTCTAAGACCATATACGTCGCGAGCACGGATTTGGGCAAGCTCTTGATAAGATGTTAGTTCTTGAACTGACTCAACACTTGTAAACATTGCACTGTTGATTTTCTCTTAAGTCTGGCCAGCACGCCTTTCTTATTATAACTTTTGCACATGCTTTCTACTTCTGTTGAACTATTTGTTCTCATTTTTTGATCTTATTTACCTACTCGTCTGCCGTCTAAAATGTTTCACATCACTGTTGGATAAATAGTATTTCGGATGTCTTCTTGCTGCCCACTCGCCATACACACCAAAATTGTTCTCCAACATTTGTTAGCGAAACCAAAGTTTGTATATTTCTTAGTAATGAAAGTATCATTACAAAGGAAAGGTCCTACGTCCACACCCATCTTTTTTATATACTCCGCTCTTTTGGGATGCTGTTGTAAAATTGGGTGATGATATTTGCAACCTGAGTACACATAGCGGACTGGGCATGCTTACAGACATCATGTCCAGTCATGTGCATGTCACGAACCATAGCATCATTCTTCGATCTTGTAATTTTGGAAAAGTGGATTGAGTACATTTTGTCCATGGTTGCTATTATTTCCCTCGCCATTTAACAGCAATTTTGTTTTAATCGTCATCAAAATTTGTCTAAAATCAGGCTGGGTGTGTCTTCCGCACGTTGTTGAAGTCCAGGTGTCCAAACCATGGCATGTCTGAGCCTTTATGAGTAAAAGAGTAAATGTTTCCGTATAAGATCTATGAATTCATCCATCGATTTTGCTCTTAGCAGGTGATCGGTGTAACAAATTAGATCTACACACGTAAATGTTTTAGAAGATCGAAGGCTGCTTTCAAATGGCTCTCAGTTCAACTCCGAAATTGTTCGTCAAGCGGACTGCAGGTAATCGTGTGCGATGATATAGTGGTGGTGGAAAGTTTTACGTTTATATTTGTTTCAATTTTTAAATGAAATCAAGTTCGATTACGCGGGGGGTCCTGCGTGTCGTCAGGATCTGGACCGATACTTTACAAGCTAGGTCTCAAGTGAAGTTATCCCGCTATTTCTCTTGTCTCCACATCTCATGTACACACTTCTGCGCACTTTTCATCGAGAACTTCAAGTTAATTGCAACGAAAGCTGTCGACACGAATTTGACTCGTCGGAATGTTGACTAGCAGGTTCTAGTAAAGATGAAATAGAGGACACTAAAGTGGCCAGTATCGGCCGTCATTGTCGTTCATACGATTATCCAGAATTTGATGAAGAATTCGGAGATGAGCTTAACAGGCGAAAGAAGAGAGCTATTTCCATCGAACAGTCGGAGCCAAACGCTATGGCCGTCGAAGCTGCTGACTCGAGGTCTATGGCGATCGAGCCATCCCACATAGAGCTTCAGATACCAACCTTCGTTGGAAATGAAGTAGCTGGTTCCACAGTCTTTGGGTTTTTGTTTCCAAATCGAAGTTTCCCTCTGAATGCTTCTAACTGCTGTCGAGTCAACAGTCATGCATGGGAGTTAGACATGACCATTTTCGTCGGTAAGTGATGTTTTGGTGCATAGAGCACAAGAGCTCCATGTTTTCCTATCTCAGTGTCATATTTTCTTGTATTTAACAATGGCAAACAGAGGAAGAGATTAAGCTCTTTGATTTGGCTTGGGATACGTTCTGATGCACGATGATTTCACCTGCATCTGGGATCATCGTGATTCATATCTTTAGAACTGAGAGCGGTACTTGTGACTTGTTGTCGGGTCTCGTCACTTGACCAGATCCTTGTCGAAGCTCTGAACGATAGCCTCTAATTCTTCTCTATGGTGGTCACAGGCGAAGCTTATTCTAAGGTGGAAGAGATTTGCATCTACCTTTTGAATGAAAAATCTCTGCCCGCAGACAAAGCCGTGGCTGTCTATGTGCAAGCTCCTGGTTCTTCATTTCAGTATTGCGGAGCTGTATATCAAAACTGCCCTTCGGCCGTTCTCGCACTGATGTGGCCGGATGCAAATCACCGGCTTCTTCCTTCCAGTTCCAACAACTCATCGGCCAAAATCGGCATCTCTGTCGAAGACTTGTCAAGCCTACCCGTGATAAATATGGGAGTTCAAAAGAATATTGAAGGTTTGGCCCTGAAAATGTGGGAAAAGCTATTCAATATAATGTCTGGCTGCACCATCGAGGGAGACAAATTAATGGTGCCTAAGCATCTTGTAGACCGGAGATTTCAGCAGTTCAAAGATCGGTCTAAAAAAGATCCTGAATACTTGAAGAGTTTTGCAGCAATCTGTTCCTCTTGATCCACGCCTCTCAGCAGCAATTTCTTCTCATTACCTGATTGACATGGATATCAAGTTGGATTAGCAACAGTGTTCGCTTAGTTTCAAAGGTCACACCAGGCCTGTCTCAAAGCTGCTAGGAAGTACTGGTCAGATTGGGAAACAGAGAAAATGGCCGCCTGGGACCATGCAGTCTGTTTCCTCTCACCATCTACTTTCTAGTCGCACATGCATACTTTTATTTAGTTTGATCTCGTTGGAGTAACAACGAAATCTTGCATAGCCGGACCTTTCGAATTACCCTTGGTAGGCCTTCATCTGTTTGAATAGATACTTGGATCGGAGCCTCTGGTGTACATTCGAGTGGGACATCTGGGGACGGCTATTATCCTTACTATGATGTAAGACGAACGGTGAGTCCTCTCACACTTTTATTCAAATGGTCCAATCGACTGTTTCACAGCCTCTGTTTCTTACCCACAATCGCTTCACGAGTTACGCGAAGTCGACCTGATCTGACACTGGGAACTTTTTGTGAGATATGGATGATCATCTTCAGTCCACGTTGGAGCATGCTTCACACTCTGGCCCACACTGCGTTGTTCGGTTTACGGGCTTGAATGCCACACTGGGGTGTCCGTAACACACTGATCTGCACAATTCTAAATTTTCCCATGCACTGACTCGATGCCGGCATGAAGAGAGCTCCATCTGACTCTGTCTATGGATCGACTGAAAAAGTAGGATTCCTGAAAACGTGGAAAGCTATTACTGCTGGAAGGTCTTCCTAAACCTCATCTTCATCCAGTTACAAAATGTTGATCCGATCTGATGACTCTCGCATCGAGAGCATGTCACTCAGCAGGGCAATGTTGACTGGATGGTCGTTGCAGTCTCGAGACTAGATATGTTGTTCCTGTCAGTCGTCTCCATCACCACGAGGAAAGCTGTCTGACCATGGAATATGGCGGAGTAACAAGTGTATCGACATCTTGACATTGCTTGTCACGGACAGAGGACTGGGAAGGAGAAGTCTGCCATAAAAAGCAGTGTGCAAGTAGGTTCACTAAGCGACGAGGGTTGAAAGACGGGCCAAGTGGGAAAATGTAAAAGAGCAGAATATTACCAAGCCATACTAAACTAAAGTAATGGCTACTATCCTTGATTTAACGTTTTTTTTTCTAATTGCAGGTCCACAAAGCTTGAAACCCTGTAACGTAGAATCACCTGATAATCTGAAGTAAAATTTGACAATCGCTGAACCTGATTTGATGCTTCAACTGCCCAAACGCATCGCGGCTTGTATCAAACTCGACGATGAAGGAAATCTGACTTTGGTAGCGATCTCCTTGACTGCTAATATTTTGGTTTTCGTTCCAAAGAAACAAGATAATACCATACTAGAGCACACGTATATTATATCTGTAGTCTATGAAACAACTGTCGAACCAGTCTCCATTATAACATGCTCATGTCATATGTATATGTGAACAATTCGGATATTAATTATATTATAAGATTTACCTCTCATAGTTTTATTATCGAGATCTGATTTTTCCTTTTGATTTCCTACTTGATTTGGTCTCACGGAATATTTCCCCGTCCAGCTTTGTGCTTCCAGAAATATCAGGAGCGATAGCAAAGACACCTAATAATCAAGAGGGCCACTAACGGCTGGCTCTTTGCTCCTCGGACTGTTCTGGAACTCTTACTGCACTCTCGACGACGGTTGGTTCCGCCGTTCCGTTCCGTTACTTTCCTTTCCGTCCCGTTCCGTCCCTTTCCTTCCGTCCCGAGAGCGGCGCCAGTCCCTTCTGAAACCGAAGGACCGCCGGACGTACCCTCGCGCGAACAGGCCGCCGTGTGACTCTCCAGCAGCACCGAAACCCGAAATCTACGGCCGGTCGTTACACGAAAACAAGCAAACAGCGGAGCTTCATGGGGCGTTGGACCGCGGAGAGAAGGAAGTCGGGCGCGACGCGGGAGGGACTAGGTCGGATTGGTCGAAGATCGCGACGGCGGCGGCCAAGGGGCGAGTCCGGGGGTCCAGAGGCCGCGAGACCCCGGGGCCCGAACCCGCTGGGCTTAGGGCGGGTTTAGACGCGAACGAGGCCAGGCGCTGGAGCAGGAGGACGAAGAAGAGCCCAACGCTCGCTCGTCCACGTCTCCGACGGATTCCGCCTCGGACCTCGCTTGTGGCCGATTCGGGCATGCGCAATCGATCGATCGCCCCCTTCGCGCTGCAGCAGCCCTCCACTCCATCGCCGATCGCTGCCCGGTCCGAGTTCTCATGCTCGTGCTGCGCTCGAGCTCGTTGTCCCAAGGTGAGATCCTCGTGGGCCCGCTTCAATTGCGCTGGATTGGATCGCCTGGGAGCGCAGCCGAGTGGAAATTGGGGCGTTCAGGAGTTCATGTTTCGATGCCTTCTTCGTTGAGTGCGAGGAATTGGTCCGTCAGTTTGCTTCCGCACGGGACTGATCGCATTGATTGGATTGTCGCCGTGCCAATTCCGTCCATTGCGTGTCTCCCCTGCTTCTGGGCCGCCAGCATTACATCCGGGGGCATGTAGATTTGCCCGAATTTCTGTGTTTTAATGTAATTGGCTTGTGCTTTTCATCCATCTTTCGGTGTTGAAGCTATCGGATCATATTTGCACGTACTGATGATGTGCTCATTATTGACCTCGAATTAGCTTTCCACAATCACCACTCTGTCTGCTGGAAGTGATGCCCTAGGTTGACTTTTATATTAATTTTTACATTATCTGTTGGTCATGAGAGCATTCGGGAATCTGGACCAGTTGATATTTTAGTAGATCCTTGGTGTCGTGCTCTGCATTGGAACGCTGCAGCCTTTAAGCTTCGAGCTTTTCAACATTTTGATTCTGCTGACAACAACACCAGTCAGTCGTCGTGCCGTTGCTCTTACGGAGCAAGGCGAGAAATTGTTTCCTAATTGAGATGAAAGATTGGTGTGCATTCGGTACCCTTTTGGCTCTGCATTCCATACGATTGAATCATTCCCGCTTCGAATGTTCAAAGAGCATGTGCAGATTTCTCTGACCTCTCTCTTCTCGTGGAATACCATTCTGCAAAGAAGTTGCACTTTCGCACATGTCTTATTGGACGAGGATTATTTCGCATCTCCCTCAATATTCGGTGCGTTGTGGATGCAGACACTATGAAGCAATTGGCATACTGCTAGCTGCCGCTTAAGACCTGAGTTATCCAAGTGGCGGAATCTTCCTGGCTGGTACATGTCAGCTCCAATATAGTCTGCATTTGTGCTGATATCTAGCTTATTATTTCGATCTATTATTGCTATTCCAAGTCATATGAATCTGTTATATGATTTAAGTCTTTGTATATTTTCAAGAGTCACTGATTTCACCAAAGACATGTAGTCACATAAGTACTATGTAAACCAGAAAATCAGCATGTGTTTCTAAAGTTGTACGATCAGAGAATCTCAGGTAGTGATATATGGTACAAAGTGCATTGCAAACCTTTAGGTGAGGAAAGGAGGTAATGTGAGTTGCGTGTGTAGGCTATGATAACACACGACCGGTCAGCAGGAGGAGCATCACACCAACATTGGACCCCCGATTTTTTGTCTAGTAAGTCCACGTGAGAACCGCGAAGGAGGAACCTAGTCTGAACGTCTGCGGAGACACACGCAAGGACTTAGCCATGAGTGCTGCCGCTCGTTTGTTGAGTAGGCGAAGCACGTTGCACTTACAGCAATATCGCAACTCATTAACACTTCTGAATCCTTATACGGTAAGCAGGTCAATTGTAGAGTTTGTATTAAGAACGGACCCAATTCACTGAATTTCAAGGAGGTTTATGTGTGACCATGTTTTCCGGAGTTAAAAGGCAAGAGCGTTGGTGCTTCAAATTTAGAAGTTTTTGGTCGCGTGGCATTAGGGGAGACTTTTTGTACTCTGCTATGTTTGAAAAAGTAGCATGTAAATTAGAAATGATATTTCGTAGTCTAGTCGTATGTCTTTCTTAAGGTTAGAAGTTTGACAAAGGCATTGTTAGTTCTTGGGCTTGTAGGCCTTGCTTTTGACGTAGGTTTTGCCTCGTCAGGTTGTTCATGCCTCTATCAGGATTTGGCTGGCAGTTTCTGCTCTCTATGTTGTTGATGTAATGACTTCAATTGTCGTTCTCTAGATGGTAGTATGTGTTTGTCAGCTTCCTACGCGTAGGATAGTATAGAAGCATTTCTTGTCTTTATCCTACGTGCAGGTTTCGTCATTTGCTGAAGGTCTGGATTGGTTAATGTTTTCTAGCTTGTGTTTAAGAGTGAAGTGTACAAACACAGCATATCTTTAAAATGTTGTTGTCAATGTGATGCTCATAGGTTAGCCCGTTACAAACCAGCAATACTTTACCAAAGTCCGTTGGGAGGAACCGAATATTTTCTGCTCTTGCCGATGGGGATCCAGAAAAACCTCCTTCAAAACGGAGGTTTCTAAAATTCGCTGCAGCAGGTGCTGCGGTTATTGTCCTATCAGCAGCAGCTTGGTATACTACACGGGATCAGTATCCACAAGTGCAGCACGTCGGTTTACCTCTACCGCAACTTTGGAATGGAAGCCCTCTGGAAGAGAAAACCACGAACAAGAGCGTGGACAGACCTTTGACTGTTGATCGTGAGAGCGACAAGGTTCAAGAAGATGAACAACAAGCAGGTACTATTGAGCTCGAGGTCAACGCTGGACAGCTGAAAGAGGAGGTCGCTAAGGATCTTAGTGAGGACATCATACTGAGCACAGAGAGCGACAGTGACCAAACTGAACGCGATGTGGACAGTACAATTCAAATTCAGCAGTCACCGGCGGAATTTGGTTCGATTATGCTTGAAAAGGAACTTGTTGCTAGTCCCGCAGAGGAACCTAAAGCTTCAGAGCAAGTAGAAGAGGAAAAACCTAGGACACCGGAGGCACAGGGGGATGCTGCTGAGGCTCTTTTGATGGTCGAAGGAAACCATGTGGAGAAAGAACGAGACGAAGTTAGTGATGTTAAAGATCAACATCCAATTGTACAAGTCCAAGTTCCCGAAGACATGGAGGCGATAAGAAATAAACTAAGAGATGGAAATCCAGATATGTTCTTCTCAGAGGATGACCATAGGGTGGTTGAAAACAGCACGAGGGAAGATTCCAGTGTCGAAGGAACGCCTCGCTCACAGGAAGAGCCACTTTTAGAGGAGGTGCTTACTTACAAAACCTATTGGTGCTTGCCTGCTTGCGTTTCCAGGATTTTTCAGCTCTTTTGAAGCCAGTGGCTCTTGAAAACTCTAGTACTCGTACTCTAGACTTACTTTCAACTACGGATATGTGGCCCTAATTTGGTCCTTGACAGCCCGTTTTGGCTGGTCATTGGCCGTACTAAACATCTCCACCAGATGTCAGGAGTGGTATTCACTCGAATCTCAGACTTTGCCATCTCTAAAGCTGTTGACCTTACCTTCTAAAGTCGTGTCGTCTTATGGTTCACAGGTAATGGAAAGTGGCAGTCATGTACATGGGGCTAACGAGAGTGTCCCTAGCCGCGTAATTGCGTCTTACGTTGTACAAAAAGGGCTCGATGAACATATCGACAGATACCCAGAGAGCAGGGATGAGAAAGCTTCTCAAGACTTAGATGTTCCTGAAAATCCTATAGAGGTTCAGTCCCACCACAATCCTTTGTCGCTTCTTAAATATACTCGTTGTGACCTAGATGGTTGATGTAAACAGAAGACAACCTGACGTTCTCTTGTATTGTTCTTTTTTGTTATGGCTCTTGATGTCATTGAGTGGAGGTTTTTCTTTGCTCTTTATGTTGACTGCATACAGGATCAGAACATAGCGTCAAATTATATCGTCTACATGCATCATATACCTTTCTTGTGTGGAAGTGTGAAAATCAGACTGATATTTGCGGAATGCATTCACATCCTCATGTTTGCGCTCTTGGATGTGCTCACTGAGTATTGCGAGTGTTCTCCTTGATTCTTGTTGGTCCACTAATCTTATCTGCACATTGGAACTTCGTGTTGTTTGCCCGAAGTTATGAAATTCACGAGCTGAAGAAAGTCGAGACTCTTGATTAGTTTATATTTTCATTTGGTCGCCTGCTAGTATGCAAATGTTTGAGTATGCTCCGAAGAACTAAGGCATGTGAATTGTGTTCTCCTTAAAATTTGCACGAGATCCATTCCAGCTCAGGTGCTTTTGATGTATCTTATAAGTTGCCCCCTAATACCTTTATCTCTGACCTTAGTCATGCCCCACATGGGGTTCGTCCGACAAATTAAGCTTCCCGAAGCCCATGCTGTCTACGTGAGACTGGTAAGCTACGCAGTTTGCAAGAAAGAAGTGGCGCTCACACTGCAACTTGTTCTGTTCCGCTCTATACATGCTATTAGGAGAAGGAGATGAGCGCAGAAGAGGAAAAGGCAGCAGAAATGGCTAAGGTAGTTGGAGTCGATGTTCTTCTCGGAGCGATTCACACTGCCGAGCAAATGCAAGCAGAGAGAGATAGCCTTGTCTTCCAGGAACAGCTAGAAAAAATACAGGTGTGTCTGCGCCGCAAGCATGGGTGTCTAGATTTCAAGTCTTTGAGCTTCTTTTTTTATCTCCCTCTATGTTACTAGATGTTAGAATTTTGCCCCCTCGAGGAATAGCTTGCTAAATGTGGCCAATGACATCAAGAGGTCTACTGAAGAATAAATTCGCTTCGGATTGGACTAAATCCAGCTCGAGCCTCTGAATGGATGTCACTTCGAAAGGCTGCAGTAATCGCCTAAAATGCTGAAATCGAAGGTCTTCGGAGAAATTTTTGTCCTGATTACATTTTCTATTTCATTTTTTGTCCTTTAGGAGGCTCACAAGTCCGAAGTGAAAGACATTCAGGCTAAGGTTTTCGCCTATGCTCAAGACAGAGATCGGCTTGAGAAGGTTTGTTTTCTGTGCAACGCATGGTGCAGCTTTGAATATGTGGACTGGATGGCTGGATAAAATATAAGAAAGTGCAGAGATTTCAATCATTTACGCACATGCTCAATGGATGAAAGATTATGGTTTAGTTGCAGTGTGGATCTTATGTGAGTTGTTGAAGAATCCGCCCTGAGATAAATTGACAAAAGCGTAGTTGCCGGTCGTAGCGTCGCAAGCACAGGTCTCGCGCACAATTGGACGGTGCTAACGGTTGAGGTTTTGAGGATAGGAGGAAGAGGAAGGAGGAGCATAGTGGGAGAGCAGCAGATGGAATGAGGAGAGATTATTCCACATATTGCGATTTATGAATATAAAGGTTATTTTAGAACGCAGTTCCTCGTTCTGAGTAACGGTGTATACTTATGCTGATGAGTATGAGAGTCAAACATAAAATAGTATAGTCTAAGCTTCATCATCCACGTAATATGGAGGACCAGGAATCCAGGGCATCTTCTGCACTCACTTTTTCTTGAAAAGAAGTGAGTATCTTCCGATATCTAAGCTGTCTGCCCGAAGTCAAGAGCGATGCCGGATCTAAGGCAGCCTATGACTTCTGAGTTTAACATCCCAGGATCAGCAATCGCTGTCATAGTTTCAATGTCCACGACAGCAGAAATTTGCTATTTATGATTTCTAGATACGATTTGACTAACATGGAATATTGTGGTTCGAAACAGGAGCTGAAGAAAGAGAAGGAACTTGCAGAGGCTGAGTTGAAAGCACAACTTCACGAAGCGGAAGAAAAGCTTGAAAGTCAGTTGAAGCGTAAGGTGCTTATGGGAGTACCAACTGGCATCTAATGACTGAACATATATGTTCTTTCAAGTCGGAATAGCATGGCCTTTTTGCTTTGTACGTGTAGATGTCAGCATCTAGAGCTTTGTGCCTTACTCCTGCTGTCTGTCTCAGGGAGATTATGGATGATCACTGGCAAAATAAATGCTTGTAGAGACCTTACGAAGTACTTTTACTTGTTATGGATGAAAGGAAGAGGAAGCTAGCAAGGAAAAAGAAAAGTTGGAGGTTGTAGGGAAGGCACAAACTGCGGCAGCTGTGGCACGAGAGAAAGCTGATCATCTCGAAAATATACATGCCATGCAGTTACAAGTGAGTACAGTACTATGGAGCTTACTACTCAGGAGCTTATTACCTTTGGGGAGACCAGTTGTTTTCTCTTTATCTCAAGATTGTTAATGGTGGACTGACATGATTATGGCGGTAATCTGGTGCATCAGCAAATTAGTGGATTTAGAATAATTTTGACGATCCTCAAGGTGGGCAAGTTTTCTCATGAAGTTGTTTGCCTGTTTGCAAATTGATATCTCATACAATGAGCCACCATGACCCAATGGCTGTCACCAAACACTAGAAAATTGTTTCTGGAAGTCATATTTGAGAACCTTACGGGTTTTCTTAGATCGTCCTTTCCCATCACTCAGAGTTGTTCATGCAGTGAGATTTCAAAATGCTGTAGTTAGAAAATTGAATGTTCAATCCTGATATCTATTGTAACAGGTGAACGCCTTGCGCACTGCATTTTATGCCCACTCTGAAGAGGCGCGTATCAGTCACACTGCCCATAAACTTGCCATGGTATGCCTCGTTTTACACCTATTTACAATATGTTCTGTCCAGAAGATGCAGGATTGTCCATGATTGGTGAAGTCAAATGTTCTAATATAAAACCACGTAGATATGAATAGATACCCTTTTAGTAACTGCCACACATTTCAACTAGTCATAAGTTCAAGGCCCATACCGAGTACTTGTACTCGGTGTCCTTTATTCAACCAAGTGTAGGTAACTAAACGAATCATCAAACAAGTTCTGTCATATAATTCAGTTCACAAGCGTAGTTTTTCTTCATTACAAATTGCATACATTCTCAGAATGCCTTTGGAGATAATGTGTTCGTTTTATAGTTTTGCTCTATTATAATTACCTATGTACTCTGCGTATCGTTTCAGGGAGCTTTTGCATTAGAAGATGCTGTTGAGAAAGGTAAACCTGTGGAGAAAGAGGCAGAACTTTTAGTTGCTTCCGTGGGAGGACCAGGCGGTGATCCTTTGGTTGACGCAGTTGTCTCTTCTCTTCCTACTGAAGCCTTGACAGCAGGTTCAAGTACTCGAGCTCAGCTGCATAGCTCGGTAAGAAAACAAATACATGGTGTATTATGCGTGTACTTGTCAAAGGTTCTAAATATATTGACACGTTATATTCGACGATTCACTTGTGTAGTGGTATTGTAAACGCTCGCTGCTATGAGTTTCGATTTTAATAGTGCTTCTTAACATAAGCAAAGTATAATCATAACATGCTTTAGCATGAGCCGATGGAGGTCAGAAAGCCATCATGGGAGAGCGAAAGAGCGTCTTCATCTCGATTTAGTCAGCTTGCCACTTATGTAACCTCTCGCGTGTGACAGTTTACAAAGATGAAAGGTCCTTTGAGGGAACTTGTTCTTATGCCAGCTGGTGGAGGTGGTGTTTTTGCTCACTTACTTGCAAAAGTAACGGCTAAGTTGAAGGTAACCTGTAACTCATTACCTTGTTCTGGGCAATGGGTTTAGGTTGATTATTGTCCGCTGTGTACATGCTGTTGCATGTCCGCAATGTTCTCCTAGAAACGTTGTAAATGGGTTCGGTGTCTGTGTTTCATTTCTGTCATGGATCATGTATTGGAATACAATATAGAGTAACTTGTCTTGTTCTCCAGGTGATTGCAAGTTTATTAGCTTGGTTGTTCTATGGTCCTCTTCTCGAGAAGTTTCTTGGATTGGTAAAATTAAAGTAGTAAATTCAGATTGCACACGATTGATCATTTGCAGCTTCCAAGTGCCCCATTTACTTACAGTGTGAGAGTAGATCATCTTCATTTCGCTTATAATCCTGGAGTGTTTCGTTTGTCACAGATTACAGAACAAGGCTCGGAGAACGTGGGTGACGAAGGTTTTGAGGTGGTTATTAGCAAGGTCGAAAGATACCTGTCAGAAGGAAAGCTTACTGAAGCTGCTACTGTACTTGAAAGAGCAGCAGTAGGAACGGCAGCTGAACGTTTGGCAACGGAGTGGGCAAGGCAAGCTCGAAATCGAGCAATTATTGAGCAGGGACTTCAAGTGTTCCAAGCTCATGTCATTGCAATTGCTTCAGGTTTGTCTTGATAATGACTCATGTAAGAGACTCGAAAGGTCTTTCTACCTGTCAATGCACTCGTCGGAACCCTCGTCTGCTCACCTAAGTGTCAGATACAGATTCCAGAGACATATTTTTCTCCACCCGTTTTGTGGTGGAAGACATAGGCAAGAGTTGAAATTTCATTTCGGTTCAATCGGACAGATTGTCGACGGATTGTATTGAGTCCAGTTACACCAACTTACACGCCGTCGCACACACTTTTCTCTCGAGTAGCAATTGTGAGATCACGGTCACCTGTCGCGTTACCAGTCTTATATGTATGGGTGGAATAGTACTTTCCTTCGTTCCAACAAACGAAACTTGAGGAAGGCAGTCGCAGAGCAAAGTTCCCGACTCGGAACTTGGGCTTTTGAGTTGATATGGCTGTGGTAGAATCACCACTATGTACTTGTAATTAAATATTCAAGTTGCTGGATCTGCAGTGTACAACTTGTTTGAAATGACATATTCTCATGTGTTTATATGTTTTGGGAGGTTTTATCATTTTCACAGAGGATGCGCCGTCTGTGCGAGTGATTCGATGACGTTGGAGAATGTGCCATGAGATTTTGGACCGACCATTTACTGCAAAGCTTTTGCGATTGCCTCAGGAAAAGAATAGAACACGTTGCCCCAGTTGGAATCAGTAAGAAATTCGATATAGATTGCATGTGTATCTAAATTTTACGAATTGACAAGACCGCTAGCCCCTAGACCCTAAATACACATAACACAATTGGTGTAATTTGAATAGGATGGGTGGGTATAACACAATTGGAATAATTTGATTAGCATGGATGGGCATATAGAATGGGGGAGAGAAACCATACATCATCAACATCAAAAGATGTTGATGATGATGCACATTGTATATGTTTAGCATGATATGAGAGCAAACTATCTTTTTCGATATCAAGTTCGTGAATCATTTGCTAACCGAATATTAGTATACTCGGTTTTCATTCGAGAATCTATATGACAATCATTCTTGTTACGCTTCCAACACAACATAGTCTTTTTCTTCAAAAATATATTTATGAACTTGGATCTACTTTTAGAACTAAAATATCTATCAGTTTTGCGAATATAATCAAAATTGAATTGTATTAAATTTTGTAAACAAAGTTATATAATTATAAGTTTGTGTTGTAAATTATTAATCACAAAGTATTTATAACTTAGTGATGACTGATTGTCTAACTAGCATGATAAAACAAAATCAATGACAATGATTGATAGAGGCAAGCAATGATCTGTAAAAATGACAAGATTTTGTTTCATTGGTTATATTTTTGCCAAGATTTCAAAGATCAATGATAAAATCATCAAACACATCAATATCATCTTCGATCTTTGTGCCAAAATTTATCATCTTCAAGTTCATCAACTTTAAAAAAACATACAACTTGGATGAATGTTCTTTGCAGTGATATCATTGTTTAAGAGACTCAAAAAATAAAGTACATTCGTCATAATCATCTCTTTGCTTTAGAAAGGAAGTTTGTAATTGGAATATGACAATACTCACATCTTAATTCTAGGTGTGTTTCCTATTATTATCTTTGTAAGCGGACAATTTGGACCTCAACGTTTTGTCTAGATACATGATCTTTAGTTTGTCTTTCACTTGTTCATCTTAAAACAAACAATTATCACATTCTTTACATTTAATTCTCAATTTTAATGGCCCCATCTTGTTTGATTCTTTAAGTTAAGCCTTGTGTCATTTAAGTGAAATATTTGTTTTCACTCATAAGTATCTTCCTTACTCTAGTCAAGAACTTGCTTTTACATGTGTTCATGTGCTCCTTATACGTCCAATTTCTTTTCCTCCTTGCCCACTTCCTTACTAACCTTTTGTCTTGTTTACTCATTCTCTTCCTCTCACCTTGCTTTCTCAGACTCTACTAAATAATTGCCGAGCCTCTTGTCTTATTCTTGTGTTAGCTTTCATGAACTAAGATTCTCTACAATCTTCGGTCAATTTGATTTCTGTGACACTAATTTTCTTTAGAAGACAATGTAAGCTTGTTAAGTTGTTTAGAAGTACCACATATTACTAGACTAACACAATAAATGAGCTTGTCCTAGATATCCTAAGATAAATCCTAATTAGCATAACAAACTTAATCCTAACTTTAACCATTTGAGTTACAACGTAAAATTTTTTTCCTTAATTCACGTTGTGAAAACAATACTCTTCATAATCTATAAAATTACTCTGCAAGAAGGTCTAGAAGAAAATCTGACAATTGCTACTCTTAATACCAAAACTAACTCAAATCAAGTCGTAATGAAAACATGATAGAGTAAAAATAAATAGAGTTAACAAATATTGCTAGTAAACTTTACTTCCGCTCCTCATGCAAAACCTACATAGTATCACATACATAATAACTTTGGTCAATGCATCACCTAGATTAAATTTACCGTCAATGTTGATATATCAAATTAAGTGATACTTGATGTTCGTGTGTTTCACTTAGTTGTTCATCACTTGATTTACAAAAAGGATGTAATTCATTTTAGCTATCATAGTGAAGATTGAAAACCTCATGTTTTAAACTCATTTCATTGATAAAACTATTCAACTAAATAGCTTACTTCATTGATTTTGTTCTAGATACATATTTAGCTTCCGTTTTAGATTGAGCTATGCAATTCTACAAGATAAAACTCAAACTAAATTATCCATTATCAAATGTAAACACAGAACCAAATGCAAATTTTTTCTTGCCCAAATTTTGTTCATAGTTAGCCTCAAGATTGTATAGCAAGGATTTGACATTGTGAAATCAATCATCAAACAATAAACCATGATGCTTAGTATTCTTCAAATACTAAGGATACATTTCACTACTTTCCAATGCATCTTTTTTGATTCCACATGTAACTGCTCATCTTGCTCATAGCTAAAGCAATATCATGTTTTGTGTTCATCATCAAATACATACAATCATCACCTCAGCTTTGTCACACAAAATTGATGACATTGTTTTTCTCAATTATATCAATTGAACATTGAGCTACAGAAAGTTTGAAGTGTAATATTAAAAGAATTTTTACTTTTTTCAAACTTTGTCATGTTAAACCTATTAAGCACATGTTGAATTTACTTGACTTGATTCAATCACAGTCTCAATCATCAAATTTCTATGAATATTCATCTTTAGAATTGTCCTAGATTTATCCAAATCTTTCATCTTAAATGCATATTTTAGTTGATTTTTATATTTGTCAACGTCGGATTTGTTGTTGATAGGATGAGCTGCAACCTCCGGGCTGACTCTCACTCAGGTTTACCTCAGATAGCTTTTTGGTAGCTCATCATGATTCTAGAAGACTATGATTCCGCATCATACTCATAACCTAAACACCCTCTCACACAATCTCTCAAGGTATCACTCAAACTCATACACTCATCGACATTCCAAGGTAATGAAAATTCGTCACTCTTTCATATATGAAACAAGTCTCTACATATGAACTCTCCAAACTTGCTTCCGAGTCTCTTTCCTACCTCTCTATATATACTATTTGAGAATTTACCATAGTAACAAATGGTAATTCTTTTCTAACCTACTTTTACAAAGATAAATCATAGTAAGGTTGATTAGTTATCAATATGTGGCAACATGCCATTGGCCTCCTAAACCTTCTAGATGTTAACTAATTCCTAGATTGAGGTGGCGACATGCCATTTGTGACTTTCCAACTTCTAGAACTTTCACTTTTCACTAAGTCAACATTAGACTTAGTCTAACCAATGAATTACTCCTTACTTTAGTCAAACCAATCAAAACTAAACATGAAGTCCAAAAGTCTTTTTTCTTGGAATCTAGACTTTTGTACAAGACAAAATAGAAGTGCTCACTCAAATCTTCTAGAACTTCTCTAGTTATTCCGCCAAGTATAGACATTATAGCTTAACTAGCTAGACTTAGTCATAACTAGCTAGATTTAGTCATAACTATCTTAACCATGATTAACTCCTTGGATAATTCTAGTTTTATTTCACACATGCAATATCCGATCTTACAGAGCATGTCATCAACATCAAGTATGAAAATTGTAAGATTAAAGATCTCATTTTTTATTTGTTTCATGTATACACAAGGATCATACACATTCTCTGAAAAACCTTGTGTGCTTTCATGAACTCATCAAATTTTGCATCCATTGTTTAGGAGCTTGCTTCAATCCATGTAATGATTTCAGAAATCTACAAATTAATTTTGTCTTGACGTTTTTTCTCAAAGTCAACTGCTAGTCTGATGTATTTTTCCTCCCCTAATGACATAAGGTAAAAGGTTGTAACTACATCCATGTGATTTATAACCAAACTAAACATTACAACAAGTGCACAACCTAGGCAAATTGTAGCATACTATACTACAGATGATTATATTTTGTTTTAGTTCACATCTTTTTCTTGGTTGAAGTCTCCAGTCATGAAGCTGGCTTTGAAAATTTTTCTCTTGTCATTTGCAAGATTATTTTTTTGCTTTTACACCCTTTTTGCTTTTACTACTATGAAGTTCAAATTTCTCTATAAAGAAAAAATTTCTTCTTCTTCTAAAATTCAACACAATATCATCACCATCCTCCATATCAATATCACAATCTTCAAAAACAGATGAGTCAACTCATAAACCATATCTTGTAGTTGCTCTACTAAGATAATTCAATGATCTCCTAGTAGATGATTCTAGTTGAATTCTATCGTCTAGTGCAGATACTTGAGGTTCACAAACGATAAGCTACTACTCTAATTTTTATTATTGAAAATTTGCTCCATATGTATTTAAGCTTCTCTTTGTGTCATATCATTATTCATACAATGATCAATATCTTCCTTAACAACATTCATGAGTGAGGATATTTTCTTATTAGTACGGGGAGTTTAAGAATTTTTTTCCTATTTCAATGATCTGGATTCATTGAAAGACACATCCTTACTAACAATAATTGTACATGTGATTAGATCTCATAACTTATAACCCCTCGTATCACTAGCATATAAAAATGACACTTGTTAGACGTTGAATACAACTTGATACTATTCACCCTTGAGTGTGTAAGCATAAGTCATACAGCAAAAAATTTTCAAACAATTATTTGTGCCATCTCTCAAACTTTGTCAAAAAATTGATTGCATTAAAAAATATATATATACCAAATACATTGGGATATTAACAACTTCAGGCCAAAATTCATATGATTAATAAGATCTGCTCAACAAACTATGCATCTTCTTCAACACTATTTTATTGAAACTCTCATAGACAACAATATGTTCCATGGTGTAAACTATGATGAGATGATAAGTAATACTCTCCTCTCTGCAGTAATTTTGAATCTTCTTAGAAGTATATTTCTCGTCATTATTCATTACTTAATATTTTTAGTCCAAGATATGCAAAATAGTCATAGCCAGCTAACAATCAGCCAAATGTAAACTAA